AAGGGGTTTAGTGCCTGTTTAGTATCTGCAGGCCGGGTTGCAACGTTCAAAGCGGAGTGCGTTGCTTTGAAAAGGCTCCGTCACACAAGTGTCGTTCAATATTTCGGCTTAATCCGATCAATGGGGAACAGATGCGTGGAATTTTCATAGAATATTCTGCTGGCGGATCATTGGATTAATGAACAACAGCACAGTTGTGTTGTTGAAAATAATCTCTTCATGAAAAACTTTCATGCCGAGAATCATTTGAGTGAACCCAAGGGTGCTGCGGAGTTGGTGAATCAGATTTCAACGAAACAATTGCAATGGCTTGAGCAAACCTATCACTGTGTAGAGAGGAATATTAAGGATTTTCGGGAAAGCAGGATTGATGTCTTTTTTGGGTTAACGAGTGAATCGAATATCTCGAGAAACTAGTTGTTGATACATACTTTTGATACAAATACAAAAGCCTACTTTTGCTGCTCTTCTATGATGCCTCGAAAGATGAGTGGCTTTTCGTCGGAGTCGCTTTGAATTCACCCAGCTCTGTAGACATACTACCTATTGGGTGAATGCATATGAAATGGGTAATCCATGTAAATTTCTCCACTAGAGCAGCTATCTAATTTCTGTTTGATTTGAATGAAAAGTTATAATCTTAAGCTAATAATAGCGGGGCAACTTTTTTAGGGAAAGTTCCCTGCCCCACTTTCTGCCCACCTAAAAGTTTTGGTGAAAAATTGGTTACAGTTTTTGATTCAAATACTCAAAAGCGCCTCGCAACACCGAGCTCACTACACAGGTAAAGGAAATTTGCGTGTGATTTTCCCAAGGTTTTCTCAAAATTATGCTTTATGAGATCTCAAATTGCGAACTTATTTGTTTCAGTAGCAAATTTTTAACTTTCTCATCTTAACTATTTGAGAGATGAGTGATCCAATTTCTCCAATTGTTTCCCATCCACTCATCATAAGTATTGGTGAGTTGGTCTTGGGCTTATAGAGTACCGTAAGTGTTTATAGGCTTAAAAACAGATAGAAAAGTTGAATGGAACCAAACTTTTAGAAAAAGATAGAAAAGTCAAGCTGTTTTTGACGTTTTAGGCTGTCAACGACGGTAAGAGTAGGGTACAGTAAACGAGCACGACTTAGTAAAATAGATAAGAATTTCCTCAGAAAGATCTAGCCAATTTCTTTAAAAGTTCTATGAGTTCTACAGTAATGCGGGCTTTGATTAAAGATTTGTGCTACTTTCAGCAAGCGCCATCGTCCTCTGTGATATCCCTTTTCTTCTTCTGATCTTTGTCAATCGGCATTTGCGGTAAATAAGTAAACAAACATTCAGATATCCTTTTAGAAAGCAAAAAGAGTTGATCATCGTTGGATTTGTGTGCATTGCGGATACGGCTCATGCATTGGGAACCCTTCTTGCCGGAGTTCTGCGATTGTGGCTCTTTTTAAATGATCGTCTCTGTGAGTAATAGAATTGGTTTGGTTTTGATTTTTTTGTATCTGGATTATCAAATTTTGGTTTCTGGAGGGCGTAGAGCTGTTCCTGGACTTAAAAACGGAAATTTTTAAAAGTAATTTAGAATTTAGAACTAAAGTTTGCTAACTTATTAGTAAGTTGTGAAGCAGTTCTTTCATGGTACTTTCAAAAAATTGAAATAAAGTGATGACTTTAGCTTAGTTACCATCATTTTTGATGGCTTGAACTACTGAATTTCATTAAGCAAAACTTTCAGCAACAACAATCACCAACCAAGATTGTACACGGTATGGTTTCCCAGTCATTTTCTTGTTCAGTTATCAATTAATGGGATCCGCCACATTGGTTGTCGCTTTTGATCGGTGAGTTTTACAAAAATTTGGGAGAAAATTCTCACGACAATAAGTGGGATACAGAGAAATACGACAAAAATCGAGGATTTACAAAAAAGGACTACAACTACAATTAGTCGAATAGACATTTACAAGATTTACAAGATCAAACTGTGATCTTAAGAAATATTGACTGGATTTGAGACGAAATGAGTCAGAAATGAATAAATGAAATCAAATACAATATACAATAACGGTGACACGCGCATTTTCGGTGCAATTCCCCAACTTTCAGATTCATTGCTGTGACAAAACCCGTTCATTACCGTGCGCTGGATGAGCGCTTCACTTTTGGGGTGATGGGAGGTGAGTGGACCTTTGAACAAATGTAATTGATCTACAAAAAAGCGAGTTTGATTTAAAACCAAATCTTTCAAAATGATAAAAGCAGTGATTGTCAGAAATCAGCCAGGAATTTAAGTACACTTTTAAAGCTTATAAAGCAAGCTCAAAGCTTACAAAGCAAGTTTAAAGCTTATAAAGCAAGCTCACAGCCTATAAAGCAAGCTCAAAGCTTACAAAGTAAGCTTAAAGCTTATAGAGCAAGCAGGAACACTGATAGATTCATTCACTTCTGATCTTGTGCTTGAACTGATTCTGATCGTGGCTTCGGATCCAATTCCTTGTCTTTACCAATAGTCGTCTGTTTAGCCCTGGTTCTCTACGTGACCATCACTTCTGCAACATTTCTTCTTTTCATTCACCTCTCTCCTCCATTACAATCCTCTTCCAATTGTTTCACTTCGGAAAGCTATTTACCCTGGATTTGGAAATATTTACTTTATTTTCGAATGAGTGCTCTCATTTTGAGCAGCTTGTTGTATCTACCGATATCATTCAAAATTTACAAGGTGATAGAAGTGAAAGTGACGAAATGAAAGCTTTTTTAGATGTCAAAAGCCTTAAAAAATCGAACCACTGATAAAATTTATTTGCAGAAGATCATTCGAACGACACGGACAATAGGTGAGTTCACTTACCATTCTTTTTACAAGTCCATGAAGTAGTTGACAAATGATATTGGTATGCTAACAGATTTCTAGACAGTACTAGCCTAGACGAATATTAAACTATTTTCAAGAATATTCCATGAAATTTTCAGGTTTTACCGTCGCGACCGAGCTGATTTTCGCCGTGATGACCGACTCTCTTTTCTCACCTTCAATCCATTTGGTTTAGCGAGATATCAGGTTCTTTGGTACACATGCGCTTTGAGTAAAGGTTGGTTTTTGGATGAGATCAGAGGTGTTCCAAACCCAAGTTGAGCCAGGTCAGCATCAATAGTGGCGCACAAAAAGGCCTATATCAGGCTGGAGTTGGCTTATATGCTTACTAGTGATCTAAAATACTTTCTTCTTATCATCAACTCCTTTCCAGGGGCTCTGAATGTTCTTTTGATCACTTTGCAACATGATGAGGTTTTAAACGTTTTAAGAGCAAAGTTTAAAAGGACACGAGAGGGAGCAAAGATTGCAAGTGAGTAGGATTTGTTAGATAAAAAGAAAAATGGAAATCGACTAGTCATTAGGTATTTAAACATAAAACTTGCATTTAAGAATACTATAAGAGTAATTTAGGCTCGGTAATTCCTTCAACGGCAAGTCGATCATCAAAGGGACATGGTTATGTTGAAGGATCCTGAGACGGATTTATCGATTTTGAATGCTTAAGCATCTAATAAATATTCAATTTTCTAAAGCTTATTATCTATTATTTGAAAGTTTTAAATCATCTCTACAAGATAGGCTAATAAGTTTCGAAATTCATCGAAAATTTTAGACCAGTTAAACACACTCAATAAAATAAATAGCTTCAATCGTTACCACGATCCTGAAAAGCCGCAGGTACAGATTTACAGCTGAATATCTTCTTTTTTCATCAACTACAAAGCAAAAGAAAAACCCCTGAAGAAAGAGGTGTTCTTTGTGATGCCGGGTAATCGCTCGCCATCTGGCATATCACTTGCGTATAGAAACTTCCCTTTTGGAGCCGCTTTTTTCGGGGCGTCACTATGCTAAAATCTTTAGGATCAACTTTTGCCCTTGGCAAAATTTTGCTACAAATTCTACATTTTATTAAACTAAAATCTTCAAATTGACTCTCCAACTTTGTCTAAAGTTCAAAAATTCTTTCAGTCACATCTCGTGATCTCCAGCTTTAACCAAAGCTTCACCAGAGTTCACCGTGCTTTTCGATTCGTCGATTTCATTCCTTGATCATTTTGAATGGATTCCAAATCAAATGTGGGCGTTTGATGCCAAATATGCAATGTAAAATCGGGATCAAAACATAAAAAGGACAAGGATAAACAAATGTAAAGAGATCAAAGCTCGAAAAGGGAAATAGATGTTTTTAATGGCAGACCACAAGAGCAAGAGTCAAAGGGTACAAAAAAGGAAAATTGTATAAAAAGAGCACTTTGAGTGTGTAAAATATCCAACACTGAAGGAAAGGTGAGAACTCTATTGCATTTTGCCCTTCTGTTTTCAGGTTGGTTCTTCTCTTAAGGTTTTTAATCAAACAAAAACAGTTTCCATTGGATAATTTGCAGACATATCGAATTTAGCAATTTCGATATCATTCTATAGCTCTCTTGCAGTGAATGTTATCAGAATATCGAAATTATCCAAATCCAATCAGTTTGTAGAAAGTTATGAGCCGCTCAATTCAGATTTCCTCAATGTTCAATATCCTTTTTCAGGCATTTCCGCAAAAATCGGTGATTTTTGGCGATTTTCGACGAATATTGCCAATGTGAGTGGCTTTATTAAATTCTTAAAAGGATGATTTTTGGTGAACATAGCTCTATTTAACCCACGAACAATGATTTCAGCCCTTTAACAGTCTTCGCTCAAACATGACACTTGGCAAGAAGTTGTGAAGAAAGCAAGCCTGGGATTATGAGCACACCGTTGATGTGAGTGTTTTTGATTGGTTGTTGGATTTTTCTCCATTTAGCCTTCTACACCAGTAAACACGAGACACTTCCCGAAGTCAATGAAAACTTTTTGATTAGTAAGTAAATTTGGAATTACTGTGTACTTGTACTTGAAAACGAAAGTCAAAGTCAAAGGTAAATATTAGTGGAATCCTTGTTGAAATGCTGTTCAATATACTTGAAAATTTTTCAGAAATGGGATGCTACCATGGCAAAAGAGGCGGCCACTCGATTGGATGCTTTTGTTCGATAGCAAGATGCCAGTCGTGTACACAAATGGAGAACCTATTGGAGAGATGCATCACGGAATTCTCATTGCTGTTGATGGAAATAAGTACACACCACTGCAGATGTGTGAGTTTTTGTTCGAATTTAGGATCGGGGAGTGCTTAAATTGCAAAAAAAGGGTTTAAATTGCCCCAACAATAGCTTTTCATTTGTAGTGGTTACAGGCTGTATTGCAATTGCTAAGCTACCATTAGCTGAATCGACGATGATCGATCTACCCAAGCGTGTCGTTCTGGCGATGGATATCTCTCAACGATTGATGATACGCAAATAATAAGTGCATAAAGCGGTCGGTAAATCTGATGATCCCTCTAAATTTAAAAGCTGAGGAGCGCGAAGAAAATCAAGTGAGTGAGATTCGCGGAAACACGCCGAGAAACATGCCGCCATGTCGGGCGAAGATTGGAACAAACTATCGGGAATTTCCTGACAAAATCTGGTGAATCAAATTTTTTATCAGATGTAAATATCAAAATCTTCCAAAAGTAAAATCTGTCAATCCAAATCGCATATGTAATAGCCACAAATAACTTCATTTTAAATACCATTAACCACTCTGGAATAAATCTGGTTCTAATTGTAAGTATCATAAACTTTGATAGCAATAGATTTTCAAGAGGGTGAATATTTCTTGAACTCATAAATCTCATGCACAACATCGTACCTTACTACTAGAAAATTTTCGAGAGCTCAAAGCTGATCTTCAAAAAAAAAAATGATACTCTCCGCTGATTCAAAAAACACAATTCTGGTGCAATTATTCCTTAAATTTTCTTGAAGTAACTTGTTGTCGCGAAAGAGTGAAGAATTAAAAGACCAGTTTCTAGTTTTGCATTCAAAGTACAGTCTATTGTTGTGTTCTTAGTGTTAAAAAACATTTTGTTGAATCTCATTTAAAAAGCACGATGATGATCTCAATTTTTTCTCGATCTCGATGATCTCAGTTTTTTCTTAGGGCTTTTCTTAGTGTTATGGCTGTGATTTTTCATATTCAAAACAAAAAGAAAAGCATTTATTAAGACAAAAAAACACTTTCTCACACTAAAATGTTTTGCCCACTTGCATCAAAGGCTCGATTTGAGACTAGCAACCACTTCATCGACGTTTTTCCCTCCAGCCACTTCTGCTAGATGCGGAATTACTTTGTAAAAGTCTTTCTTGTAGGAATTTCTGAGATCTGGATCATTAAGGATTTTTCTCGGTTTGGATCATTTCCTGAAATGAGCCGTTTCTCAAGCAATTGTATCTGAAGATTGGCCACTCTGTCAGCTTGCTTATCAAGGGTAATTCTAGCAAAATCTAAAAAATCCACTTTATGAAAACTTTTAAAGTTGAAATCATTCCTTGAAAGTTCTCTTGTGACAAGATTGAAATTTGCATCCATGCAACAAATCGTTTCCTTTTTTGTTTTATCATTGGGCAAATCGAGTGGGAAAATGGGCACTTTTTCTTTGCTTTTCAACGTGTAAAACAGGAAATATTTTGGGCATGTAAACTTTTCGTTTACGGTCGACAAGATTTCTCCGTGAAATAAGCTGATCATGCCTTCGAAATGCTGGTTGAGTAGAATGTCGCTAAAAAGGGCAAATATGTTTAGATATTGTTTAGCTTCAAGGCTTGAGTAGCTACACAAAGGAATTTGGCTCTCTTTAATGACCCAACTTGGCTCGTAAACAAATTCGCATCGCAAATCACAGTCAATCCGGGGTGGGTTAGACAAACGAAAAACGTAGCCTTTGATCGGTAACTCTTGGCCGTGATCAAAACTGTAGAAGTTTGTTTCCAAATTGCTGAGTGGACACATTCGTTTGATTCGCATTTTTGCAAACAAGATCATTCTCTGTTTTAATCTGTCCAATGCCGAAATGATCATGTCGACAAAAATGCACTCGTCGCCTGTGAAATTCATCTGATTCATGCCTAGGACGTCTTGTCTTGGTTCCCTGATATCGAAACGATTCTCGTTCATCCATTCTCCTTGTAATGATTGAGCATAGTTGAGATCCTTTCGCAAGAATAGATGCCTATGCTGATCGACACCGACGAGAAGCCACTCATCTTTTGAGGCATCCGAGAAAAAGCAGCGAAAGTAGGCCTTTGTATTGAAATCAACAACCAGCTTCTCAAGAAGTTCGATTGAAGTGTTAACCCAAGAAGGCATCAACCAGGCGCCATGACTGCTTTCCCGGAAATCTTTGATATTCCTCGCTACATTGTAATAGGTTTGCTCAAGCCATTGTAATTGTTTCTTCCAAATCTGGTCCACCAACTCCGCAGCACCATTGGGCTCACTCAAACGATTCTCGGCATGAAATTTTTCCATGAAGCGATTATTTTCAACAACACAACAGTGCTGCTGTTCGTAGTCAAACTTGAAAATAGAGATCTCTTGCACTTTCTCTTTTATAAGTTCTTGAACTTTTTTGGCCCATTCAATTGATTGCTCGCTTGAAGACGCGTTATCGAAGTTTTTCTTGAAAGTTTTATCATATTGACTCTTAAAAGTTAACTTTGTTCTTTGTGAAATGTGATTTCATTCAATGTTTGCTACCTGTTTGTTGTGTGGTCATTACCCCGTTCACTTTTCCGTTTTCCCTCTTTGAACTAAACTGTAAATGTAAATTTATGTAAATTCTTGATACGAACAATTGCTTACGATAGAAAACATTGAAAAAGATAATGGGTTAGAAGAAAATTACAACGTGATGTTACTTGAAACGCGCATCTCGTCGATTAGAATTGTAACTGAGGAATCGGAGAGCGAGAAGTACGGTAGATGGAGCACGTTTGAGAGAAAACAGCAAAGAATCTGCCAGTGGGGAGCTCATTTGTTGTAATTGAGTCAAACTGATAAATGCATAATCTAAGGCATTTACATCGACAATTATTGGGTTGGTGAATTGAAAACTGCAGGCTATTGTCATATGTGACAGTTTGAGCACTTTCTTCAAAAGAAACCCATTTTGGTATCAATGGAAAAGTTGTAGAGAATCATAAGTTAAGCTTATATCCAAATTTTCAGAACGATTCAAAAACTGGTCTTCAAGAAATGCCAAATTTTCACAAAACTTGCATTTTAAGCGAAACTACTAAGTGTATCTTTTTGGAAATTTGGCTATAAGCCTAATTTTTGATTCTCTACAACTTTTCTATTGACGCCAAAATGGGTTTCTTTTGAAGAAAGTGCTCAAACTGGGACATCTCCAGTCCTCGATTTTTGAGTCTCACAGTTATCTCACACAAACAAACCAAAATCTACTAAGAAAGAGGAATCCGAAAATTGCCTGTAAAATGGGCAGAAGTCGTCAATAATAATGGAAATTATTTGGAATGAATTGATGATTTTATGTTGGATAAATTTTAGTTCAAAGTCCGGCAGTTTTCAATTCACCAACCCAATAATTTTTAATGAATTTGTTGACCCACAATGACTTGTTTTAACAGTTTCTCTGACGCATGTTTACAGAATTTTCAAAAAAAACTGAATTTTCAAAAAAAAACTCAAAAAAACACGAACTCAAAGCCAAGCCAAAAGTTTGACAAGGGAATGGCTAGAAGTGGAGTGATCGTTTCGGATGTGTCATACCTCATTCGATAGATCTCATGATGAATATTGATGACCAGAAAAGGTATTGGGTTGGGGAGTATGAAATGGCGCCGACTTTCAAAGAAATTTCAATAACATCGAGTAGTCTTTATCAAATGACACGCGGCTAGTATCATTTGAAATGTCACTTATTTCTCTATAAAATCATATCTGAAATAGAACTCAAAAAGTGCGAATTCAATAAAAGATCATTTTTTAGAAAATCTATAAATCATTGACGGGAAAATGATTGACAAGATCACGACAAAAATTTGGCCACTCATGTATTAGGTGCTCCAGAAAATCACTGCGTTTTTCTTACTTCACTGAATCCAAAGTGATACTAGACCGATATTGGTTACCTTAGAAAAATGCGATTTTTTGATTGGATTGATCTCTCGACCACTCGACCCTGGAATCCAGGGTAACACCCGGTTTTTTCCGCTTTTTACAAAAAAATCACAATCTCCTAATAAAACTAACATTGTATTCGGAAAGAGAACCCAAAATTACATGCTCTTGCAAATTTTGAGCTCATTTGGTCCAGCCAGAAACAATCGTGGCTTAGTATTGAGTCTATGTGTTAAAGTCTCTCAAGAGTCAATTATCTTTCTGATAGTATTGTGATACCTTGCATTTTTTTGTTGACTTGTGCAAACCGTAATATACAAGTTCTGTAAAATGAATGCAAAATGGGCACTCATGAGTGAAAGAAAAGAGAAGAAAAGAGGAAAAAGGGACAAAGAAGTGAACATCTTTCTCTCTTCTCCCTGTCGTTCTTTCCCTTTTCACAGCCTGATTGCCCATCCCCGTCTTGGCAACAACAACGATTCCCTTTTCTCATTCGAATCTTTCCCCTCTCTTCTTTCATGACTCGTGTAATCCACCCATTTACTTCACTATCCACTAATTACTTTCTGGTGATGCTTCGAGCTTTTATCTATGCGTTCTTTCTATAATTTTTCGTTTGTATTTACTTTACAGTGCTAAAATTCCTAGAATTTCTAGAATTTCTAGAATTTTAGCATCTAGAATTATCTTCCTAGAAACAGTAGTTTCAAAGCTGATTTTCAGAAGTGTTTAGAACAAAAGTGACTCAAAAATTCACTCAAAAAACTCACATCAAAGCTCAGAACTGATTTCCTCCAAATCTCAGTAGAAACGTTTTCTTTTCCTGGCAGTTTCTTGGTTAGAGCCAGTAACAAAGCTAGTATCTTACTGCTAGTAACAGGACCTCATTTTAGCAAAAAGCTTCAAGCTTTTGTTTATAAAATTTGAATCTGCAACGAACTTATGAAATTAAAAGTCGCTTTCTGAGCTTATCTTATCTTCATTTTAATAATTTGTTCATTGTTCATGTTCATTTAACATTGCTTTAATGAAATTCCAGTGCCGGCACGTATTTGAGACAAAAGATGTTGGAATTGATGTACATCTCTGGAAATGGTGAGTTCAATTAAGCTTCAATTTGATGCTAAATCGTGATTTGACTTAAAATTCATTCATCCAGAATCTCATTGTCATTTTCAACTAGTACATTGTACAAATAGTTGCGCTTAATCCATCTTTTTGACTTTCTAAGACAATACATGTGAGCTTAACTAAGTTTTTACTTACTAACATTTTTTAAAATAACAAATGGCTTGGCTAACACATTTTTGACAAATTTCATTTCCAATCACGTTTAAAGTCTTCTATAAAACGATTGAAGTTTTTAAATTCTTACAAAAACTCATGAATCTAGTGAAAAAATGTTCGTAGATTTGAAATATTTAAACGAAAAAGCCGCCATTTCTTTTGGTTTTTGAGAAAATCATTTTTTTTGTAGACACTAGAATCTGCATAAGTTCACGAACTTTTTGCACAATTTCCACCCGTCTTGAATCTGTCATTTGCATCTTCCGATGTCTGACTTGAGCTTCACCTTTTTGTTTTCTTCATCTCTCTTTTCCACATCTCATTTCCGTTCTTGATGTCCCCTCAGGATCATCGGGGTTAAGCTGTTAATCTTCGAGTTTTACGTGCAATTTTAGAAAGTGAACTTGAAGTAGATTTTGTCTAGCTAAAATAAGTTATCTTCTAGAGATAAATTTGAATTTAAATTTACCACGTTTTTAAGCTTTTATGGTCAAATACAAATCCAAGCATCAAAATCAATGCAGGAAAAGAGAGGGAAAGTGCTTTAGTATAAAACTGCTAAAGGCGACTTATTTTAGTCTAAATGGGAATTAGTTTGAGTAAATTTAGACTAGATACAGCTCAAACGGTTGGCTAGATAGCTTGCTTACTGTAGCTACAAGATGAAGTAGGTTACTATGGAATATTTCTATAGAATATTAGAATGTTTTGAAATCGATCCCAAATCTTAATCCCTGTAACTATGGGTTTTTCGGCTAGACTGGGAAGAAAGCGTTTGAGCTATATGGATTGAAAAGGGAAGTTAGGCGAGTTTTTTTTGTCGTGGGGTTGGGTGTGCTCAAACGCATCGAAAAAAAACCCTAAACGGGTAGAAAGGGTATAGAAAAGATGAAAAAGAAGAAAAAGTAGAAGAAAGGGAGAAAAAGAGGAAAAGGATGAAAGAAACGATTCACTCGATATGTGCTATTGGTCTGGGGGGACTGGGGGACTGGGGGACAGGGCTAGGGCTATCCTCAGGTCTAAAACTGCACTTAGGGTGGCACGAGCGCGATCTTAGTCCCTAAAAATATTAGGAAAACTGTAGAGAAATCAAGAAAAAGGGTGAATAGATCGAGATATCGAACTGCGAAGAGATCGAGAGCTGTAGGAAGTCGCAGAGACTTGGACAGTCAGAGAAATGGCGCATGGTTAGCTTTAAGAGAGTTTTTCTGACAAGGGACAGAAAAAACTTGCTCAGAGAGTCGAAAAAAGGGAAAAAAAAGCGTTCCTTGCTCTGGCTGGTATGCAAGAAAGGAGAGTTTTGTGCTTTTTGCTCTCCAAAAAGGCCTAACTATTTCTCAGCTCAAAGAAGAGAAAAGTGACCAGTCGTTTTTCTATTGACCTGGACGTCCCGGTACGCTGAAAAAAAAGCGGTCATAAAAAGGGACGAGCCGGTACGCGCGAAAAAAAGGGGTTAAATATGAAGAGGAAGAGAGAGGAGAAGAGAAAAAGGAGAAACTGGAGTCAAAGAATCTAGGAATGACTTTAGCAAAGTTAAAAACAAGGCTTAACCTAGTCGCTAGTCCTTAGAAGGGTGAGATTGAGAATTTGGTGGTGGTAGAGGCTTGTATTCTGTGGTTTAAATTGGGCTAGACCACCCGGGTTGTCGGTGGATCCTGGTGGAGAACCGGTGTTTGCTAGCACGCGAGCGGAACACACCCCCACCCCCAGGGAAGAGAAAGGAGGCTGAGGGGTGAAGGGACTCGTCTATTCTCCGTCTATCCCCGAGACTGCCAGTCAGTTTTTTTACTATAGCTTATTCCTTCTTTAATTGATTTTCTTGATGCTATGCCGGTTACGGTTTAATTGCTCATTTAGGGAGCCGTTGAACCATCCTGGCTCTTAGCACTACTTTAAAACTCTGTATTTTGAGTTCAAAGCCTGACGCTGCTTCCATCAAGCTACGATTTCATTAAGCTACAATTCCAGCTCATCTATCGGCACAATTTTACTAGTTTTTTCTCTACTTTCTTTGGATTTGAGCAAATTTCTATGAGAAAACCCCATTCTCTCTTGTTTCCTTAGAATCTTGAATCCAGATTCTAACTATTAGGCTGTTCCGTTTTGCTGTTCCTATTAGGCTTCCTGTTTTGCTGTTCCTTTACTATTAGGCTTGTCAGAAAGTTCCTTTCCATACTTCCGTTAAAAAAATAACAAATTCACCAATTAACCCATGGTTTACTCTAAAGAAAAAGTGTTTTTTTGTTGTTCAATTTCCATCTTTTTAAGTCAATCTCGGTCCACTTACAAGCGAATTCGAGAGTGAAAACGTGTTTCTTTGTAAAAAATCTATAGAAACCTCTACAAAGAAATTGGCTGAATGAATTTCTCTGAAAATTTGGCTATGCACCAAACTTTTTGTGCTCTATCTTTTATCTATTGACAGCAACATAGGTTTCCTTAGCGAAAATGGCTAAACCACATCATTGAGCCACCCTTTTTGACTACCCGACTTCTTGCTCCAAAAAATCCACACATAAGACATTGTGAAAGTCGTTTTAATGTTATTTTGCAAAAAAAATCATTGACCTTTTTGATGAAACAAACTGTAATTTAATTGGTGGATTTGTTGGTTTTAAACAGAAGTACGAAAAGAAACAAAAAGACTTTTTGGATAGCCTAATATCTATCTTAATATCTATCCCTATATCTATCTATCTATCTATCCTAGAGATCTATTCCAAAAGCTTTGTTAAACTTGGCTCGATATTTAGAGTTAGTACTGATACCGTAATACCTATAATAGTAGCGCCCTCTTCCATACAGTGGCGTAGTCTAACACACAATTTTGTGATGCTCGGTTCTCTACGCTGCTTCGACGAAAAATGTGCGCTTAGATATCAAGAGATCGCGCTTGAAACAAAGAATTTTTCGGTACTAACAGATTATCTTAAAAAAATGATTTACTTTAGCGACTACGCGACTGTACTTCATTATGGGGGGCTCTATTATTAGAGGTATTACGGTAGTTGTTATCAGAGCAAGACTCAAGTTGTAAGCTGAAAAGCTGAAGCAATGAGCTCAAGGCAATTCTTTTGCAAGTTTTTTTTTTCTTACAATTAGTCAAAATCTAAGATCAAAGATTCTAATTGACTCAATTCTTTACTCTTCCAATATTCAAACATTTGAGTAAGAAATTTTACGAATTACAAGTAAAACTGAAGAATTCAGTACGCCAAAAAGTGTTTTCCATGTTTGCACACAAAATAGACAATCTAAAACTGTCAAATCATAGATCTTGCATAAAATTTCTCTGATACTGTTTGGTTACAAAATTTCGTTGACTTAAAATCAATAGTCGACGGGATAAGATGGACAAGATGTTGCAGGGAACTTTTTAGAAACAAAGAAGAAAGATAACGATCATTTTCTACTTCTAGCAATGCTTCTAGCAACTTGTCTAATAGTACGGTACTCAATTTAAACCGTTCTGCGTTCCGATTTTCCCATCTTTCCCGTCACAGATCATTCTTTGCGCTTTCCCTCCAAGAAACTGGGTGGGGCAGACCACCCAAATCGAGTGGTGAACGATGAAAAAACTGCAAATTGAGTGTGGAAATGGGACTGGAAGACAGGCTAAAGGAGATGAAGAAATGGGAAGAATGAGTGGGAACAAAAATGATGAGGGAGCATCTTCCAAGTCTTTTCTTTTCATTCGCTTCCGCTCTAGCAACCTTTTTACCCATTTTTTTTTCTATCATTGCTTTGAACTTTTTAAAAGTGACATAAAAAGCTACAATTCTCCTTTTCTTAACAGTTTTAGATTGTCTATTTTGTGTGCAAACATGAAAAACACTTTTTGGCGTACTGAATTCTTCAGTTTTACTTGTAATCCGTAAAATTTCTTGCTCAAATGTTTGAATATTGGAAAAGTAAACAATTGAGTGAACTAATCTTAGAATCTTAGATTTTGATCTTTCTTCTCTTTCTTCCTTTCTCTTCTCCCTTATATTTCTTCTTTCCTCACTGACAAGAAGATACCGTATAACTCAGTAGTTAGAGCATCTACCCGGAAAGCAAAAAGGTCGATCAAGGTCAATCCCCTCTCCGGAAACCTTTCTTTGTCATTCCTTACTTTATTACCCAAGAGAAATGAGGCCCCAGAAATGAACCGGCTTCAGAAATGCTCCAGAAATGCTCCAGAAATTAAATGGACCAGAAAGTACATACCAGAGATCTGAAATTTTAACTAAAATTAGCCATTTTAAGGCTAAATCTACTAATCTATTAGCTTAACCGATAAGTCTTGGGCTTGTCTTGGTCTTGGTCTTGGTCTTGTCTTGTCTTGGTCTTGGTCTTGTCTAGTAGTCTTGGTAATAAAGTCTTGGTAACACTTTGTTCTACTAGTGTTTATGAAATGACAAATTCACCAATTGACCTACAATTGATCTAATGGGTCAACCTAATTTTAGCTACAACCTGCATAAATCAAAATTTTCTCATATTTCCTCACCAAAAATCTTATGAATCACATGATCTACACTACGATAAAGCCTTAATGAAACATTCTTTCTTGGCAGAAAAAACTGGGAATGAAAATGGATGGGAATTTGGGGATGTTTGACAGATCTTTTCCTCTTTATCTCTTTATCTTTTCATCATTTTTGGATAAGCTTTCACACTTGTCCGTCCTCTTTTCCTCGTCAATCATTCTCATAAAGAAAGATGATAATTATGGGGTAGGAATGCAAAGAAAAATGGAGTTTAGAAGATTCGAGGAATTTAGGAGTTTCTAAGTTTTTGGATCTTTAGGATTTTAGGATCTTTTTGGATCTTTCAAACTAACTTCTTAGTGGATTTTCAGGCATTTTCACAAACAAAACTCGATTTACTGTAATCTCTTAGTTTTCACGTTTACTACCGTACTCCACAGAGTCAAAAGATTCAGACTGAATAGCTTTTTAGCTCTGAAAGTAAGATTGAAGGCCAGCACTACAGCAAATCTGGCTGACTGCTTACATTTTACTTTAAACTAAATTGACTTATTGGAATCTTTAGACTTGCTTTCTGGCTTTTGAATCTGAAAAGAGCAGAATTACACATACAAGTTGTAAAGTTGAGTGTTGGGTTAATTTTTGTAAATTATCAGATTACTCTCTCATTTCCAACTGTTTCTTGTCCTTGCGCATATCCTCAAATTCGTTCCACGACTTTGCTCTCTTTGGTTTTTATAAAGTTGAGGCTAGTTTACAAGTTAATATCGATTACCGCAGTTTACAAAAATCGATCATTTTTTCCCCTATCGATCCAACTTTTTTCAGATCTTAATCTCGGCCCGTGCTCCAGCCCATCGCTGCCCAGTAAGCAAGGCTCTGCCCTTGCTCAATTGGTGAGAAATCTTGGCTGGGCACAGTTTTATTCAAATTTCGTTTAGCTTGAGGCGCCGGCTACACCAGATTCTGGATTCGAAGAAAACGAGCAGAGATCGATCGAATCGACTGGACAACGAAGGAGTTCATTGACGAAAACAGGTAAAAATGTTACACACTTCTATTAACAAAGTCATTTTTTCATACGATTAATGTGGTACAAACAATACGCAAGCACAACTCCTAAGCCCTAAATGTAGGGAAGAAAAGACCCATATATATGGAAGAAGAACCAATAATCTAGCCGACGGGCTTGAACCCTTGGCCTCCCTTCTAAGATACAGGGCTCTTAGCCAGTCGGTTATGGTGGCGACCCCAGAAGTATGCAAGCTACTTGGGTTTAAGCATCCATACCTTGTAGGTTTAGAAATAAGTATTGGCGAAAATTTCAGCGGCTTCAAAAGAAGTACCCAGCGAGAATCGGATCGCAGACCAAATCCAATCTGAGCTCTTCAGCGACATCTCTCCTCTGCTCACCGCTTTCACTCGCGACGTCGATTTGAGCGACAAATTTGACGATATTCAGGTGATTTGTTTGAAAAATGTTTTTTATGGGATTAGATACTGGCTTTAGGTACTAGGGCTGATATTTTGGAAGATTTTTGATTAAGATTGTGGGACATTTGATACGCATCCCCCTTTGCCATTGATAATCTAACTTTAAGCTCAAATATCTTGGTGCTGGGCTGTCCAATTTAAATGGTTTTTGTACAAATCGACAGAGAAAGATTTGACGTCTCCAATGATACCAAGAATTTATAAATTGGACAGCCCAACGCCAAGATATTTGAGCTGAAAGTCAGATTACCAATGGTAAAAGGGGCGGAGTTTTGGGACCTTTTATACGACCTTTTATACGCAACCCGCCCCTTTTGCCATTGACAATCCAACTTTGAGCTCAAATATCTTGGTGTTAGGCTGTTCAATATACATATTCTTGGTATCATTACATGCGCCAAGACTTTCTTTGTCGATTGGTACAAAAACTATTTAAATTAGATAGCCCAACACCAAGATATTTGAGCTTAGAGTTAGATTGCCAAGGGCAGAATTTAGCTCAGCATATTTCTAATGGCTTTTAATTTAGACAGGTGATTACCCTCAATCGATCACTGAAGCCCAAACGTCTTTCGTGAGTGACTTAGTCGATCTGGATCAGTGTCCTGGCCCTTGGCAACTCCCCGATCATTTCGTCGACCTTCAATTCAATGACCACGAGATATTCGAGCTCAAAAAGAAAGGTATTATATGTAAATAAACTACAGTTAATCTATAGTAATCTTTTAACTTGAACTTAACTATTCTAGTAGCTGATTTTCTCAGAAAATGCGATGAAGCGCCCCGGATTGCCTCTTTTGGATGATGGACCACTAACAAAACGACACATTATACAAACGGCTCCTCAAATACCACAACAAGCGGAATTTGAAGTAAGAGATCGAAGAGTTTGAGTTAAAAATCGAGTTTAGGATATTTTGGTGAAAGAAGATCAAAAATTAACCGACAAGTTGTTGTCTTTAACACAAGAATCGAGAAAAGAGGAGGAAGAGGCGAAAATTGGGGCGGTGAAGAAAACAAGGGCGAAAACGAAGTTCGAAGTGATCAAGGTAGGGAGATTTTGAACTTATTATCAATGCCACTTAGTCAGAGACATTTTTCTGAGCCAGGCTTGGCCGGGGAAAAGCCAAATTCTGGTGTTAGCTTAGCACAGCCCTGCTGCACGCCCACAAAAGCACCAGCCTACACTTGCACAGACTTCAGCACGGAGCCAGTGCAGCCAAGTCAACTCCGCTTCTTTCTCGGCGCTTTTGCCGTTGACAATTTACGTATTTTGTTCGTATCTTGGCCGGCTTTGTTTGAAAAACGTTGAAGTTGCTTTCATTCGATTCAAAATCAGATTTTCTATCGAATGAAAGCAAATTCAACGTTTTTCAAACAAACCCGACCAAGGTATAAGGAAAATTCGTAGATCGCCAACGCACTGAAAAAGGGGCGGGGTTAACATGGCTAAGCCAGTGGACTACAATGCGTTTAAATTGTTCAAAATGGACTTTCCTTGACGGCTCGTCAAGTTGTCGACTTTGAAGTGTCGATTTTCAGTTCCGTTTCTCAGTTTTTCAATCGAGCAGGCCAGTCTAAAGTTGCAATGTTGTATTTGTTCAGCCAGTTTCCGGTGTTCCGGCTCGATGAATTGACGCGTTGTCGTGTTGAAACACATAGGCAACCTTGGATTTAGGAGCAAAAACGGCAGCAAGCGATCGTCCAAAACATCTATGTAGTTGATTCATCCGATTCGAAACCAACTTCAGAGCGACCGTTCCATCAACACAGAAGGCGGCCTAAACCATCACGGAACCACCGTCAAAGTTTCGAGTCCCAAACACCATCGGATCACCTCGAAAATCCCTCCAATAGTAGTCAACGTCCAAATTCCATTTCTTCTCATCAGAAAAAATCACCTAAACGAGAAAAATGAATAGAACATAAGTTGCTTTCTAACCTTAGACCAATCCTGGTTCATATGAGGCTTGGTGAACTTCAATCGGGCTTTCTTGTGCAAAGAATGTCTTGGCCGATTGCTTGTTCAACAATTGTCGATTGATGTGTGGGTTTTCCTTGACGGTTCGCCAAATTGTCGACTTTGAAGCGTCGATTTTCAGTTCTGTTTTCACTTCATTGATCGCTTTTCCGTGAATGTTGTTCACAATTTGGCGTCTAGCGTGTGGTTTAAGCATTGGTTTTGGTCCTGGCTTCTTCTTTGGTGCAGAAATGGTCATCGACTTGATGTGATTTCGCACGGCACAGTCGGATCGGCACAAATGATTTGCGATTTTCCTTATTGAGTTTCCTTATTAATCCTGCTTCTTCGCTTTTTCCTAATCTTCAAACGCGCATCAATCTGGCCTTTCTCATCCGTGAGCAGCTTTCCGTGTGTAATTTACCTGGAAATTAACAAAAATTATAAATTTAATAATAAAATATGCACAACAAAAGGAAAACCTTTAAATAACAGCAAACACGGGTGCGCTTAAGAGTTTGAAACGGTTGAAAAAGTAAAGTTTCTATTTTGAAAATTTTTACTTTTTACCGTATGCTTATTTTTAGCGTTTTTTAGGTTTTAAGAAATGCTCTTTCTAATAGAAAAGGAATAATAGTTGCAGCGTTGTTCAAAATGCAAAAATCTTTATTTTCGATGGTGCTCTTAAGAATTTGAAACGCATTTTATTAGTCACGATCTGGCTTTACTGGCCCACTAGAATCTGGCTTATAGCCCGGCTTAATCTTGACGTATAATCAGCAAATTTTTCAATTTAAGGCCAAAATCCTCAACGGCACTATTCAACCGAGTGATCTGGATCAGCTGGTGAGTAGAAAAAGATTTTGGTCAATTTCAAACACTTAACTGAAACTTTAGAAGAGATAACTTTTCAAAATGCCAAATTCGTTTGATTGGAACCCAGAAATGTTACAGAATGTCCCAGAAAGCCAAATCCTTCTTTCAGAGCACTCGTCGCACCCAGGATGCGATTCGAATCAAACGTGAAGTGTTTTGTCAAAAATTGATGGAATACGCCTTCATTCCCTATGATTTGAGTCTCGATGAGGGTGAAGGGCAACTGGATGATGAGGGAGTGCGTGATTTTGGTTTCATTCAATGTTTAACATTTCAAGAATCATTTCAATTCAACATTTCACAGATTATACAATATTGTAAAGCCAAGAATCCAAGAATTCACAGATTATAAAATTTTATTTGACTCCTTAGAGTGATGTTTTGTTCAAATATAAAAAGCTTTTCTATCTCAAAGTGCTTTTCTTTTAACTCAATTCTCAAGAGAATTCCGGGGTACAAATCTCTAACTGTGAATCATCAATTTAGCGCTTTTCAGACTTTTAGAATTTTAGAATATCTATTTTCAATTCCAGAAAGATGTTTCAAAAGATCTTGTGAAAAGTCTGGTGAAAAAGTTGGACAAATCGAATCGTTTGGTTGATTTTGCGGCGATTTTCACGAGCAAAGATCGAGTGCACACCGATTGTTTCACGATTTTGAAGTTGGTTTGCATTTAAAGGTTAAAAGTACATTGTTGAAAAGTGTTAATGAAAATTTATATAGCTTTTTTCGAGCGTAATTTTCGATAGAACTTTATTCTTGACCCGGTAGTCAAACCATATCTTGAGGTTGCTTAAAATTAGAAAAAAATCGAGTCAATTTCTAGGAAAATCCAGTTTCAACAAGCTCAAGTTTACATTGAAACTTTTGCTTATATTTCTTCTTTGAAATTTTGATTTGCTCAAGAAAAACAAGAAAAACAGGGGCATCCAAATCCGCTTATAATTTCTGGGGGAATTTCTCCAATTTCTGACCTTATATTCTAGGAATATGACTAGAAAAGGAGAAAAGACCCTGGAAATATTGAAAAAATGAAGAGAAATAGGAAATAGGAAAAAGATCGATTATTTTACGGGAAAAGATGAAGAGAAAAGACTGGGTTTCTCCATTTTTGTCAATCTTTTTGTGACTCTGATGCTGGCTGCCGGCAACAAAGCTCTGTTATCTCTGAGTTTCTTCAAAATTCCCAATCTTTTCCCATTGACACTTTTTTCTTTTCTCAATTCTTATGCTATTTTTCTCTTTTTCAATGAGATCTTTCTTTGAGAAACTTTCTGTTTTTCTTCTTTTTCTTTGAAAATTTCCTGTTTTTCAGCTCTCTCTCAGCGTTTTCCACGAATTTTTCGCTTTTCTCTGGGTTTCCGAAAAATTCTCAATCTTTTTCCTTTAGAAATTTCTTGTTTTCCCTAAATTTCCCAATCTTTTCATTGCAATTTTCTTTCTTTTCCCCAAAATTCCCCCGTTTTCCCCGCTTTTTTCACAGAAAATTTCCTCGTTTTCCCCTATTTTCTCTTCGCATTTTATCAAACACTTTTCTTTTTTTTCTTTTTTTCTTTTTTTTTTTTTCTTTTTTCTTTCATTTCTTTTCAGCACATACACACAACTCGGGCACACACCGGCCAAAGCAAAGCAATTCGGCAACAAAACATCCGAACTACTGATTTTTGCTCTTTCTCTTTACGATTTACTGATTACCGGATCGACTGTGCTAGGGAAAAGCTTTCTACTTCGATTTTCATTTTTCTACTTCGACAAAACATCCGAACTACTGATTTTTGCTCTTTCTCTTTACGATTTACTGATTACCGGATCGATTGTGCTAATGAAAAGCTTTCTACTTCGATTTTCAGATCATTTAATCGTTTAATCGACTAAAATATTCAATAAACAAATATTTCCATTAGAAACTCCTCTTTATAACAGCTTTAAACCCAAGCAATTTTACGTCTCATCAACGAAAATTCCCTCCGCTTTACTCAGACTTATATCCGGATGTCCATGACCGGTTAATGCCTTTTTATCGAAAGCTAACAAAACGTTTCTTTCTTTTCATTTGAAACAAGAGAATTCAAATTAAATCTATAAAAAGAACCTAAGCAAAATGTTTTTACAATAAGAAAAAACACTTGTATCGTAATGTATTGCTAAATGTATTGCTTAAGACTTTCAAAAATAAAATTCTTCATTTTTTTGCAACAATCAATTTCATTTTTCTCTATTCAATTCTTCGTTCCACTGTTTCGCCGTTTGAACAAAAAGGAGAACCAAAAAACATCAGCGAACTTACCAGAGAACATTTCCAAATGTATTTGCTTTCAATAAGCTTTCGGAAAAATCTGAAATCCTATTTAGGAAAGGAAAAACGAAAAGAAAATATTTCAAAAATCAACTTTTAAACAATTTTTCACAATTTACTCTCTTTTTGACTCATTTCCAGCAAATCCTTAAACTTTCCATTGATTTTCTCCATTTTCTGATCGTTTTTCACCACCCTATTCAAAGATTTTTCTCTAGAAATGGATTGGCTTTGAAATTTGAACAGAAATGGATTCTTTTCTCTTCCATTTTCCATGGTTTCTCGTTTTTTTTTCTCTCATTTTTTCTCCAAACAAGTTTCGCTTGCTTTTTGATGAGCATCTAATTTGTTTTGGGATTAGGAAGATAGAAATATTTTATGTTAGAATATTGGGTACAACTTTGTACCAAAAGATTTTGCTAGGCCAAAAGACCTGAAATTTTATTTTATTCTCCTTAATACGTAGTTAGTTTATTTAATTCTCGTTTTTAAACTTTAATTTAACACTTTTGCGACAAAGCTATCATATTTTAAGTGGCTCCTGGAAATTTTTGGCCAGAATTTTGGCTAACAAACAGCTCCGGTCAATATATGTACAAAAGGACCGCGAATTATGGCAACCTTTTTAGAAAAAGTTGCTGACAAACGCCTGGCTTATCACCAAAGTGTCAAGCGTTATATAGAAAAATAAAGCCCTGAATCTTGGCATCATTTCTCTACAAAGAAATTCCCAATTGGACTTATACAATTCATTTTACAAGCTCTCGAATGAACTCAAGTCGGCCTCTCTCCGGCGATCTGCCGTTTTTGACACTTTTCTTAATAAAAAATGTTTTCTCGATATTTATTTTGTAAGAAAATAACATTTAATAACAATAGGAATAATAGCAAACTCTTTTATCGAACCTTCATAGTCGAAATTGAGGCTGACTTCTGGTCTCATATGAAAACTCCACAAAAGAAGGGAAAATTTAGCTTTTTTGAATATGCATTTGACAAGAAGATCTTGCTTTATAAGCTCCTCTAGCGTTATATTTTTCTTGAAGAATACTTTTAAAGTAAAATACCACAAGTTTGATTGAAGGAATTTCTTTCTAGATGAAAATATTGTGTGTTAAAAAGTGTCAAAAATGGCAGATCGCCGGAGAGAGGCCGACATGAGCTTATTCGAGAGCTTGTAAAATGAATTGTATAATTCCAATCGGGAAGTTCTTTGATGTAGAGAAATGATGCCAAGATTAAGGGCTTTATTTTTCTATATAACACTTGGCACTTTGGTAATGAGTCAGCAAGCAACTTTTTCAAAAAGCATATAGCATATCGTCATAATTCGCCATAATTTAAAAAATAACGCTCGTGAATCTTTTAACTTTTTGCGAAACGATCAAGCATAACTTAAGCCAAAACTTAGTCACCAATGTGCTTTTTGAGATAATTGATTTGTTTTTTTGTTTTAAATAGAAAATTGTTGAAATTTCAGAGGACTGGACGGTCGAATCCAAGTCTCCACCCGCAAATTTCAACCCCACGTGAGTTTTTCGGCGTTTGATCTTCTCAATTTTAGGAAATGGATAAGTTGAAAACTTTAATTGAGCAGGTGACATTTGAAGGAGACTGAAGATAGCAGTAATTATCTGAAAGACAGAAAAACAGAAAGCTTTTTGTTCAATGACGAATTTTCAGCTTTGCTATCCCCGTCTTTTTCGCTATCCGGGTCTTCGCTCTGGCCGAGAGCTTCGACCGGTTGCTCACTGTACTCGACCATTCACCGAGAAGTTCTCAGAACAGGTTTGATATTCTGAAAGGTTATTATTAGGTTGACTAATAATTCCTGTCCGTTTTTCAATTCGTTTTTCTCAAAAATCTCGTCTGTTTTTTGACCATTTAAAAACCTGGCTTAGCTGAAAGCTCTCTCTGAAAGCCTGGCTTAGCTGAAAGCTTTCTCTGAAAGCCTGGCTTAGCTGAAAGCTCTCTCTGAAGGCTTGGCTACAAGTAGTAGTCTTGAGGTCAATTAGTAAGTCAGTTCAGTTAGTCAGTTCGATTGGTCAAAAGACAGCCGAGATTTTTGAGAAAAAGAATTGAAGAAAACGGATAGGACTTATCGGTCAACCTAATAGCTTAATGAATTGGTCTTGAGGATTTTTTTTGCACTTCTTTTTAAAAATAACTTATTCACCAAATGACCTACGGCTACGGTTGAAATGATAGAAAAGTAAAGGCTAAACATCTTCTATTTGAAGGAAACCGTAGGTGAATTGGTGACTTCATTGCTCAGTCATTCCTAAGCATATGTACAAAAAAAGTGGTCAAGACTTGTTCACCAAGCTAATAATATTGTCAAAATATTGAACTTAAAGACTTAAAAAAACGAGTAAAATAAGGTTTTAATAGTTGTTTTTAGTTTTTTAGTTTTTTAGTTTTTTTAATAGATGTACTAGACATGGGAAGATTCCAATCCGAATCTAATTCTACCTTCGTTTTCTTGGCCGATTGCTCTGAAATTTTGTCTACAGATAGAAAACGACATTTTCAGCTTGTAGACAAAATTTCAGAGCAATCGACCATAAAACGACCGAGAAAACGAAGGTGGAATTAGATTTAGGTTGGAATTTTTCTATGTCTAGGGTGTGCTGGTATCAAAACTATTGTAGAAAGACCGGCGATAGTGTTCTTGAAGGGCTCATTGTTGGCTAAAGTTTCCAGAGATGACTGCACTATCTGATCATGCTTCTATCTTTATTTATTGTTGCTAAAATTCTTGAAAGTTTTCAGTTAATTCAGTCAGTCAGTCATTGAAAACTCAGCCAGTCTAAAGAACACAAAATCTGTGACCCATTTTGTGCAGTGTACCCGATTGCTAGCTCTCGGACCAGTCTATTCTCAGCTATTCTCGCTCTGAAATCTATCTTCTACATTGTTCGCTTAGGTGTGCATAAATCCGTGGCACGTCGAATTATTGCCGTCTTCGACTTGCCCCCGTCAAACCCCTCCTCTTCCAATCACACCAACAAGCGAAACGAAGAAGTTCGGTTAGTGATTTGAATTAAAGTTGTTGATTAAAGTTACTGTAATCCGGAATCACAATTTCTTTATATAGACGAAATTTTTTCTCAATAATCTCGTTTCTTTCTAAAAATCTATCAAAATCTGGTCATTTACACAAATTATTAAACAATTTTTTCGTTTTCATTAAGGCAAGCTGGTTCTTCTGGGTTGTTTTTAGACAAAATACGGGTCTTTTCATTGTGAAAAAGCTATCATATGCAAAAACGAAAGCCATTTGTGCAAAACCGTGCAAAACCGATACTATTGCCCTAAATTTGACTTTATTTTTGATACAAATTCGAATTCTGAACCTTTTTTAGTTTAAAAAAACAAAGCTAAACGGAAACTAGCCGATTTTTTTCTAAAGACCCGGATTTCGGAGAAGAACTGGGAACCTTTTTCACTGATAATCGATGCAAATCGATGCAAATCGATTCATTAGAAGTCAAAACTCAAAACTCCACACCGCAACAATGACATGTACACGTACAAAATGTACAAAATAACAAAATCACACGCAAAGATTTACGGAAAACCCATCCTGGTTCAAACTTTGAATGAGCTTTTGACAATCTGATGTCGAAATTCAATTTCTTCAAATTTATAATTCTCACGTGCTATTTTCCAGTGACTCTTCTCATTTTTTTTCTTATTTTTCTGATTCTTTTTCCCATTTCCATTCGCACGTATTTTCTTTTCTTTCCAACTTTGTTTACTTCACAAAAGGACATTTACAGGCTAAACGTTCAACGATCGTTTCTTTTTCAAAACGAGATTTTGTTATGAAAAATAAGATTCTTTTTTGTAAATTATTCAAGTTTACATATTTTTTTTAAAGCTTTGATTCATACTATTTTTGTCTATTAGATACTTTTTTAGATATGGCTGATTGGGTGAGGAAAAATTTCTGACTGACTGACTTTCTGACTCAGCTGTGAAAATTTCAATTTTTAATGCATTTTTTTGCTGGTTTTTGCGCTTATAGTGTTGTACCAATGCTCATTTTTGTATTCCAGATGAGTTTGCAAGAAAAAGAGCTTCGATCTCTGCTCTTATCCGCTATTGTTGGAAACGGAAACATCTGAAGGAATTGAAGAAGCTTGCCAAGAGTTCTTTGATTTGAAACCCAAGGAGTTCAACCTTCGACCAGATCCGAAAGCTTGCAGATTGATGGCAGAAAGTTGGAGATAATAATGGGTTATACTTTGAGGAATAATTCTGGTTATTTTTTTGTTATTAAAGTTGCACATAAAAATTGAATTTCTCGCAGCTGAGTCAGAACTTTTTCCTCAACCTAGTAACTGATTTAAACTATAAGCTGACCTAAAGATTCGATAAAAGTTCGAAAATAGAAACATTATTCACCGAATAGCTTAATCCAACTGATTTTCATGGACACACTCAAAAAGAATTGGATTTACTGGATTTTCCCCAAAAAGGATTTGCGGTGTTTTCCTCGAAAGCCAAGGAAATGTGTCTTGGACTCGTTCGAATGAGCAAAATTCCCCTACGCATAACCATTTTTCCTATTCAGCTGTGAACGAATGCGCAAAAGAATTCTCGAATATTTTCCTTGCACTTGACTCGTTTTCTTATTTCTATTTAAAGCTCACATATTGAACTAATGGGCTGGCCGGAAAGTCGTTTCCGCTTTTGCTTAAAGGTCACTTTTTGAAATGAATCATGAACCAAGCATCCGTTTTGACGTCAAATTTTCGATTGAAGTTTTATAAACCCGGAAAGTCATTTGGCAGATTTTGATTTTAGATTCGGATTCCTCATATCCGATTCTATAAATTGGACTATGTGTCCAGACAAAAGCTCACCTTTAGTTCATGCCTTTTGATTTTGGATTTCGGCTGGATTTTGACCAATAAAGCGAAAACTTCTTTAGGAAACCTTCTAATCTAATATAAAAATTGTTAAACTATTTAAAAGAAAGGATTTAAAATTCAAAATTCAGTGGCAAGAGGGTCGGAGCGGGATTGTGTGAGCTGTAGGCAAACGGATTCCTCATATCCGATTCTATAAATTGGACTATGTGTTTGGATTGGACTATTAGACAATTGGACTATTAGAAAACAAATTGGACTATTAGACAAAAGCTCACCTTTAGCTTATGCCTTTCTCTAGTAAGCTCTAAACGTAAGAAAGAAAAAAAAATCTATATATATGTTACGTCCGTTTACGAATTAAACTTAAATGCTAATTTGATGTTAATAGAACTGTTACGTCGGAATTTGAACAGTCGTCATGCTCCGAACATGATCTCCATTATATTAGGCGCCTAGATTTTCCTAGGCTATGGCTTCGCACCTAAGAGACCTGATTCTCCTAGGCTATCACCTGATTCTCCCAGCTCCGGCCTTCTATTCTCCTAGGGATCTAATTTTCCTAGATTGTGTTCGGATTCGGACGGAACAGTTTCATTAACATCAAATTATCATTTAAGTTTAATTCGTGAACGGATGTCGGAATCTGATCTAAAGATAAGTTTAGTTCGTAAATCGTCTAGATCGGATTCGGACCTCCATTTACGAAAGTTCGTAAACGGCCGTCCGGATTTGAACTGAACGTTAGTTCGTAAAGGGACGCAACATACAGGGTGCGGCAAAAGTTCTGACACTTTTTGTAAACGGGCAGTTTGACTTGGAAAAAACGCGATTTTTGAAAAACTAACACCGGATTATAAAAATTCAGATATTTTTACCCCTTAATATGCTTTTTTACACAAAAATTGCCATCTAAACAACCTTTTGATGAGGATGTTTAAAGGTCGTTACAGCAGTTTTTTTTTGCTGTTGAGATTTGGGTGCCCTTCGTAGGATCGCTTGAAAATCTTTCGTTTTTAAGATATAAATTTTTTTTGTGGCTTGTTCTCAAGAAAAAACTCAGTTCTATCAAATGGTAACAGCAGTTTTTGGAAAAAAATTTCATTCTGCAAAGTTTAAGTCAACTTTCGCAAAAAGCTTCAGCCACCAGACCGGGATATAAAAAATTCTCGTCAAAAAGTTATTGAGAGTTGAAATCTTTTCAATGGAAATGGCTATATTGGGGTGAAACTACCTAAATTTTTAGAATCCGGCGTTAGTTTTTTGAAATTCACGGGTTTTTGAAGCCAAAAAATTACTGCTTACAGAAAAAGTGTCAGAACTTTTGCCGCACCCTGTATATATAGAAAAAAAGAACTAATCATTTAGCCGGCGGGATTGAACCCTTGATCTCCCGATTAAAATACACGGATCTTAGCCAGTCGGCCTTTGAAGGCTTTGATCAAAATATTGGTGCTTTCATTGCTAATCATCTTGTCTTCCTCGAAAAACATTTTCTTCTCACGTTACATTTTGATTCATTTTCTTGTTGATTGTGAGGGGGAAAGGGAGCGCTGAGATCGAAGATGCGGTGTGTTGTTTACCAGCCATTCCGACCCTTTCTTTCTTTCCCTTTTCATTCCATGCCGATCCCATTTCCTTGCAAAAAAAAGCAAAAAACCCTCCTCCAATTCACACAAACACATTTTCTTCTCGAGATTTTATCGATTCCATTTTGAACGTTTAAGAGAAACCTTTAATTTGCACACTTGATAACAACTTTTTCTCAGTAATTTAATTGATTTTAATTTAATTCATTTAATTTACAATAGATTAGTTTATTTTCAAATTTCCCAAACGATTTCAACTCTTTAACTCGATTTCAACTCTAAGCAAGTTCAGAACTTTAAATTGAAAGTGATTTTTGAAATTTTTGCACTCTACAAAATTTACAAGTTTCATTTTGAACAAGAAAATTCAATTTTAACCGTTTCCTTTGTTTGTTTTGCATTTTTTTCTGTAAAGACTGTATCTTCCACTGTATTTTTATCTAAAAAACATCACCTGATCACTCTTTTCACCAAAAAAAAACTGAAAATGTAAAGTCTCTGGTTAGATTTCGTTGAAAGCAGCACTTGTTTACTGCTCAAAAATTGATTTGTTCAAAAAAATGTAGGAATAGTTGAAATTTCAAAGGAAAACCCTATTCCGAAGTCATTTTTCGATCCTAATCACAAATTTTAATCAAATTTTCAAGTTTCTATTCAATTTCTATTCAATATAAAGTTTCAAATCTTCATTTTAATAAGAAACTTTGAGCTTGATTCGATTTTTTCTTTCAAATTTCACGTTTCTTGTTGAAAAATTGTTAATTAAACGTTTTTTTGAAGAAAAAGAACTTGTTGTTAATCGAAAAAATCAAGAATTATCTAATTCAGGATGTCTTTTAAATTTTTCAACGAAACTTTCAAATTCTATCTTGAATTTTCAAAAGTTTAATCGATTTTTTAAAGCTTTTTACTTCATTTTTCCCATTTTCCTTTTCAAAAATTCCTCTTTTTTTGTTGTTGATCAAAGATTTTTCCCCCGAAAAGCTGTCTGATAAGAATTTTTCGATAAACGAGCCATAGATCAAACGATCAAAATTTCCCAGAACATTTCGCCAATCTTTTCGAATTTCATTTTGGAAAGCTTTGCTTTTTGGAAAATTTCGTGTTTCATTGCTTTTTTTTTTGAAATTTTCTCGTTTAAAACTAAAAAAAAGTGTTTCACAGAGCTTTTCCCAGTCCCAGCCATCAGCGTTTGTTCAGTTTTTTTTTCTTTCGCTTTTGATGAATGAATGATGGGGTGAAGATCAGAAAAAGAGAAAAATTGGGCCCTTTTGTTTTTGATAAAAAATGAAATTACCCCTCAAAAACGGCATCATTTTTTGAGAAAAAGATCACGAGATTTCTCTAATTTTGCAGAAAAACAATGTCCTCTTTTGTTGAATGAAAAAAAATTCAAGAAAACCCGTTTTTTGAATGGGTTATAGTACTTTTGTAACTTTCATCTTGCTAGTTTTTTATAGGCTTTTTGTTTGGTCAATTTTTCTTCTCTTGTTAATTTCTCTTAGATTACTGTATCTGGAATTCGAATCTTGGCATTCCATATTCTTAGTGCATTTCTCGAACTAAATCCCGTGAAAGAAGTTCAAACAATTTTCAGATGATGTCAAGGGCCCTATCAGGGCCCTATCACAAAAGTTCTTTCATTTCCAACAACATGCTTCCTTTGTCGATTTCTCTTTTAGATTACTGTATCTGGAATTAGAATCTTGGAATTAGAATCTTGGCATTCCAGCTTTTTTTTTCTTACCTAAAGCAGCTTTTAAATAGCAAATTCTTTTTGCATTTCTTCTTTTCTTTTTAAAAAACACTCTCGTTAGCCTTTTTTCTTTTGTTTTTACTTAAAACATCTTTCTGATGACAAATTCTGGGCTAAAAGCCAGGCTTAAACTTTCAAAATCTTTGTTCAACTTCAAAAAAACAACAACTTAACTTTGTTTCCTTTCAAAATCCATTTTAAAAGACTCAATTTCCATATTTAAATTGAAGCAACCGCTCATTTTCAAAACAATTTCCAATTCCAATTCCATTCACTTTAAAACTCTACCTTTTCTTCGAAATTACTTCATTTCCTCAAATCTTTCTTTGTTTTTAGACAATCCCTTTTTCCAGAATTTCCAATTCACGAACAAATCCCGAGCTTTCTCACAGAATGTCCATGTTTCACCCGCAATTCCCACAACAACAGCAACACAATGGCTATGATCCATTTAAAGCACCGTTTTTCCCGGATTACGGTAATCAGAGTGGCTAAATAACTGAAAGTATAAAGTATTTATGGATTTAACGATTAATTTTAGACGTACTCTACTCCCAATCGTCTCAACCATCGTTACCGTCGACTGCGTCGAATATTAGTGTATGTTTTTAGCTTTCTTTAACTTTTGAACTTCACAAACTAATACAGATATAGTCTAATGGTATTTGAGGAATGTTTCACAAAGATATAAGGCTTAACTAGGTCGAATTCCATAGCGGAGCTGAACCGAGACGCAATTTTCTAGGTCAAGTCAAGCCAAAACCAACAATTGGCTGGCCTTGGCCGGCTTTGAATTCTTTGGCTTGCCAGGTCGGCCAGCTTTCGTTTTGTTTTGGCTTTGAGTTGCCTTATATCGGATTTTCCATAATAGTGCACCCAACCTAGCCGAGTTTATGACGATTTTACGGTTTCCGATTTTCACAGAAGCTCAACACTCAGATCCCTCACTAGATCTCATCGTCAGCTACATTTTCCGAGCCCACATCGATAGGTTCTGATATGCGGCTTTTGAGATTTCGAGTAATTTAGATGAAGCTCATGATGCACTACTATTAGAATAAATACGATAGCTTTCCAAAGCAAAAAAACCCAGATTTTTAGGGATCAATAAGCATTGAGTCTTCCAAAGCTTTGGCTAAAAACTTGTTGTCGTTGTTGCTAACAAAACAACTACAACTTTAAGAGCTACGTCAGTTTTAGCTTGGTTTTGATTCTAGCTTTGACTAGCCTTATCTTACGGCTTTTCAGTCCAGCTCTGTACAGTGCAACAAAATTAGAAGGTTTTTTAAAAACCATTTTCTGTAGCTGTATATCTTTTCAAAAGAGTTAAACGTATAGAAATAACTCTCTTTGAATCGCACTACGATTCTCTACTGTTAAATTTTTGTTCATCTTTTCAAACAATACAAATACTGAGCCTACTTCGAGAACGGCAAAGCTTTCTTTCAGTATTTAAAATTCTCCTGGTTTAAGCTTTGTAGCTTATGACACTCACAGAAGTCCCTTCATGAATCCACTCTTTTTTCAGACACCAATCTCTGTTGTTGGAGGTGTTGGATGCACTCCATCACCGCCATCTGGAGCAGTAAACCTGGCCCCAACAAGAGCGATCTCTTCGACGAAAGGTCCAACCATTCTTGGTTCCTCCACGCATTCACTCACACATATGGGTGATACGACACCACAACATGAGCAAATGTTCGGTGATGGTCAGTGATTTTTAAAGCTTATCAGTTTTGCAAAACAACAGCCAATTGCTTTAGCCGACTTGGCCGACGCGCTCGAGTTGATCAGCGAGGATTCGATGAGAATGGAGAGAGGCGGGGGAAAAGATCCGATGATTGGTGGAACGCCTCTCCCCGCACAAATGGGTGTCTACTCGAATTCACCACATCGGATAGATGGTTTGTGAATTAAAATGTAATAAAAAGCGTACTTTTGAGCATTTCCCTGTGTAGAGTGTGTTCCTCGCGATTAATCCGTCTTTTTAAAACGCACACTTGGAAAAAGTTATCGTACTTTTAAAGGAAATTATCGCAAAAAAAATTGGTGCGAAAAAATCACGAGCGCCGCCTTATATACGACTCCTTTTATAGATATTCAGCCGTTTGATTTGGTGGGGAATTCCCTTCAAATGTAAAGATATTCTATTTACTCGACGTTTAAAGAGGAATACTCGTAGTTACTCAACCAAATAATCAGTAAAAAATACTCAAAAATGTAAATTTTACTCGAATGATTACTTTACGCGCAAGGAACACCCTCTATTCCTGTGTAGTTCAGTTGAAAGTGTAAGGATGGCTGTTTGTACACTCATTCAATATTGATTTGAGTTTAATGCTTCGTTAAAAAAGATAGAGCTAGGAGTTCATCATTCAAGAAGTTGGATCAAGATTTTATCTAAAAAATCTCATTTCCAGCCTCTCCCCCCTTTGTAAGCCTTCAAATAGTACTAAAAGATATTCAAGTTGATATATAAATATGCAGTCTGAGACATTGTAATGAGGCTTATTGGAAGCGTTACAGTACTTTGGAATCTATCTTGATCTTCCTTCTCTTTCTTCCTTCCTCTTCTCCCTTGTATTTCCTCTTTCTTCTCCGACAAGAAGATACCGAATAGCTCAGTGGTTTGAGCATCTGCCCGGAAAGCAAAAAGATCGATGAGTTCGATTGCTTCTCCGGAAATCTTTACTTTATTAAGCTATCCAAAAGTCTAAAAATCTGGTTTCCAGTCTCGTCCCCCTATTCGGATCTCCCCTCTCTTCCTCCACCATCTCAGCCACTCTCCCACCTTCCCAAGCCGATGCCCCCAACGAGTGACTTTTTCTCCTCACAATCACCATCAATGGTCTCAAGATATCCAAGCCAAACACCGGTATTTAGAAAGAGAATAGCATTTCACCAAAGATTTTTTCAGTTTATGACACCTACTCAAAGCGTCCTTCCTTTGCAATCTCAAGGAATGGGGGTTGGCTTTGAAATTTCACCGTTTTTTGTTTTATTTTATGATTCAAATCTGATTCTGAGATCGATATTGAAATTTTTGCACTATACAACTCGAGATGAGTCAGAGAGAGAAAAAGAAAGAAAGAAAAGAAATTCACACGCTATTGACATTTCGAACATATCCCAGTGCTATAGGCAAAAGAGAGACGAGTTTCTATCATTTTTATCGATTTTATTATTTACTTCTAGATCTCACAACTTGGTCGATCGCAAGTCAACCAAGGGATGAATAGACCGGTGAGGGTTTTTTTTTGATAAACTTTGAAGCTTACTATTGAATATATAGCAACCACAGTACAGGACAAAAGTCTGTCAACCCCACCTTTCAATGCTATTTTTAGAAGTATAACCGCAAGAAAACCCTAGAACACCCCAGAACCTTTTTGACACCTCACGCAAAGTGAGGTGTCAAAAAGCATAATTTTCAAAAGCGGATTTCTTAGGTTTTCAATGCTCCAATCGTTCAAAAACCCATTTTTTTAGAAAATTGCGTGATCTGAAATGCATCAAAAAACGCTGTATTTTAAAAAGATAATAGATGTATCTTGTAGAGCTTGAATTGGGCTTTCAGAAAATATATGGTGTTCTGAGGTTTTCTTGGGGTTATATGTCTAAAAATAGCGTTGGAAGTAGGGTGCCGGCGCGGGGTTGACAGACTTTTGTCCTCTATTGTATATCATAAAATATTGTGACTTTTATTTATCAAGCCTTTTCCAGGTGATAAACCCATTCGCGAACCCGGTGAATCCACAAATGCGGTTGTCGCACTTCCCAATGGCGAATGTGAAGGTTTGTTGGAAACTGAATGTCAAAAGCTGACTTTTTCCTGCATTGACTTGGGCCAGGTCAAGCCAGGTACATGACTGGGTCAGCAAATTCGATTCGACAGAAGCTAGGCCTGGACCTGGCTTCTGATCTGGCTCTAGTCGTGCCTGGCCTGCCCTAAATCTGGCTTGACCGGATCTCTGACTATGTAGTATATGTATTTTATATAAAATTTCATACAGGTCGAGACCCTGGAACCCTCATCCTCACCCCGGCCTCGAGAATTCACATACGCGGTGGTGTCCACTCAACAACAAGGCCCACTCCATCCACACACCGCTGCTAACATTCCCACAACATCGTCCTCATCACCGATAAACATCTCAGCAACATCACCTGGGGTAAGTCTTGACTAAATTGTCATCAAGCGAAAACTATAATGATGAATTTGAGTCTTTTGAAGACTTTCAAGATTTTGATTCAAGAGCTGATTCAGGGCCAATCCAAGATCTTCAAACCGTTCATCACTTTTCTATGAGATTCTCTGAATCATTTGATTGTTTATTATATCAATGATATAGTCTCAAATGTATAAAAAACTATAATGATGTATTTAAGCTTTTTTGAAGACTAGGAACATTTTCATTCCGAGCCGATTTGGGGCCGATTCGAGGCCAATTCGGAATCTTCAAATTGTTGATCCCTTTTCTATGAAATTCCCTGAATCATTTGATAGTTTAGTGTATCAATAATGTAATCTCAAATTTAGAAAAGCGTTCTCAAGAATCGATTTTCAGTACATGGTCGCCTCTCCACAAGCGTATCTCGCGCACTGGGCCCAGATCATGTACTACGAGTTGGACGAGAGAGTTGGTGAAACGTATAAACCGACGATCGATCAAATCACCGTTGATGGGTTCACTTCAACAATCGAACCGAATCGGTTAGCGAAAAGTTATCAGAAATTTTAAGCGAAATGAAATTTTTCAGTCTCTGCTTGGGTGCAATTTCAAATGCGCGCAGAAATCCGGCAGTGTTGGCTGTGAGGAGACAAATTGGTGAGTGAAAAATCTGAACCGTTAGATAAAACCATTATGTTTTTAGGCCGTGGAATCCAGTTGACCCGTAGCGATGGAGTGGTTCGATTAGAGTGCAACTCCGATTCCCCGGTTTTCGTCCAATCACCCGTTCATGCACACCATATGGGCGAGAACTTGGCAACCATATATCGGATAGCAAAAAGTAGTCGAAAAACAATGATTCGCAATAAATTGCTTTAGATCACTCAATCGAGATTTTCAACGAGCAAGCTTTTGAGGAGATGTTGAACGAGGCGAGGAAGAGCTACAAGAGAACGTATCAAATGCAGGTCGGCTGTTAGAGTATGGTAGCCAGTAATTGCACAGTACTGTAGCCAGTAATTGCACAGTACTGTAGCCAGTAATTGAATACTTTGGTTAGTACAGTAACTGTACTTTGACGGGAATAACCGGGTTCTGAAGACAGGACTGTGTCTAGAACTGGGAATTCTAGTTGGTACTACTCACAGTTCCCGTACTGATCAAATGTGATACTGATTGTACTGATCAGTGCAAATGATTTCAAAGCTTACTCAATCCATTTGCAGAATATGTGCCAAGCCCGTGTTTCTTTCGTGAAGGGTTTCGGTGCCGAGTATCGCCGGCAAACGATTCAGATGACCCCGTGCTGGATCGAAATTCATTTTCAGGATCCATTGCAGAGAATAGATAAGGTAGGCCAGTTGCTAAATGTTACCGTAACCCAGTACCCTCTAACGTAGTTGATAGATCTAATTAGACATGAACACTACAAACGCAAACGCTTCTAATTTGCTTAAAATCTGCCGGATTGACATAATCTCAAAAAATAAAGAATCTCAAGAGCTTTCGAATGGACTAAAGAAAATCCAAAGATAACAATGCTAAGAAAAGTTACAGTGGTTTGTAGCCTGACTCGATCGCTTCGACTACGCGCGAGTACGGTCCGTTTTGAGCCAAACCACTGTAGCTTTCTTTAGCATTTACATTTTTCGATATGCTTTAGTCCATTCGAAAGCTCTTAAGATTCCCTATTCTTTAAGCTATAGATCATGTCAATCCGGCAAATTTGAAGCAAATTAGAAGCGTTTTTAGTGTGACAGTTTGTCATTTTTGTAGTTTATAGTGCTCATGGCTAGATATAGTCGTAACTCAGGTATAGTAATCTATCTAAAATCTTTCAAATTTGTTAGATGAGCTAAGCTGGATTACGGTAGCCTGGGCAGGCTTTAGTCGTTCCTCGAGTCAATGTTCAGCAAAAAAACTGCAAGTCTCGTTTTTCCGTAACAGTTGGAACTAGGGCAGATCAAAACTTGTGTACCACCAGGACTCGAACCCGCTACCTTTTTGCTTACTGGGCAACTGTGCTAACACCACAAAGCACTTGATTTTCCTACTCCAGAGGGAGTTAACTTAAATTTTGGTTTCTTGAGCCTGTTAGTGAGTATAATATAAGTGTAAAATAAGGGTTTTTAAAATAAAATGTTATCAAATTATCAATCAAGCAAAATCCGTTTTCAGATTCTCCGCTCTTTCCAAGATCACGAGGGTTTCGCCTCTTCATTTTCGTAGATTCAAAGTAAAATTAGCAAAAGATTTGCTTGAAATTTGGTGTTCTTCTCGATCTCTTCTAAAATCCGCGTTTCACTTCACACCAGTAATACAAAAAATGATGTCATAGAATTGTCATATCTTTTTTTTCCAAAATTTCCAACCATTTTCCATTGTACCTCTTTCTCCGAATACCGGTTTATTCGCCTCATTTCGTCTTTTTATTTTCGACAAATAGTCCAATAGTAAGCAAGAAAAAAAACAAGAAATTTCTGGTCGTTTACCCAAAATTTGATCCTAAATGGTTCAATTTTTGACTCAATATACCTCAAAATGAAGCTACCTGATCGATTTGTGATTCGTTTTTTCGCGTATTTGCTTTCCTAGTTTGAATGAGTTATTTTGAATTGGAATAAACGTTTAAAAAGTGAAGAAACATTGTAGAGTTATAGTAAAGTTACAGTTACATGATGACAACGGTAGCCTGCTTGGAACTCACTGTAGTATTTGCAAGAAACTTTAACAGAACGATGTATCAATATTTTACAAACTTTGTACGGTTGACAGAAAATGTTTGTCGTTTTCAAATCAAATACAGTCAAACCTCGATTTAACGACTCTCAAGGGACCGGGATTCTCCATCGTTAAATCGAGCGTTTTTATAAGGTTTTCAACTTCAACGGAGCTTTCTTCAACTTCAACGAAGCTCAACGAAGCAACGAAGCTTTCCAGAAATGTTCTGGCTTTCAACTTCAACGAGCTTTACAAAAATTACATCATTAAATCGAGAGAATCGTTTAATCGAGAGAATCGTTTAATCGAGAGTCGTTAAATCGAGGTTTAACTGTAGTTTTGTTCAGGAATGTTCTGGTTCTTGATATGTTTACTTGCATTAGAAATAAATGGAGGTAAGTGAGGAGTGAAAATCCCTAATGAAGGTTATTGTAGTCGATAAGGCTGCACATTTTTCAAATCTACTATTTGTATATGTTACGACAGAATCCGGCCACATTCAAGATAAATGCTAATTAGCGTGAGCTTAGCCAAGTTAAATGCTAGTTAAACTGTAAATTGCGCCTATTTTCTTGCAACACGCTAAAATAGTGAGACATCAATTCACTGTAGTATTTGCAAGAACTTTAACAGAACAATGTATCAATTTTTTTCTGGGCCCTTTTGCCATTCGATTAACAACGGCACAAAAATCACGCCTCTTCTGCACTTTTTGATCTTTTTTTTGAGTTTCCAGCAGCAAACTCAATTAACCTTGTAGTGAATTGAGAAGCAAAAATCATCTGTGAAAAATTGTGCACAAAAATGCTTTACATTGATTCGAAATGAGCTTTTATCATTGTAAAACGGCTAAAGTTTGCCTTTTGAATGGTGAAGATTTTTGACCGCTTGCAAGAGCAAATCCCGAAATTCACCGACTTTCAATAGTTTGAATAGAATGAGAGATCAAGTTCAGGCACATGATTTGTGCAGAGATTAATATAAAAGGGCAGCTCAATGGCAAGCAAAAATCATTAAATTCGTTCGATTGACTCTTTTCTCAAAAATGACCTCTTCAAAAGTTCAACTTGCCTTCTCGGCCATCGCGTTCATCATCTGTTTCTTCGTATCGCGTAAGTTAAAAAGCAAAGTGTACGATTGCTGCTTTTAAGCCAATACTAAGAATAGAACGCTTAAATCTAGCACCTACGCGTCAGCATGGGGATTTTAGTGCTACTCGATTTATTGGAGTATGAAATGGCGGCGTCTTCGAACGAACTTTTGAAAAAAACTATACCATAACTTTTTCTCAAATCTTTTTCAAATAACAATTGAAAATTTGTTGATTATACGCGAAAATCTCACCCCAATCTGATGCAGAGTTTTTGAGAAATGAGAGAGAATGTATTAAAAAGTTGCCAAGAAAGTAAAAGATTAGTTAAAAGTTGCCAAATTCCCTCAAAATCCAGACCGCAAAAAATTTGCAACAACTTGTTAGATTTTAAAACCTTTTAAGCCAATATGCCAATAGCCAATTAGCCCAATAGACAAACTTGTCACCAAAATATAAACATAACATAACAAAATTTTCATTGATCAAAAAGAATCACTTTTTTCAAAAATTCGTCCGAAGCTATTTCATACTCCCCAACCTGACAGCTTCCTGGTTTTTAGGCTCATTTAAGGTTTTTGATGTTTCTCATGATCTGTTTCCTAACTTACATAAAACCTATCAAAATTCCTAAATAAGCCTAGAAAGCGAGTAGCACTAGAATCCCCGTGTTGACGCGTAGGCGTTAACTTTGTGGGTTCCGTTCTCAGTACTACTTCAAGCTATAACACAATCCAATGCAAGAAACGAAAAGATAGTTCTGAAGTCGGATTATTTTTTTAGTGAAAGCGGTAAATGGATAGTTTTTCTGGCAATTGAGAATGAAACAATTTCAGCTGCTGAAATGATCGTAGCGCTCGTGCCTTACTGCGATTCTAGTTGTCCGGGAGGTCTGGTGAGTTTTTCTCATCATCAGTCCATTATCACTGTAAAGTTCAGTTTCCCAACGTTATGGCATGCTGCGAATATTACGCTACTATGAACGGATACATAAATCTTGGTGGTGCTTGCGCCGCTAACAAAGCCTATTGCGCTTACGACTAGATGCCGAAAAAGATTCCGTTTCCATGTGAAATGGAGTGCCATTTAAATGAAATTCTTACTTTTTCTTTCTTTGGGTTTATTTTTTAGAATGGAATGTAAATTTTTTAATAAACTTTTACTCAAATCAACATAAAAGTGCTAAGCTTTTCAAAATGCACAAAAAATAGCACAAAAAGGCGCTTTACATTGATTCGAAATCGTTTTCGGCAAAAGCTTTTTCTTTACAAAAAACGATCAAATTTGTTCATTGAATTTCGGCTGTCTACAAAGGTCACCTGTCCTTTGTAGACAGCCGAAAACGTCTCTTTGACTTTTCCTATTCAAACTATTAACTGAATTTCAATAGTTTGAATAGCAAAAGTCAAAGTTTAGGTACATGAGTCGTGTGCAGAAATTAGTATCAAAGGTAAATGCCAGGCAAACGCTAGCAGATTTATTTCATTCGTCCCCTCGCCCTTATTAAAAATGTACCATACAAAATGCTGGCAAAGCTGTCGAAATTTTTGAGAAATTTTTAGAGCAAAACGCCACCTCTAAAACTATGGAGATTCCGGCTTTTGCTCGTTTGACAACAAAACCTATTGCGTTGACGTGAGTAATCAATGAATTGTGATTGTTTTTTCGGATAAAATTATGTTTGTTAAGAAGAGAGACATATTCATTGGGCCATGTAAAGTACTTGTAATGATATTCGAAGAATATACCTCTTGCATCAAGATCCGAGTACAAAACGATACAAAATAGATTCAAAAAGAAACGCTTTTGGGGTAATCGTCGAATATTGGAAGAGTCTTTCATTGCAAAACCATAATTTTTGTAATAATTTTAGATTTGGAATCAATCTTTGTATTCTTATTGTCTTCTCCTTTGTGAACCTAGCATCGACTTAGCATCCAGATCGAAATCTCAAAGTTATACGTTTGAATCTCTGACAAAAGATTGCCTCTCCGATTCATCGAAACACCAATCCAATAATTTCAACAATTTATTCACCAAGATGTTACCAATTTCTTCAGTAAACAGCTTGCCTCTTACACAAAGCTTTTCTGAATCGGAGATCACATCGAACATCACTCCACGAATTAAGAAATTGATTGGCGTCAGTATAAGGTCCATTTGTCCAAATGTCGGAGAAAATCTGAACTTTTTGTTCCAATGGTTAATGATTGTTTATTTTGGCTGCAAACACTGCAAACAATGCAAACCTGCATACAGTATTCTCTTCCACGGAAATCGGGAGCATTTTGTGCCCAATTTACGTATCCACCCCATGGCGAACCATCAATCCAAAGCCAGTCGTCAGGCCCGGCACCATTCTGAAAAGGATAATTGGGTTGGATCCAGAAATTTTTGCAACCAGAGTCCGTCCAGAGGTTCATGACTGACAAAGGAATGTCAACTGGTGGTCAAATGACATCTGCCACGGGTTGCTCGATGCAGAATTCAACGCCAATTCCGAAATTGCTCTCCGTTTCCGCTTTGGAGCTCTCTGTCGAAAGTTATAAGTGTACAAAGTTTTGTATGGGATTTAAAAATCACACCCCGAGTTTATAAGTAGATTTCAGAACAAAAGAGCAGATCAAAACTTTGCATGCTTATAACTTTTGACAGAGTGTTCCATAGCAGAAACGGAAAGCAGATTCGGAATCGGTGTTGAATTCTGCATCGAACAACCCGTGGCACATGTCATTTGACCACCACACCCAGTTGACATCCGATTGTGGGTGAATTTGTTGGGCCCAGACCTTGACCAGATCCTGGCCTGGCTCTAGTATCATTTGGTCAGGCCAAAGCTGGTATTTGACACCGACAGATCAATTCCAGAAGCCAAGAACAATTTCTTTACTACCTTGCGTGCCCCGATGAGCGGGAAGTCAGCGGGGTCCGGGAAACCCCAATCAGCTGTCAGTAACTCTAAAAAAAATTTTGAAATCAAATTTTAATCAAAACTTTTCAACCATTTATGATTCGATTTTCTTCAGCACTTAGCACCGAGGCCAGTTGAGAACCCATTAGCTTGCATTGGCTGTTCGCGTCATCAAAGGTCACATTGGAGATTACCTAGAGCAAGTTAAGAATTGAAATTTTTGAATTTTTGAAGAAAGCTGTAGTAGGAAACCTTATAGCAAGCCATGATTTTATCAGAGTATGTCCATTCGGAAGGACATGGTGGAGAAAGGGAGCAATTGCCAGTCGTTGGACTGGCTGTTGTTGTTCTTGCGGTGGCTGGGGGAAACGAGGAAGTCGTAGCAGTGACTCTTTGTGTTGATGTGGCGATTGGGGCAGCTGAATGGGGCACTTTAGCTTTTGGTATTCATAGACAGGAATGGTGATTTTCCTTGAAACTTGGACACGCTTAGACTTTGTAGATATTTTAGACAACAAGGCTAACCATTCTTTTCCAAGCAAACAAACGGATAATGATGATTGTAGAGTGTTGTGCGCCATTTGCCATCCACCAAATTCATCACCAGATTTCCGGGAGCATCAGCTGAACATACATTATATTTGGCTATAGTCAGAGATGATCAAAAGGTAGATTTGTCGAATCCCGGCCGAATACATGCAGCCAGAAATCAGGTCAGGTTCCTGGCAGAGCCTGGGCTTCGTTTTCTTAACAATCCCTGATGATTTCTCACTTTGACTCGCCATATTCACATATCCACTAAATGTTCCGTCTTCCCAGAAAACATTGTGTCCATCCCAGGTACCACCAAGCCAAACAGCTGTTGTATCCTAAAATGTTCTTGTCGGTTATCCAATGTTTTCCCAGCTTAGTTGCTTGTTTAACCAACAAAGACCATATGGAAAAAAAAGATTTGAGAAGGTTTTTTGCCAAGCGATCATTAAAGATCATACCGCTTTGACATAAGCGGTATGATCTTTCAAAAATTCGACTTTTTCTTTGGTGACAGACTTTTTTGTTGACTGCTCTGTTTTCTGATTAATATTAAAAATTTCGATGTCGATTTGCACTGTAATAGCCTTTTAAATGGTATTTGTTTATTTTTCAAAAAAAACAAAGTTTTCCGTGGCAGGACTCGAACCCATCGCAAGAAGCGACACCGCGACACCGGGGCCCCGGTTCCGTAGTCGGGCACACTACCCTCTAGGCCGCCGTTGCTCTTTCTTCGTCTCTTTTTGCGCTCTTTTTCTATTGTCTATTCCCTTTTAAGGGACGAAGAAGCGGTGAGCGACTGAGCCGACTTCCGCTTTTGCGCACTATGCTCAAATTTTTGGGATCAATTTTTGCCTTAAATTTGAGCATTTCTTTCTTGATCTTTGTATGATTGTATGGTCTAATCAAAGCAAGTTATGAATCCTCAAAGCTCATCGTCGGACATCGGACAAGAAACAAATGCTATCGACAGTACTCCTACTGGGCTATTTAAAATTCTACAAGCGTATCTACCCAACTACTAAATTATTGTACTTGTTGTACATCACTAGTTGTACTTGTTTTTTAAACGATAACTCTTAAAGCAAATAATTCTCACATCAAGATTCAGCTCCAACACATTCCTGACCATTCTCAGGACAAGTTGATTGTCGAAAGCGTTCTGGATTGAGGCCAGTTTTGCATCGAAACTAAATCTTCGTCTTGAGGTGTTCAATAAATTTTCCATATTACTAATCATCGCAAAAGCCTTGAGCTTTCGGATAAGTGTAATTCGAATCGATCGCAAAGTAGCAATAGCCATCGATTGCACCATTCTCACCAGATTTTGGGCAATACGCAAGAATAGAAACTGGAAAAAATAAAGTTCAGGCAAAAATGACCAGATTTAGCTTGAGAAATTTCAAAAACAAATTCTTGACTTGATTTCTAAAGTACCTTAAAGCTTACCTGTGAAGAAAAAGATCAAAGTTAAACAATGAATCGAATTGTCAAGCATTTTCCGGTTCGAAATCATTTCAATATTGATTTGCTGGAGTCTTTGCAATCATTCAGTTATGCTTCAGGCTATCTAATCCGTTAGATAAGCTGGAAATTCTCACAAAAAGGGGTATTTGTGATGATTTGTGCAAGTGCTTAGTCAGCATATTATGTGAAATTGAGTTAATCGAAAGAAAAACTTGAGGCAAACAATAGAGAACTGAGTCAGATTCAATAGAGAACTGAGTCAGATTAAGCAAAAGAATTGTACTTTCTAACTTCAAAATTTCGAATAGTCATCCTTGGAGTTTGTGTACTCTTCGTAACATCGATCGTTTAATTTTCTGAAATCAAATCTAAAGTCAAACTATGGAGTCTCAATAATGTATTGCAGGTACATTTTTTTAAAAGAATATTTCTGATCGCTTAAGTCAAAACTATTAGGTTGTTGCAGAAGTCTTTGCAATTTAAAAATAATGCGGCCACCAATAAAATTTCTATTAAAAAACTATTAAAAAGCTTGATTTTTTTCTCTGCAGAATTCTCGGAAATCATTGATTTCATGGATTTTTTATGGTAAATTGTCGGAAGTCATTGTTTTTGTGGATTTTCAAATGCACAAAGGCACAAATTTAAATACAGTTGGTGCATGCGTCTTTTTTAAAATCTTTTTTCCAAACGTCTTTTAGAAATGATGCTACCACCAAAACAATTTCGATTTGAACTATTAAAAAGGTTAATTGTTTCTCTGCAAAATGGTTTTTGGGAAATTCTTGGAAGTAGTTGTTTTTGTGGATTTTCAAAGGCGCAAAGGCGAGCACCCAAAACTGCTCCGATCCCGAAGTCGCAATTTGGACGCTTTCTTCAATACAAACTAGACTTGAAAATCGAGGACTTATCGATCAATCGTACCTGCAAAAGCTGTTATTCAAAAATTTAAGAAGCTCTGCACAATTAGGATTCTCTAAGTCTTTCAAATCAGACGATTTAAATGGGTCAAAGTTGAGAAAACTCTGCCTGAATCGCTCAGAGTTTCGAAAAATTGGTGCATCGCGGGAGTACAGATTGATTTGCAATTGTTTAGAAAGTTTTATGATTTCATCGCTTTTCATGGCAAAAGAAGTACAAGAGTCTTTTTGACAAAGGTTGCTATTTAGAATTGAGTTATTTGCTTGAGGCATGCTTGAGGCGAGAAGTCCACTTAAGTCCACTTTGAGGGCTTTGGCTTTCGTGTTGTTAGCAGAGGAGTCCTGAATCAGATCTAGGATCAGATCTTGCCCCTAGATTTATTGGGTTGGGGAGAATGAGTCGGCGCCGAAAATGAAAAAAATGTCTAAAACTTCTATTCGACTTCGTCAAATCATTGATATGAGTAGAATGGTTAACTAATTCTCTACAAAATCACATTTAAAAGAAAATTCAAACAGCGCCTCCGCTCAAGAAAAAGCCATTTTCTCACAAAAACTACAAACTGTGATCTAGAAAAAACCATTGGTGGGATCTTCCTGCAAATTTGGCAACTTAAGTAATTGAATGTGCTCTATCTTTTTTATATAAACACCAAAGAAGGTTTATGTGAAAGAAACTGTTCAAATGATGAGTCGGACTCTTTGCCATTATAACCAGCTGCGTTTGGGAGTTCATAAACTCCACGAAAGAAAGGCTTTGTGGAATCTCTCAAAAGTCATTTTGTAGAGAAATAGTGGATCCTTTTGATGAAACCAAACGTATGTTTAAAGAAGGATTTATGTGTGCAAAAAGTCCCTTTAAAGTTTGGCGCCGACTCATTCTCCCCAACCCAATAAATAAAGAAACAAAAATATCACCAATTAGAACAAAAAATTTAAGAAAAAGTACGAAAAGAAACGGAAAAAAGTATCGAAAACTAGTGTGTTTTGAGAGAAAAATTCAAATGTTCAAAAAGATTTAATAGAATAAACCTAAAACTTTCAATAATTTTATTAAAGCGTTCAAAAGCGAATATTTTCAGAACAAAATACAGTTTAAAAAATGTTGGAAATGGTTATTTTTTAGAAATCACCTTGGTTCATGTGCTTAAATTTTTGCCAAGATCAGCACAAATTGTTGATTTTTAACTATTCCTATTTTGTCGTATTCATTAAGAGCTTTCAAATGATAAATAACATTCTACGTACTCTCTTCATTTCCTTCTTTTAATTCATCAATAAGCACTCATTCCATAATGTTGCTTTCTATTAGGTTGTCGGATTATGAATTGCCGTTGTCTTTTTTGCTTTGTATTTTTTTTTCAAATAAATTTTTGTGGTACTTTTTTAACTATATTAAAGAGCGTTTTATGCCGCGTCGATTGATATATTATTCGTCTATATTTGCTTAGATTTTTAATATAAATTTGTCTTAGGAAATGAACGACATCAAAAATAAAATGCGGATTTGTTTGTTGTACGACTTCAAACAAAGAAAAACAGCGGCAGAATCCCATCGCTCTATAAGCAATGCATTCGGAGAAGATGTTATCAACGAACGTCAATGTCGCAATTGGTTTCAGCGCTTTCGGGACGGCGACGAGAGCCTTGAAGACAAAGAACATGAGAGGCGATGAGGAACTTAAAGCAGCCATCGATTCTGATCCTGCCCAAACGACACGAGAACTTGCTGAGAGGTTCGGTTGTCATCATTCCACCATTGCTGACCACTTGCATGCCATTGGTAAGGTGAATAAATGCGGTAAATGGGTGCCTCATGAACTAAGCGATTTGAACAAAACAACGCGAATCAATATGGCCGGAATTCTTTTGCGTCAAGCCAAGAACAGTGATTTTTTTGAGTCGATTGTCACGTCTGATGAAAAGTGGATATCCTTTGATAATACCACTAGAAAACGACAATGGTTGGACCCTGGACAAACCCCAAAACCGACTCCAAAACCAGACATCCATGGCAAAAAGGTGATGCTATGTGTTTGGTGGAATAGCAAAGGATTGGTGCATTTTGAAGTGCTAAATTCTGGTCAAACGGTTAATGCGGACCTCTACAAAGAACAATTAAGCCGCGTCGATCAATCGCTTCGTCGACAGGGAGTGGAAACAGCGTCAACAAAATTGCTCCATGACAACGCGCGTCCACACACCGCAAAAGTAACTCTCAAAAAAATTGAAGAATTGGGCTGGGAACTTCTGCCTCACCCGCCATATAGCCCAGACCTTGCGCCATCTGATTACCATTTGTTCCGGTCGATGCAGCATTCCTTGGCCGAAAAAAAATTCAAAAACCGCGATGAAGTCCAAATTTGGGTGGCCAATTTCTTTGAGTCACAGCCGGTCGAGTTCTTCAACAAGGGCATTCATTCTTTGCGTGGACGTTGGCGAGATGTCATAGATATCGATGGAGAATACCTTTTAGATTAAATTATTTTTGTATTGATTTTATAATAAAATTACTTTTTGATAAAAACGGCAATTCATAATCCGACAACCTAATATATTTGGTGGGATCGGATTTTCGACTCACTTCATTCATGACTCTCACTGCTTGTTCAACGACCTCGATTTTTGGGCGTTTTTTGGAATCCGGTTCAGTGCACCTAAAAATAAAGAAATGCACAATTTCAAATTTCCTCTAAATATAACGTCTAAACGTCTAAGCCCACTCATCGATCAAGTAAACGATCTCGTGTTGACAATTTGCTAGTGGTAAGATCCATTTCCCAGTCAAAATATCATCGGAAAAAGATTGAGCAGTGAAATTCCCATCATGGCTTTTATATCTTTCATGTACTTTTCTAAATGTAAATGTTTATTGATTGGATTTGTGATTGCAAATACCTTCGCTCAATCATTTCCCAAATGATGAGGCCAGTCGAATAGAGATCGCAACTGTAGGACTGCAAAATTTGGATGAAAAATCTTCAAAAATAAACTTTACCCTCATTTTCCGATCAAACAGAACAATTTCAGGGCTTTGATATTTGAATGATTCAGATGTTGAAGAAGTATTCACAAAATTTGAGTTAATTTCATGAAAACCGTTCAAATCGGTCAACTTCAGCATAAAATCCTTGGTGACAAGAACACTAAAAGGTTGATTTTCAAAAAGAAAACAGAAAAGAAAAGCCGAACTTGTTTGGCTTGATATTTCCATGAATGAGTGCTTCAAATTCCAAATACAATAAAGCGGAGAAAAGCTGCTCGGCCCAAGTCAACACCGTTTTCATTGAATAAACGATTTTTTGATCGAAAAGCACTGAAAATCAAGTTTATTTCAAATTTGCTGTTAAATTAGCTGTTAATTAGTTAATTAGTTGAATCTTTTCATTTTTCTCAGCCTTAATTCTACTCGAAAATGTACCTGAATGCAGTGATCCGCGCTCACAAAACTCGATCGAAATTTCGAAATGATCATTCCTGAGGCTGATTTCATTGAATTTTGTGATATTTGGATGATTGAGTTTGAGAAGATGGAGAAGTTTTGGCTCGGCTATTGTATTCAAATGAATCGATTTTACAACAACAGCTCTGAATTTACAACAACAGCTTGAATTGGAACATGGTTGAACTCAAAATTTGCTAATAATTTAGCTAAAAACTTACGTATTCCCTTCGATCAACCAAGTTTCACCAAAACATCCACGACCAAGCACTTGCCTCGATGACATCAATTCTAAATTGGATCAAAATTTCATCATAGATTCAATGCAACAAAACTTTTTTTTGAAAAATAAGATGAAACGAAAGTGCGGGAAATTTTGAGGAGGATTTTGCGGCTTTCGAAAGTGCTGATAAGCCGACAAAGACTGGTGATAAAAGACGTAAAAAGACACACTGACAGGCAGGCCGATAGCCAAGAGAACGCCGAAAACATGATTTTGATCGAGTTGTTTTCGGATGACCGGAAATTATGTAATATGCCGTCAACTGACAAGTCGCAAGTCGAAACATACAAGAGAAGAGCTGATGATTCAAGAAGTGATTGAAAAAAAAAGAAATTTGATAAAATAAATCTTTTAGGCCAAGAAAATGTCAGAAGAAGTGGTGAAAAGAATCAGAAAAACTTTTGAAAGTTTTGAGGAAGAGCTCAAAAAGGTTCAAGAACAGTTCGACGAGAGGAGTCTGGAGATAAAAATTTTTCATCAAGCATTGGCGGTAAAAGATACTTCGCTGAACATTCCTAATATTTTCATAAGGCAATTCGACTTTTATTGTTATTAAAGCAGCGACTCAGAGTGAAATTTCAGTGTTTGAACTCTGAAATTGAACATGGCACAACGGCGCGAAAAAATTTTCTGGTCAAAATTCAAGTTTGACATACCATTCGACGTAAAAAATTGCGCTGATTCCGAATCTGAAACTTTTTTAAAAATCGGTTCGACAGTTTTTCTTAAAAATGAGATTTACCCAAAAATCCCATTATGGGTTTTCTAAAAAGCACTCGAAAACACGTATTTTAGGATGGATCAAAAATCCCTGGCGAATTTTTAAAGATATTATCTTTCTGGTCATTTTAAGACCAAACACGTCAAAAACCATTGATTTTGAGGTCAGATAAATCGTTTTTAAAATCACAATGGATAACCTACCGTAACCCGCGCACAATAGCTTAAGGGTCGAATTCTAAAATGCAATCAATTCAAAATTTGCGTTTGAATTTTTTTTTAACTTTTATATAGCTTTTTTTTCAAGAGTTTTGTCCATTTTACTATTTTAGATTTATTCTTTTTCATATTTCGCACGTACCGCTCTTTTTAAAGCAAAATGCCTGGGCTCAATGTCTGAAGAAGGACTTGAAAGCTTACATTCAATGTATGAGCAGTTAGGCCAAAGAATTAAACGAAGTAATGAAAACGAAATTTTACTTTACGCTGCTCGAAAGTATGCTGTGAACGTATTCTTTTTGATTCTGGTTACTTCGATGTTTAATTTTGCATTTGGTTATTTGAATCTTTCAATTTTGTACTTCTTGCTAAAGGCTATTTATTTTTAGATCTAACTCAAAAACGAAAGACCAACCCAAATCTGCTAGATTTTCTTTTATTGGCTCGCTCCATGTCACTTGCCCATCCAGCGTTGTGCCCATCCGCCACAAAAAATTCTGCAAACAAAGCGCTCTGTTCAGGTAATAGCTTGAAAAACTTAACTTTTGTTGCTTTGGATGAGAAACGACGAAAATGCAGAGAAATAGCGTTAATGAAAAAAGAAATAAAGTTCAAAAAAATTCAAACGCATTGAATTGATTGCATTTTAGAATTCGACCCTTAAGCTATTGTGCGCGGGTTACGGTAGGTTATCCATTGTGATTTTAAAAACGATTTATCTGACCTCAAAATCAATGGTTTTTGACGTGTTTGGTCTTAAAATGACCAGAAAGATAATATCTTTAAAAATTCGCCAGGGATTTTTGATCCATCCTAAAATACGTGTTTTCGAGTGCTTTTTAGAAAACCCATAATGGGATTTTTGGGTAAATCTCATTTTTAAGAAAAACTGTCGAACCGATTTTTAAAAAAGTTTCAGATTCGGAATCAGCGCAATTTTTTACGTCGAATGGTATGTCAAACTTGAATTTTGACCAGAAAAATACTTTTTGCCTTATTTCGCGCCGTTGTGCATGGATCCAATGCAGAAGTAACAAATGTTGAACAAGCAGATTAATAAATTCTTATAGTTATTCTAATCAAATTTCGAAACAAAAGCCCCAAAAAGTGAGTCCTATTACATTTCCCAATGTTGTGCAAGAGCCCTTTTTGCTTAAAATTTTATAGTTTAGAGAAATTTACTTGATTAGAGACACGTCTTCCGGAAAGATGACTCAAATCTTTCTCCGAGAAATATTCGAGCTTCAAAGTTCAAAATTTAGACGAAACTTTTGTTAGTGAAAATAATTTCTTTAATTTTTTTCAATAATTTTATTCTTTTATGTCAGAAAAGAGATAAGAAATCAGAAAAAAAGACTTTTCGAATCATAAAAAGAGATTCCCGATTGTTTTCCAAATAACCTTTGAGGATCATTTTCATTTTATTGAACCAATTTTTTGAAATGATTATATTCCCATTCAATTCGATTCCATCGGGCATCAAAAATTCGATTTTTGAATGCTTGGAAATCAGAGATTCGCTGAAATTGCTGAAAGTCGACAAACAGACGAGGGCATAGGTTCGACAAATTGAAGTTTTTGTGGAAATGTAAAGGATTTCTTCAAACTTGCAAACTTTAGTAGAACAGGGACAAGTCTTTCTGTCTAGCCATAGCCATATTTAAGCCAGTAATGGGTTATGGAAATGTCTTTTGGCTTCTTACGTTGTCAAATAGGCTAGACACTGAAGCGTGATATGGTAACTTTTTTGGCGACAGTTCATAAGATGCAGATGTTAGATGTACGTAAATACAGGGTGACACAAAAGTTCGGAGCCACCTCGTTTCTAGGGCCAACAGAAAATCTTTTGAAAAGCGATTTAGAAATTCGAAATCTAGATGAAATTTCGGTCTAAAAAAGAGTTTTCGGCAAAAACAGAACCTTCCAATCGAGTAGATAAACCAATTTTCTTGTGAAATAACAACAAAATTTTTGCGTTTCAGCTTCAATCACTCTCAAATATTGCTTTTCGTCTAGAAAAGAGTTGAAAAAAATAGAATTCCTTTTGACTGACTACGTTTAATTAGAAATTTCAAAAAATTCAGATCATTTTTGAGAGAAATTCAAGCGACCAGGCATTTGGCTTGATTCTGGCGATATATTACCGATTAAAAGACTTCATCTTTACTTGCAAAGCCTTAAATCAAACACAAATTTGCTATAATTACATACTTTTTTAAGAATATTCAGCGTTGGATAGTTTTTTGCTATCTTAAAAGCTGAATTTGATGACCGAAAAACAAGGTGACTTCGAACTTTTGTATACTTTAAAACTTTATTACATTACACTCTGTATACCTTAAAACTTGTGCTTTGAGAAGCAATTGAAATCACTTATTCACAGGCTTACAACCAGGACTTTTTAAATGAAATCCATTATCAGATCCTTAGATCTTACACCGTGGCCTTGTTCCAAAGAAAAACACCAATGTTCACTTTGTATTCTTCGACGATCCCGGTTCTTTCACGACGGATTTAATCGATAAAAATCGACCAGATCCAGACAAAATGCGATACAATCTGAAATTGAACATAAAAGTCAATCGAACACTTTTCCAGATCTCGAGCGATGATCTCCGGGTTTTCGGTGGGAAACTACTACGAACCAAGTTTTCTACCCATTTTCTGCGATCGGTTCGTTCAGTCAGAAACTTCGAAATCCGGCTTTGGTCATTTGCTTCGAACACAGAGAGAGCTTGGGATTTCTTGATCGAGAAAAACTTTTCCCTAGACTCAGAAATATTTTGAACTTTCAAATCGATGGTCCATCCAAAATCACAATCGATTTCCTTGGTCGATTCGAGGCCAAAATCCTTGGCTCACTATCATTTGACAACGATTTTCTCGAAGAGCAATGGGCACAAATCTTTGCAAATCGAAATTTCAGTAATTGCCGAGTGTTTCTGATACGAGCTGGTCAGAAAATGCATCAATTTTTGGGCGAAACAAGTGCTGAGTTGATCTTCGATCGGGACGATTACATTCAGCCACCGCGTGACGATGATAACACAAATTTAGAGTTAAATGGTGATGGATTGGCAGAGAAATTCGAGTTTTACTTGAAAAGTAAAAATGTTTCGAAATTCGATCAGGTTTCAGTCATTTTACAAGGTTTCTTGCCAGTTTTCCGTTTAAGAGCCGGCGAATTCGAGGCATTTGCTGAGAAGCTTAAAAATGGGATTTTAGCGTTCGGTTTAGAGGAAATCACTGACGAATCACCGGATTCTTTGAAACTTTGCCAAAGTTTTGCCGAAGTCACACAAAAATACTCAACAATTCCGATTTTGGAGTTTAGTACTAGAACGGGAGCGCTTGAGGATTGGAAATTCCCGGAAAACGATCAAACAACATGGTTTATGAGAAGGAAAATGTTGGAAAAGGACAGAATTTGCATGGTTTCGGTGAATGAAGAAGATCAACAATCAATCGTTCAGATACAGCTTTTGATGAAAGATTTTGACAAAAACGATGCAAAAAATGGTTGAATCAATGTGTGATTAGGCCTTTTTGTGTGTTTGTGTTGCTTGTGTTGCTTGTGTTGTTTGTTTTTGAAATTCTGAAATTATAAAATTCTATCCTTTCAAATCTTTTATCAGCTATTTCCTGTCTCATTTCGCTCTCTTTCTCCACTCGTTTTGCTAATATCAAAATGTCTGCTCCCATCATGATAAACGGCTGAGCGATGGAAATAAAAGTCACGAACACTTTGATTCAAAGTGAGGTAGATGATTGCTCCCAGACCTGGAAATATAAATGGCAATTAGGAGTCTTTAGAGGAAGTTCAAAGTGTAAATCTACTGAAACTCCAAGTGCAGTTACCGATTCTGGAGAAGAATAGGGATAATGAGCAAATTTAGCTCCTAAACATGTTTACCATACCAGTAATTGTTTGCCATAGAAATTGCCCAAGAATCGCCCATCCAACCGTTGACTTGTTTGAGAATTGAATGTACAAGTAGAGAAAACAGCCAATAATTGCAGGACAAGTGAGAAAAGCGGCTTGGACTAGGGCCTAGATTTGAGTTTGGCAATTGTGTGGTGTTCAAGTGTGAATGACCCGAGCCATCTACCGAGCTTGTTGGGGCAAAAGAGCCAATACCGGTCAAAGACCTTGGCCTGACTTCGGAACGCTTACTTCTTCCATAGCTCGGATACTCTAAAGCCTGCTCCAGCTACCGTAACCGAAATAGATTGCCACTTTAATCCTTTTAGGTGCATTTATTGGTGTTCATGCCTCCAAGTTGGTTTACTAGGTTGATGTAAAAGAAATTTCTGTCAGTATAAAATGTTCTATTTTTTTAATCTGGCAATCTTATTTGATTTTCTTTTGTAGATTTGTACCCTTGGATATTTACTTTAGTTTTACGCTTTTTCTAACAAGGAGATGCCATAAAGATTTTGATGGGTTTTGACGTAGCAGATTTTGACGTCGTTGGGATGCAAACGCCTATCAGACACGGGAAATCCGATGCTGAACTCAGTTTTTGCCCATATTCAAAAACACGCGAGAAAAACGTGTCCAAAGTTTGGGTGTCTACTCGGGAAATCGTGCCACGGGCTTATAAAGACTCTTTTCTGACCGTCGAAATGTGGCCAGATGGCGTGGTTGTAAGTGGATCTTCTTTTTTCTTCCTACCCGATCTTCTTTTTCTTTTTTTTTGGCTGCAGGATCCATTTCGGGAAAAACTTTTGTTTTCTTTTGCAAAATTAGTGAAAATCATTTTGAATCGAAGTTTCTTTCCACTACGACATCCCTACAAATACGATAAAAGTTGGGCTATTTAACGACGCAAGTTACAGATTACTGTAGTCGAATCATGCTTTAAAATCTAACCGAGCACGAACTCACATTTTTTTCTTTACTCGACAATTTCTCGTGTCGCCCAAACATTATCATTATCGAAATCATCAGATAGAAGAAGGTAATCAAAATAGAAAAGAGTACATTGTTCACTCCATGCATTCTATTTTCGTACTTGGGTAACTCCTGAAGCCAACAATTACACTAATTGCCAAAGAAAACTAACAATTTGTTGGTCTTCAATGAATGGAATGTAGAAGGCGAGGAAAGATTTCGAGTTGTAAATGAGCGGTTTATGAATGACGCCTGTGTAGAAGCTCCAAGCACTTGCCAAAATAAGCCAAAAATAGATCGGGATTCGCTGAAATCTTGATCTTTTTGAAAGTTTTGACTTCTGCTTGTTATTCATAACATTCAAATTACTCCAATCAATTTCTACCGTAACATAGTGAGTCACTTTCACCCATCCAGTGATCACAATGAAACGATTGAAGGCTAAAATCACATAAAGTGGTGAGGCAAACATCCAAGAACCTGAAAAATACAGAATATTATTACACTTTGAACTAAATAGTGTTTTCAAAAGCAGTCAAATTGATTCTCTAATGATTCCCTAGAGGTTTCTGATTGCATTGAAGAATAGACTCACACACAAACTACAACCCTGATGTGATCATAAAATTGCAAAAGTCAAAAAGTCAAGAAGTCAAAAATTAGAAGTCAAAAAAGCACTTTACCTTTGAATTTTAACTCATTTTCAGATTTAGCTCATGAAACGGTTTCTACACAAAACTAGCTTGCAGTTACTTTTAAATAACTTAAAATTTTTGATTTCTCTGTTTACATTAATCGAAATACAGTCTAGACAAGGGCACTATAAACTACAAAAATGACGAACTGTCACGCTACAAACGCTTTAAACTTGCTTCAAACCTGACGAATTCACATGACCTATAGCTCAAAAAATAGAGAGTCTTAAGACCTTTCGAATGAACCAAAGTACACCCAATGCTAAAGAAAATTGCAGTCGTTTGTAGTTCTGTCTAACGGACCGTACTCGCGCGAAGTCGAAGCGATCGATTCACGACTATAAACCACTGTAACTTTCTTTAGCATTTGATATTTTTGGGTGCACTTTGATTCATTCGAAAGCTCCTGAGATCCTCTATTGTTTTGAGCTATAGATCATGTGAATCCGTCAGGCTTGAAGCAAGTTTGAAGCGTTTGTAGCCGATGTCTAGAACTGTCACTTGCATTGAACACACAAAATCACTCACATTGATTGAAGACTCCCTCGATGTACATGAAAACGGGGTTCATACAGAAAACCGCACCCATCGACATCAGAAAGCCGCAAAAGAGCGAGTTGGCCACCAAATTTGTCATGTCGGCGAAAATTATGCACAACATGATCTAGAGGAGATTGAAAAGATTAAGAAAAGCCTAAGCCCTTTGGTAGATAGATTTTTGCTTGATTCGACAGAAGAAGTATCAGCTTTTACCTCTTTTCCTTCGTTTTTACCTCTTTTACCCACCTGATAACACGGGTTTTTCGTCAAACGAAGCTTCAAAATCGCGTAAATCGTCGGAATATAGAGAAGCTGAGCTTTCGTTTGAAAAAATGCTCTTCTTTGCAACTCACCAAGTAAACCACTCCAAGCATCACGAAAAGTTTCCCCAGCTTGGGCCATTTCTCCCCGGTTTCCATCCATTCCTCGACGCTTTTCCCCGAGCAATTGTAATATGTGTCTGGATAGTTGAAAAAGTTGCGGATTGTCTAAAAAGTGGGCATGAAAGGTTTAAAAATTGTATGAATTGAGAAATTTGTACGCTTTAACTAGCCACTAGACGAGATTTTGTAGTTTTTACACAAAATTTGTATTTGATTGGTTGTAAAGACAAGAAATCTTCATGGACACATGTTTTTCGAGCTGTTCTTGCACTAGACTTGTTCAAAAGAAAGGCTCAATCTATTAAAATATTCTAAAAGAGCCGAAAAATCTGAAAAAAAACATTCAAATCACTTACCGTCATCGAATCCATCTTTGCAAATTTTGAAATTTAAAAAATGTCTTTCTTTTGAGAAAAAATGCCTTTTTTTTTCAAGAGAAATCTTGTCTTCGTAATTGGGTGAAGTTTGAAAATTGGTGAATAATTGGGCAACGAGTTCAGCAATTTATTTCGTTTCAGTCAGAAATTCTGTAGTCGACCACAAACGAGCAAAGCAACAGGTGCCTTTCACACCCACTATTGTCTGTTCTCTAAAATTTTTGAACCAAGAGCTGTTTAACTACTGATGGGACTGTTGGAAAAAATGTGAACCTTATTCTATCCATTTTCATCAATGATTTAACACTGAAAAATTCAACTAACACATTTTCTTTTCCAAATGGCCAGTAATGTTTATGTTCTTGATTGCAAAATAGAAACAGAACTATTTCACAAATCCTTTATAACTTATCTATGTTTATGATTATGTTTATAACCAGGACTGTTGATATTTTTTGGTCACTCGCATTTCGCCCTCGAAATTTCTTCAATGGTTCGATCATTTGAAACATGGTTTAGCCTATTTTGTAGAGGAGATTTACAACTTTCAAATAGTTTATAACATTCATCGATATCAGGTTTCTATCGTTGGAAATTTATAAAAATGTTAAAATCTACATTTCTTATGCATCTACCTAATAAATGTTTCAAAAAAATGGTACAAAAGTTTAATCGGATCGTTATCATCAACATTTTTGAATCCCCGTTTGCTCTGCTGGCTGTAGTTTGCCTTGATTTGAGTCACTCGTCGTTGTTTGATATCCGTGTACGCGAGATCGATGAAAGTAGTAATCGCGAACACTTTGATTCAGAGTCAAATAGATAATGGCACCAGTTCCTGGAAATGTTTCATCTAAGAAATATTAGTCAAGGTTGATTCTTTGGTTACTGAACAACGACATTCGAACAAGTTAACCCGTACTTTAGCTACCGTTTAGTTTCCAATAATTATTTCAAAATCAGACTCAATTTCGCATTCATGAAAAGGGTAATAGGATTACTGTAACTTTTCTCTGCTACTTTTAAAATTGCTTAATCTGCTCCATCGGGCGTTTAACGGACATTTTGACGGACACAAGAGTTAAGCAGAGATTCCACAACTTATGCACAACAACTTATGCACAACTTGCAAATGCGTTTGCATTTGTATTCGAATCCACAAGCTAATCCAAGTTGACATAAAACTCTGATTTCTTACACATGTTACATGAATTATTCGAAATGTTTACTATTTAGGTATCTGGCGTCCAATGAGCCAAATATTTTGCGTCGCTGCTTTCAAGTAACAGCTTTATGACGCGGCACCAAATTAGAATAAATAAGAAAGATTATGGCGCCCGTTCCTGGAAAGTTTTCTTCGATCTTTGATTTTACGAATTATTTCGAAATTCCCGTAATTGTGATATGCTTTGGGTTGAAAACACAGCCTGAAAACACAGCTCTGAAATCACTGAAGTACGATGAAGGATTTGATTGGATGAAGGATCAAGGATTGAAGTGTGATGAAAGATCTCCAAGAATTGAAAGCTTCCAAAGATCACTTAAGTTGAGGTTTGTTCAAGTGATGTCTTCGTTCTGCCTTTTTCCGCACTAGGACTATTTTCGTGCTGATGCGGAAAATCTCGATTTCGAGAATGGATTAGCTCTACCCAGGGTTGCTTCTGATAGCGTGAGCGCCAAATTTGAAGCACTGAAGCTTTAAACCCCTTGAAAGCTCTCTATTTCCAAGAGTCCCTTTACCGGTGATCGTTTGCCACATGAATTGCCCGAGAATCGCCCATCCTTTCGTGGCTTTGTTCGTGAATTGAATGTACACATAGAGAAGGGAGCCGATCATTGCTGGACAGGTGATCAGAACCGCTTGGATTAGTGCCTGGAATCGAGTGAATGAAATGGATTTTGTACTTTTCTGGTATCCCCTATAATTTAATAGTTCTAACTATTGTATTTCAAGTTATGAATGTCTGAATGATAGCTACCTTTCAACGATCTAGATCTGTTCAAGATCAAGAGCAATAAGCCGAGTGGAAAGAAGCTTTTATCTGGTCACCTACAGTAAAGCTTACGGGGCAAATTTTATTGGGCGTAAGGGCAAATTTTATCAATTTACAACAGTTTGTACAGCAAAAGATTTCTGTAAAAGGGAAATTTCTTGTTTTTCTTTTAACCGAAGAAAAAGAAACCTTCTGAAAAGCTTTTGAAAAGCTGAAAAACATAAAAATTTTCCTTTCCGTCTGGTATAAACCTTTTCTAGATTAAAATGAAAAACTAGCCAAATCCATTCTCAGATCACCAACATTAATCTCCTTTTTAGAGATCTGCTTCCGATGCGTGCCCACGAGCAGAATCAGCGAGATCACTGAGTAGAAGAAACAAATGAGAACAGAGAAGAGAACATTGTTCAAAGCATGCATGCGATTCTCGTATTTCCCGAGCTCCTAGACAAAGTGTTTCCTGGATAATAAGAGTCACAAACTATAGATGGATCCTCGATAAATGGAATGTAGAAAGCGAGGAATGCCTTTGAATTGTAGGTGAGCGGTTTGTGGAGGATTCCCGTGTAGAAACTCCAACTCGCCGCCAGGAAAAGCCAGACGTAGATGGGAACTCGCTGAAAAGAGTTCATTTAAAGTCATTTGACTTTAAATGTTGGACTTTGAGACAATTGATCTTTATATTTCTGGAATAGGAATTTGAAAGCACTCAACTGTACATGGCTTAAAGCTTTGTGAACCTTGTAAAAGTTGATCTTTTTAGCTTGCTTTTTTGGACACAAAATCCTTTGAGGTTTCCTAAAAATCATCCATTTCTTTAACTTATAAACTTTAAGATTTTGTTTATAAAACTCACACGATCAAGGCATCAAATCTAGCTCTAATTTTTTCAAAGATTCAGAGAGAAAAGAGATGTCAAAGTTTTTCAGACTGAAAGGAGATGCCAAACTAAAGCTTAGCTGGGTTCAAAAGTCGACAAGGTTTCTGCTTTTGTTCAAATTTTACGAATTTCGACACCCGAGATTCAACTCTACTAGTAATTACAATTAGTAAAATCCTTCAAAATCACTTACCGTAACATAATGCGTGACCCGGACCCATCCAATGATCACAACGAAACGATTCAACGCCAACACCACGTAGAGAACCGACGCGAAACCCCAAACGCCTAGAATTCACCAAGAATATGCACTTTTTCGAATTTCTTGAGTGACAAAGGTCTTTTAACACTTTTAACAAATGTTTGAACAGTTTCAATTCTTGGGTTAGCCAATAATTGAGTCACGTGAAAGAAAGTCAATTTTGCCGCAAAGTTTTAGTCGGCCCTCAGTGTTTACCACTAAAAGAGACAATTTCCCTTATTTCAAAACACTTTCATTGATTGAGGATGCTTCCTTATTTCCTTATTAGCTACTTCTTTTACATTGGTGCGAATTTGCTAAATGGGCATATTCAGCATGTTATGCCACTTGGGTTCGCTAAATGATCATCTTCAAGCCTAGCTCTAGACCACATAACAAAAGTAGACCGATTGACGGGTTGAGTGTTTTGGGAGACCGGTTGAGGTTGTTATTGGAAGTTATTCGATACTGGAAGTGCTGGAAGTTATTGGATAGCAAGCAAACACTTAACTATCTTAACTTAACTTAACTTAACTAACTAACTAACTATACAGTAATCAATTGCATTAGGTTGATGCATAAGTCTTTTCGTTTTTTTCGTACTTCTGTTAAAAAGTAACAAATTCACGAATTAATCTATAGTTTGCTCTATAAAAAAAGTGTTTTTTTGTTCAATTTGCATCTTTTTAAATCAATTTCGGTTCACTTTCAAGCAAATTCGAGAGTGAAAAGCGCCTTTTTCGTAAAAATCTATAAAAAACTCTACGGAAAAATTGGCTGAATGAATTTCTCTGAAATTTTGGCGAAATATCAAACTTTTTTTTCTCTATCTTTTATCTATTGACACGAAGATAGGTTTTCTTTAGCTAAGCTGTCTAAACCGCATCATCGAGTGAGCCCTTTTTGACTACCCGACTTCATACTCTCAAGAAAATCCAGGCATAAAATATTTTTAAACCCGTTTTAATGTTATTTTGCAGAAAAATAATTGGTTTTTCTAATGAAATCAACCGTAGTTTAATTGGTGCATTTGTTGGCTTGAAACGGCAGACGAAAAAAAATGAAAAAGACTTTTGCATCAACCTAATAGCACTTAACTCAGGAAGCTTTCTGGAAGTTCAAGAATCCAAGCAGGACCCCGCTTCTGCCTTGCCTGACCTGTTCGAAAAACCTTCCGAATGGCAAAACTCTGGAAAAATCGATTGACAAGTTTAATATGCACCGACAAAGTCATAAGTGATTCCTATTTGACACCGACTTTATCGATGAGTCTTTCAGTGTACTTCTCGAGCTTTTTCACAAAACTTTCCACCAAAATCTAATTACTAACCAAAATGGGAAACTCAAAAATTCCAGAAAATTTTGTACGCGTGTGTGAGCCGGCCATTTGTCATTGTTTTGGGTCATTGCAATTGTAAAAGAGTTGGGTGTGGGGAAATTTTTGATTAAAATTCCCGGAAATTTTGAATCGTTTTTCTCATTGCTTTAAAGATCTGTGATTGATCAACAATGATCTCATTGAATTTGGGGATGAAAGGGAGGGAAATAATCACTAAATTTCCCCATTCCCCTCATTTTCTCACCTCAACCACCACCAATTACGAACGCATATAAAAAGAAATGCTTCTTGTAAAAGCCTCAAAAATTAATTGGCTTTTTGAGCTTTGTTTTCTTTTGGCTAAAGTCTACTTGTTTTCCGTTTGCTTTTTGATATTAATTAGTCTAGTCGATTCATTTACTCAATCAAGAAACCCTTCTAGATAGGGAATTGTTGGATTTTTACATTTTTTTGGTTATTCTAGATATCACACAACAATTCTAGCTTCTTAAAACACTTGTTGATAGGATTGAGTTGAACCCTTTTCTCTGGTTCATTTACCCAATCGAAAATAGGTTGGCTATAAAGAGGGAATCCATTTAAATGCCCTTTTCTTGCATTCTGGATATCACACAACAATTCTAGCTACTCAAAGTTCAAAGCTTGTTTGACAAAAACAAACTCATTTGAATACAGTGCACGACTACGCGTCACACCAAATCTAAAACTTCGACCAGATCGCAATATGAATGTGAGTTTGTTTTGTGACAAGTTAAATGCAGAATTACTGTAACTGAGGTGCAGCTAAATCTTCGGGTTATGGTAGTACATCAATTAAAAAAAAGGGAGAGCAGTACGGTATTGATATTAACCAAAAAAAATAGTCTATTAGGTACTTTGTAAAAGAAATTGCAGGTCATAAAAACGATCATACAATGACTGTAAGTAAAGATGATCCGGTTTGATTAGTATTTTTAGAAACCACAAAAGTTTTTCTTTTTAACGATATAAAAGTATTCGGTAGTGATGGTTTCTGGGCGGAATATAGACTTTTTAATAAGGTACCAAAAAAACGACTTAGCGGCGGCTTAAACTTGTAAAAAAGGATTATTTTTGATAAATCAGAAGCCCAAACTTAATAGAAGTTATTTACAGAAAACTAAAACGAATTTAGTGGACTATTCTATTATAAAAATTCTTTTGAAGAGTTGTGACTCTCAAAAAAGGGTCAAAATTCGGGTTTCAAGTTTATTTTCAAGAATTGTTTTAACAAAAAGTACGTAACAAACAAACCTAATTTGTATCTTATTTGTTTTAGTTAGTAAACTTCTATTATTTCATATTAGTGGTAAAACATTTATTGAAAAATCGTGGAGAAATCTGGAGGCTCGGCCATTTTTGGTGCCTTTTTTGAGACTCGACTGGCCTTCCAAAAGGAAGTTTTGTAAAATTCTTTTTAAATCGTTAAAAAGGGAAGATAATGTGGTTTCTAAAAATACTAATGAATCCAGATCATCTTTACTTACAGCCATTGTATGATGGCTTTTTATGACCCACAATTTCTTTCCCAAGTACCTAAAATTATTCAAAGGGCTATCAATCGACTACAATAGTTCGAGATTCTGGTTATCCATGTACCAGCTAAAATATTAGTTGAAACAATTGTCTGTACATTTGTTCTTTTCAGAAAATCCGGGCTATCTTCTACTACCCGGACTCCTTCTATAACTGCTCCGGGAAAACGGTTGAAGAATGGATGGCAACCGGTTTTTTTGATTAAAATCGCATCAAATGTGGAAGATTCTATAATATAGAAAGAATTTCCGGTCCCTAGTTCCGGTTCCACTGAGAGTCGACTCTATAAAAGCAAAGAATTCAGCAACATCAGTTTTTCACAGATCTGATCAATTGGCTCTGCTTTCTACACGGCCTCCACACGACAATCTCATCGGTGGCGTTGATTGTTTACACGAGAGCCTATCGACAATGCTTGTATGAAGATGTGATTAGAAAGACTCAAGCGATGGTTTCAAAGCTGAATTCTAAAGTGAAAAAGGTGCATACTGTGAACATTTATGCGCCTTCTTGAGATAAAGAACATTGAAACGATCTTCAATTTAGAAACATAATGTTAAACATGTTGTTTTGAAAAGCAAAGCAACGGTAACAGCTGTTTACTAGAAAAGCTTCTTTATTTTCTGTAATGCACATCGAAATTCCGATTTCATTGTTTGAATTTTGATTTTCTCTTTCAGCGTGTTTTTTCAATTGCCTATTGCCTAAGAAAGGTATTCTTCTTGAGGTTTATTTATCTGCTTGCCGTTTACGCTAAAGTGCATGTATCCGTAACGAGCCGCACCTTGAAGCAGACAATTTCTCGAGAACTTGAAACTGAAATGAATTTGGTCAAATTACAAGTATTTGCCATGTTACTGACACAAGTTAATGTCATCTACGTGAAGTAGACTTAAATCTAGGACCAAGATCAGATCCTGATCCTGATTCAGGACTCCTCTGTTACCAACACGAAAACCAAAGCACTCAAAGTGGACTTAAGTGGACTTCTCGCCTCAAGCATGCCTCAAGCAAATTACTCAATTCCAAATAGTAACCTTTGTCAAAAAGACACTTGTGCTTCTTGTGCCATGAAAAGCGATGAAATCATAAAACTTTCTAAACAATTGCAAATCAGTCTGTACTTCCGCGATGCAACAATTTTTCGAAACTCTGAGCGATTCAGGCAGAGTTTTCTCAACTTTAAATCATTTAAAGATAAAACATTTAAATCGTCGGATTTGAAAGACTTAGAGAATCCTAATTATGCAGAGAGCTTCTTAAATTAACAACTTTTGCAGGTACGATTGATAAGCCCTCGATTTTCAAGTCTAGTTTGTATTGAAGAAAGTGTCCAAATTGCGACTTCGGGATCGGAGCAGTTTTGGGTGCTCGCCTTTGCGCCTTTGAAAATCCACAAAAACAATTACTTTTAAGAATTTCCCAAAAACCAGTTTGCAGAGGAACAATTAGCCTTTTTAATAGTTCAAAATGTGTTGGTGGTGGCATCATTTCTAGAAGACGTCTGGAAAAAAGATTGTAAAGACTTATGCACCGACTGTATTTAAATTTGTCTTTGACCTGCGCTATGTAAAAACGTTTATAACATAATAAGTAATAACAAGAAAGTCAAAAAGCTAGCAAAAAGCTAACAAGTTCTCAGCAAAATCATTTACAACAACTTTAAGTAATCATTTGATTTTCAGTGATGCAACTGAATACAAATCATCCTCATCATCCCAAACATCCGGTCGAGCTTTCTCAAGTTGCAACTCTTTGCAGAAAAGATTGCAAACGTGACGCGAGAAGAAATTGTCGATCCCATTCGAACCGTGATTCATTTTCCCGAAACGCGACAAATTGTTGCAGTGAATAGCCGGATCGGTGAGCAAAATTGTTTTCCGACCATTCACCATGCCACAAATCCCTTCCAAATCGACCACCATCAAGTAGCCGTTTGTGGCCTAAAACGTTTTTGATAAGAATATAGTTAGCTTAAGGCTGCTTTTTAAAATTGAATGTGGTTACTACTATATTTAAGTCTGTATTTTTATACTTAAGACTAAACTTTACCTTGTATGTCCAATGAGAGAAAGCCAACGTTTCCTGCAACCTCTCAATCGGAATCTTTTTCTCGTTAGCCTCTTCCTTGGACAACTCATAAAATGCATTGTTCGTGAAACGATGGAATTTGTCGGAGAATCGCCGCTCGCACGTGAGGAAACGATCCCCTTCACTTGACGGAATGCCAATTGTTCGCACCTTCACAAAATCAATAGCTGCAAAAGAATCATTTTCTTTTCCCATTTTCTCTTCCAAAGCTTTTGTGAATTCTGTGGCCAAGTAGCCAGCAGTTGTTTGCATTTGATTGAATAGCTCATGTCTTTCCGCGGAATTCATAGTTTTGCCCAAATGAAGAAACTCTTTCAGGACGACATCTTTACCGGTGGTCAAATTTTTTCCATAGTATGCAAGTCGTTCAGCACCTTTTGCGAATGAAGCCACAGCTACTTTGAAAGAAGCTTTTGATGGAGTACGACGATTCATCGGCAGTTCATGCACAATAGCTGGGATGCTTGTCGGTCGGTCATATGATATACAGGTTCCTTCGATTGCTATAAGCTTGTTCCAATCGGGCTCAGCCGTGTCCAGCGTATAACTGCGCTCTTTTCGCACGGCTCCGCCCATCGCTTTGCTTTGTTTGACCATTGTACTGACGGAAGCGCTTACCGAGGCAATCACCGATCCACTAACGTTTGCCACATCGCTCACGTCGAAGTCGAGGATTGGTTCATTGTAAGCCTCGGAGAACTTTTTGAGCATGATATCGGTGGAGCTGTTGATTTTCCCAAAATGATACTGAATTCCCAGATCTGCGATCTTCTTGAACAGAGAAGTGTGCGTTCTTTTATTTGGATCCCCGGCTGGATAATCATCGCCCAGAATGTCATGGAATTCTCTACCATGACACGGTGCATCGCAAATGTGAAAGATCACCTTTGTGCCGGCGTTTTCACTCCATTTCAACTCTAAAGCCTTTTCCAATCCGCCGAACACATCTTCCGGAGCGTCAGCGCCACCAGTGGCTGTGATTTTCAAGCTGAATTGTTTGAAATCGTCAATCGACTTTGTGAAATCAAGTATTTCAAATTGATTGCTATCACCGTGATCTCTATAAGCAACGAGGGCAAACTTGATTTCTTGAACGATAGATTCCTCTTTGTTGCCGGCGGTGAGTTTGTCAACGATATTTTGAATCGATTTCCGCACTTCGTCGATGTGTGGCTGCATGCTTCCAGTTGCATCCACTAAAAAGCATATCACTCTCGACCCATCGAGAGCGACGTATCGCTCCGAGAACTGCTTTGACGCGAAGTCGGCGAATCTTGACCGCAACCTGGAAAGTTTTGGTTAAATTGGCGTTTAGCGCTTAAAACCAGTCGACAGTTTTTACCAATAAAAAGGCCCATTTATTCTCTAAAACAGGCTTTTGACAGGTTTTGTAGGTTTCTAGGGCGCAAGAAGTTGAGGACCCAAAAGTAATGAACACTCGATGGAGCGTTTTGCACTTTCTTTCTTTCTTTCTTCCACATAAACCTATTTTAGTGTCAGTAAAAAAAGGGAGAGCATAACAAGTTAAATAAATAGCCAAATTTTCAGCTAGATATAATCAACCGCTTTTGTTATAGTTCCATTTGAAGAATTTTCAGAAAAACTTGAATTTCTGCTCAAATTCATTTCAAAAGTTAACCAAATTTGCTTAAGCATGTCGTAAATTAGATAATATATAAATTTTATTTAGAGAAGTCTAATTCAATTGGCGTATTAAATATGTTTTATGGAAAATACGAAAAAGTGTACCAATTGTAACCGTATCTTCACAACTAGGGAACGCGAAATTCTATAATATATCAGACCAGGAAAGGTCTGGTTACGGTAGCTAAGGCACACTTTAGACCACTACAGAGTACTTACCGCATGCCTCTCAGCGAGTGTCTTGTCGTCAACATCCGGCCCGTAGTCGATCCCTTCATCTGCGTGAATCATGCGCAAGCGCTTGTTCATTTCTCTGTTGCATTTCTGAATTATAAGCTTAGATTGGTAAAATATTAGATTTCAGCTAACTGCTAGGATTTTAAGCGTACTTTTGCCATTTCTTCCGCCATTTTCGAATCATATCCCCGACTCCGCGATCTCGACTCGCCGTTGTTTTCGTTCATCCATGAAGCCATAGCAAAATCTTTTCTGAACTATTGGATTTTACTTCAAAAATGAAAAGGGAAATGGAGGAAAACAGAGCATTTCGACCCTTATTGAAAGCTCTTTATAGGTTCTTTGACTCTTGCGCAAAGAAATTTTCTCCGATAGGAAAATGATTGCTGAACGGAATTTCTGTGTTTTGAAAGAAACAGTAAAGAGTTTGCTTTCGAAATTTTATGCACTTGTTTTTCATCAGTTTTCTTTATCTCTTTAGTAAATTTGAATTTTGCATCAAGAAAAGCAGTTTTGTTGATCGTAATCAGAAAATTCAATCCAAAATGCAAATTTCCCTGCTACACAACAACAAACCACAAAATACATGAAACGCAAATTATCGAAAATCACTGCCACATTTCAGTTCACATCTGGGTTTTTTTGTATGCTAAGGGCAAAAGTCATGGAAAAGCTCAATGTGGATGGAAAAAGCAGTGCACTTCCCGATTCACCCCCTAATAAAAGCCCCGGATTGCATAGGGTTTTCCAAAAAGCGGGGAAACACAAAAATGATTGCTCCTTTTTTTAGTTGAGTCACTGAAATTTCTATTTTGGCAGATTGAATGTTATTGAATGTTAAAGTTCCTTTATCAGTGAAATAGAATGTTGAAAACAAGCGTTGCCCAAATCCCTTGCAAAGCGAAAAATGACATTTGGGGTTGTCGAAATATTTTGCGGAGCAATCGATTCTTTTCATAGAAAAAGAAACTTAGTGATGGAAGATGTGACGCCATAAACGAGCAACAAGTGCACATTCTGGAAAAGATATCCAATAAGTGTGCCAGAAAACGAGCGTTTACAAGAATTGTACAGTATATGGTAGATCAATTAAAGCTTTAGATCCTATTCTTAAATCTCACTTGGCTTTGCCTCTAGCCCACTCAGCTAAATATCTTCTAGTTTCGTACAAATTTTGAAAGGACTCTATGCCCGGGTTTTCTTCTTCATTCTCTCTTTCTTTTTCTTATTTCTGCCACTAAATTTTATTTTTCAGGTTTCAGCTGAAGTTTTCGCTGAGCCGCGACTGACGTAAAGGGAAACGGCGACATCAAGAAGACGAAAAGCACCGATTTCTTCTGCAATCACGTCTATTTTTCGTTTTTCTCTTATGCCTTCATCGCTTCCTGTGGACGTGCTTTTGACCTCCACTTTAACTCAACCTTCAAAAAAGATGCACACCTGCTGGAAACTTTTCAACAATTCACTACTAGTGAGTCTTTTCTATCAAGTACAGGATTTTTTCAACTTTAGCCTAAATGCTGACGGTTGTATGGAAATCTCATTCATTTGTATGGGCATGAAAAGTCGAAATCGGTTTATTCAATTGCGAGAAGATCAGAGATGAACTGATAACAAGATAAATCTGATGTTCCGAACTGATCAACTTTATCACAGAAACATTGAAATGGTAGTTGATCTCTTATCAGTCATTTCTTTCACACCCCCGCACTACTTCACGTATTCGCTTTTCCAGAATTGCAAGAAATCGAATGATTTGTTGTTATCTTATCTTTTTGCAATGTTTGTCATTGTCTGCGGGATTCTCCGGAAGTGACCAGGAAATCAGGAAAGGTATAAAGGATGGATTTTAGACGAAATTAAACCAGCTCAGTGGCTTTTTTAGAAACACAATAAGCTTAAGTGAAATTTGGATTTGGCCGTTTGTTTCGCCAATCTTTTGCGTTTTTTTTATGAATCTCTTCCATTTAGATGCGTCTCCTGACCTCTCTCATCCTTCTGATCTCTTTGATTTCTGTCATTTCATCGCTCAAATGCTGGTACGACGTCAACACCGTCGATCAATTATCGGACTCGGTGAGAAATAGATAAATTCAAATTTTAGGCCCTATTTCAGGCCGAAGCCCATGTCTGCGATTGCGGTGAGTCGTGTGCAAAGATCAACGCGGTTCCGAGCGTAAGTGAATTTTGAGGAAATTGTTTCTAGCTCAGAAATTGTATCCTATAGCTTTTCTTGTATATGTGAATATCAGAGAGGCTTCAATCGGCCCCCAAGACCAAGTCAAGTCGGACCAGGCCAGAGCCCGGTTAGAATTCAGGTCTCCGGACTTTTAGTAAATCGGGTAAAGACTTCCGACTTCCGATCTTGTCTAGTCTGGCTTGACAAGGCTTATAAATTCTGGAAAATTTGCGCAAATTCGACTTTTCCAGGGCAATGAGACCTACTGGGTGAGATTGTGCGGTTGTGGGAAATCGGGTCAAAATGGGGAAGAGTACGAGAGTTGTCCGGTAAGGAAAAATTTGAAGCGATTTTAAGAACCAAATAAAACTTATCGAAACTAAACGTTTCTATGAAAAAGATCACTTTTCAGAACGGTCAACCCAACGATAAAGAGTGGAGCTGTTGCAAGGGAGATCTCTGTAATAAGAACTAGATTCTGAAGGTTTAAATATCGTTGAATGCTTTGAAAATAAACGACTTCAAGTTATTGAGATGAAATTTCTCAAAACTTTACTTCCGATAGCACAAAAGTACGCTGAAGTTGATGAAATTTAAGACTTGGAAGAGTACAAGAAAGAGAAAATGTGTTCACATAAAGTATTGGTAAATCTTTTCAGAAAACGATCTAAACTTTGAGTATTTTCAATCAGTTTTACAATTTATTTACATTTTCTTGTCAACTTTATCCTTGATTCGTTTTCTACCCGAAAAACCACGATGATCAGGCTAGAAATTGAGATTAGGAATAAACAAACGAACATGAAACATGAACGATCAAACGAGCGTTTTCAAGTCACCGAAGTGTTGCTTCATGATGGGCAAAACATAAAACAGAGGATGGTAATGAGAATGGCAATGGTTGATGATCAGAAACCAACGTACAACGAGATCATCTTTTTGATCTAAATATGAAATAATTTCAGAAAGTTTATTACTCAACTGATGATCCTACTAGCATTTTATAAAATTTCTCACCTGTCGGGTCTTCAACAACAAGACGAGTCCCCTGTTGTCAACACTGGCGTTGTTGCTCACGTACGCCTTTCTGAAGCCTTTCTGCCAGTTTTCCTCAACGACATGATCAAGCTCTCCGGGATTCCGCAGATTCCAAAGCCTAAACAAAAAGATTAATTGTACAAAGTTAAAAATAAAATTGTTTTATTTTAAGTCTGTAAACTTTTTAAATCTTAAGATTAGAAACAAAGTCGTGGCCCTTGAAAAAGTTAAAGCAGGACTTTAGCTTAGCTTTAGACTCAAAAACGTACATTTCCCTCAAAGCCCCGCAATTCCACGCGTTAAACGAAAACCGGCTTCTCGAGACAATCTGTTGAGGAAAGCTCGGCACATTGATGAGGCGAAACAAGCTGCATCCGATTCTCCCAATCAACATCCGCCTAGAAAAAGTCGTGTGCTCCTTGACAAATCTCGGCTGCGTTCTTCTTTTCTCGGATCGCTTTGAGAATTGAGGAACGTATGCTTTGAGAATTCCCGTCAACTCTTTCATTGAGTACTCATTCAATTCGTGTTTTCTGAAAGAATTTACAGAATTTCTTTATTTTCAGAAACACTTTTATATAAACGCTTATCAATAAAATCACTATTTGAGAATTTTGATTTTTTTGATTTGATAGTATTGGACACTTTTTGTGGGTCCTGGTGTTTTTAGCCTATCATTTAGTACTCAAAAATGGAAACGCATGTTCTCTGGTGCACTGCAATTGCAAGATCTAATCTAGGAGCTTGGGAAAAGAGTATCAGAGGAGATGTGTTCACAGTTTGGAGCAAAAAGTACATGTACACAAAATACATGGAAAAAAAACCCTTTCTAACGACTTTGAACGGTGCTCGACCAGTGCAATCTATCTCAGAGTATATAAGTCTCTAAATAAGGCATCTTTCGCCCCATGAAAACGTGAGCTTGTGGTGTAGTGGATAAGAGTTTTGTTTTCGCGATAGGCGAGCGATTTTTTTGTTCGGATTCGATCCCTTCCTTTTATTTTCCTTTTATTTTGATCTTTAATCGCTCGAATTCTCTCTATTTTAACTTTCCAATAAGTATTATGATATCTTTTATGGGTATTATGGCGTTGATGGGATATCAACGTCTTTATCTATGATGAGATACGATTACGGATGAACTTAGAGCCAGGACAGAGCAAAAACGAGGAAGAAAGCTAAGAGTTTCATAGTTTTATGAAATCCCCAATGCAATCATTTGCTAAACAAGCGTTTTTCTAGTGTTTCTGATTGTATTCAGAAATTCGATGAGGTTCAGTTGATAAAATTTGTATAAATCTATTCACCAAGAGATTCGATTAAGCTAAGCTCGTCTTCTATTCAATCAAAAATGCAAAAGATTACAGATTTTTGCAAATTTCAGAACATTTATGCTATGATTGGGTCGAATTTTCATCCAAATTCATTCCATTTGCAAGAATTCCCTTTAACATTTCAATTTTTGCAATCAAATTTTGATTAAACGAGTTCAAATCAAGTCCGAAAAGTGGGCAATTTATCTCCGAGAAATTGGATGAAACAAGAAATGCTAAAGTTCCCACAAAACTCCACTGTACAGCTGTTTTTGGGTTATTTTTGGTTTCAATTTCAATCAAAATTTTCGAAATTCCACTTGTTTTTCGTTACAAAAGTGCAAAATCGAACAGAAAAAAACGAAAGAAAACAGTGATTTTTGATGTAATTTTAGCGAATTTTGCTTCGTCTTGGATCGGGAGAACCGCCTTTCACTGTCCTAGATCAGACTGATCACACTTGCAGTAAAACCAGGCCAGGACTGCAGCATATCCAGACCAGGCAAAGCCAGAAGTTCGGTCAAAACTTGGCTTACAAAGTCATAGTTTTTGAATGAATTTTGTAGAAATTAAATATTCTTGAACATTCTTACACTTGAATTCTTGAAGTTTTGCTTTCAATTTTCAAATTTTAAACACATCTATTGTTTTGTTTTGTTTTTAATCAAAAGAACTTTACGTTAAGTTGCGCAAGTTTCGATAATAGCCGTGTTTTATTTTTAAAAACTACCCTAAACTTGTCTTAGTCTTTACCCAATTTATACTTTTGTCGATTTTTGCAAGTGTTCAGTTTTTAGCTTAAAAAAATGCAAACAAATGGATAGATTAGATAAAAAGGACTAAAGATAAAGAAAAAACAAAAAGAAATCTAGGCTTACTAAAGTCTTCTGGGTCTATAAATTGAAGCTCTTTGATTTTAGATCACTGATTTATTGGGTTGGGGAGAATGAGTCGGCGCCGAAAATGAAAAAAATGTCTAAAACTTCTATTCGACTTCGTCAAATGATATGCGTTTGATATGAGTAGAATGGTTAACTAATTCTCTACAAAATGGCATTTAAAAGAAAATTCAAACAGCGCCTCCGCTCAAGAAAAAGCCATTTTTTCACAAAAACTACAAACTGTCATCTAGAAAAAAGCATTGGTGGGAACTTCCTGCAAATTTGGCAACTTAAGTAATTGAATGTGCTCTATCTTTTTTATATAAACACCAAAGAAGGTTTATGTGAAAGAAACTGTTCAAATGATGAGTCGGACTCTTTGCCATTTTAACCAGCTGCGTTTGGAAGTTCATAAACTCCACGAAAGAAAAGCTTTGTGGAATCTCTCAAAAGTCATTTTGTAGAGAAATAGTGGATCCTTTTGATGAAACCAAACGTATGTTTAAAGAAGGCTTTATGTGTGCAAAAAGTCCCTTTAAAGTTTGGCGCCGACTCATTCTCCCCAACCCAATACTTCAACCTATAAGATTCTTTCGAAAACTTGACTCTGAAGTTTTTAAACGATAGCCAATCCAAATGTAAACCCGAAATCTCACGTTTTCTCTGAAAACTATTCATTTTCGTTCCCGATTTTAGTGAAAAAAAACTTCAAATTGATAAAATTTCCCTGAGAAACAGGAAGAAAGTACCAAAAAAATCGAAGTTTTCATCAAAAAAATCTGAAACTTTTTAGTCTCACTGGAAAAATCTCACGTAAATTTTGACCACCAGGCTTCATTGACTACAAACAAAGCTCTTGATTGGTATAAAAATCGCAGAAATTTCCTGAAAACTGAGAATTTAGAGATTTTTGAGTGAAGAACAAGTCAAACTTTCGAACTTTTCTTTTTTTTCAATTTAAAATCCCTAATTTATCCTGAATCACTGATTTTACAAGGCATTTGGTTAAATATTTTCTAAATCTTGTTCCTTTTTTGAAGCAATAAAGTTTTTGGCTGTGATTTCAGCTGGCTTTTCAGCTTCAGCTTCGATGTACACGAACGCGAAAATCCACCTGATCGAGTGGTGCATTGCGATGATCTTCAATGCGATTGTACTCGTATTGATCCTTCGATTCTCGCCGAAAACTATGGGAAAATATCCATGGTTGCTGGCTGTGTACACCCTATTCAACGTCGTTTTCTGCACATTGGATGTGATCGTGGCACCGGTTTGTGTGAATACTTGAGTAAATCAACCAGTAATTGCAACTAGGACCGGTGATCCAGTAAGTTAGACTAGACAAGGTCAGGGATTTTTTGTAGACCAGCCTAGCTCAGATACCTGGTCCTTGCTGGCTTCTTCTTGGATCGGGAGAACCGTCTTTCACTGTCCTAGATCAAACTGGTCAGACTTGCAGTAAAAATCAGGCCCGGACTGCAGCAGATACAGACCAGGCAAAGCCAGAAGCCCGGTCAAGACTTTGCTTCTGTCTAGTACTAGCCCTAGACTCTCCAGAACCGTATAAGTTCTGATCTTTTCATGATTCTGAGCTTTCCTGTCTTGTCCCTGACCCAGATTTTCTTTTGGAATAACTTGAACGAAACGAGAATTTGATTGCTTGAGCCAAATTGTTCCCAATCCAGGCTCCGTACATCTTCGGCCGAACGTATCTCTGCGTTTCTTGGAGTGAACTCCTCACCGATCAACACCTACTCTACACTTTGATGCTCTTCTATTGCAGTGGATACTCTCAATTATTGGTTTTTCTCAGTTTTCAGTTCATCTATCGATATGTGATTGTTTGCAAGTGAGTGAAAAAGTGAGAAATGGGATTTTGGATTCAGATCGGATTGGGTTCCAAAGCTGAAAATGGCTCCGACTCTTCTTTGTGGATTGGTGTTTTATTTGGTTGTCTGGTGAGTGATTCAAAATAGATTCAAATCGAATTTTTAGTGGCACTTGGACATTAAACACCCATATTGCTCTTCAACCGGATGATGAGATTTTCAATTACACAAATGAGAGATATAAGAATTTGACAGGAAGGGATGTGATTGGGACGGGATCTTTGGCCCAAGCATTTGAGGTGAAAACGGTTTTTGATAGCTTTAGCCTGCTCCAGACCAAAACCCGGATCAGAAGACGGATTTTTGGACTAGGTCAGACTTGCCGTAAAGCCAGATCAAATTTCGCCCAATGATAAGATAGGTTCAGAGCTGACTCTGCCACTTGGACAGTAAACAGCCATGGACCTTTGTGGACAAGGCTGTAGTAAAGTTAGCCTTGGTTGACCCTGACCATCATGATACTGATTTGTGAAATCTTTAGTCATCAAAAAATGACTCCGGTCGGGTCATAGGTCTTGTAATCGAGGCCAGGACTGGGCCGGTTCCCGACTTGAAGATAAACCATTTCGACCCTAGTCCATTTCAGGGAGTTTTTAAGAGTCAGATCTGTAGCAAAGTTAGGTCAGCTGGGTCTGAAATTGCCCTTGAAACAACTTTAACTTATTTCCCAGGGCGTCTCAAACCGCGTCATCATTCGTTCCTATATCGGCATGATGGTTTTTTCTGTAATTCTCTCTTTCAATTGGGCTTCTATCATCTATTGTGGATGGTCGTTAAATAAGGTGAATTTTTGAAAGTTTTGAAAGAATTCATCAGAACTTCTGCCAAAAGACGTCAAACTTGAGCCCATTTTAGGCTCTTTCTGGAAGTGGGAAAAGCACAAAGACGCGAAATATGCAGAAAGAGCTGTTCAAGGCATTGATCTTTCAGGTGAATCGGACTTTCATTAGCAGTAACAGTGCTAAAGTAATCAGATTAGTGCTCAAGTTTGAAATCCCATTCAGCTAATCGTCCCGTTGATCTCCGTCTACTCGCCAATGTCTTTCTTTTTCATGTCAGCTATTGTTGGATTCGAGAAATGGAATACAGAGGTTATTTGCATCATGTTGATGTTGGATCCGATTCTCGAGCCACTTGTCATCATGTACTTTATTAAGTGCTACAGGTGAGTGACTGGGATAAAGCAAAGATCAACTCTGACTCAAGATTCTGATTCCAAAACTAAGCCTGTAAAGCTTAGATGAGGCTTATTTGCTTGAGCAAAGAACTACAAAAGTTGGCACAAAACCTGCAGTTTTTGAGGTTTAAGTACATTCATAAAAACCTAGGTTCGATAGCCCAACAGTTTTCTAGAACATTGGGATTCTTTTGTTGTAAAAAACCAATTGATTCACTTACTTATGAACTCAGACGCCCACTCGTCCGTTTCATTTGTTGTGGAAAGCGGCAAATCTTCGGCTTCAGGACAACACTTTCGGTAAGAGATTCTCAAAAAAATCACCTTAATCACTATCAAGTTGATTCTTTTAGCTTTAAAAGCCTAAGGATAGCTTCTATTTTCAAATAGTAAATTTTATCTTTCCAGAACCCACCCCGATACAATGCTGACGATGATGGGGGTGGTGGTGGTGGAAATAACCGACAAATTGGACCACAAATCGCATCATCGACTCAAGGACAAACCATTCAAGAAAGCTTCCAATATTGAAGGTGTACATTATGCAAAATTGGGAGAATTTTTATTTATTTGATAAAGTTTTGTGTCATTTTTCGATGGCATTTGGCTTCACTCTTGAGATTCTTTTCTTCTTAAGTTTTCGATTTTCATGTAAGCTGGCGCGCATAGTTGCAATGTTCATTGAACAATTGAATGAAAAAAAACAAAAACAATAAATTGTTAGGGAATGATAATATAAGTGATTATAACAGTATACAGGGTGTCCTCAAAAAAAGGCCCCTTTTCAAACCGAATTTTAGAAAAGCTTTAATTGGTGGCACGTCTGGTGCTTAAACTGTTTTTTCTTTAACCCATTCGAAACTTCTGCAGCGAATAATCGCTGCAACAAAAACTCAGGAACGGACCGCTGCAGCGATTATTCGCTGCAGCTCTAATTGAGCTATTTTCATTCAATTAATTGCTTTTTTTTGCTGCTTTTCAGCATTACATGTATATTCCAATTGTAGCAGATCTACAAATTACGTGGACAAAAAAAGATGTTTCATATTTACCCGGAATCAATGCAGTCTCTGGTTTTGCATTGAAATGTTCCATAATAGCTTTAATCTTAAAAAGCCGATCTCCTGCAGAATCCAGTTTATTATCACAAAAACGCAGGTTTCGAAGAATAGATTCAAATTTTGCTCTTGACATAATGTGGGACATGTGGGGAAATCCTCCTAATCCAGGCCTGCTACTCCAGTAGTCACGAATTCTCGGTATTTTGACGATTCCCATTTGAAGCCAGGAAAAGCTTGAAAGATTTTGCGTCGAAATCCTGCCAGTTTGTTATCCTTTTTCCATGTTTATTAGATTCACCTACTAAAATATTGTCGTCGATAAAATAAGAACAATAATCGATAGGATCTTGAAAAGTACTGAAGTCAAATCTTCATCAAAAATAAATGGTGTAGGAGACTCTCTTACATTTTTCCAACCATAAATAAACTGCTTCGGAGTCAAAAATGTCAAAAAAAGGCTTGGTCCGTAGACGAAAAAAAAGAAAAAACGCTGCGGTTTCGAATGGGTTAAGGCAATTTTTTCTTGTCTTTCACCACCACAGAAATTTCATGTATGTCCCGAGACATACATTTTATTCCCGAGAATTCCGGTCGTTTCATCGGCTCTTCTGACCAGCATTCTTCAATAATCTTTTTACTGAAATTTAAATAAAACTATATTCACATTTAACAAAAACAAACATCCAATCTGGAGTCGGCTCGGGTATTTCCAAACAATTTCCATTTCTCAAAAATGGAACAATTTCTTGATGAGAAAATGATTCGAATGGAGATTTCCCAAAAGAATACTTTAAAGGTGTTAATTTTCAACCCGGATAAAGACCAATAACAATTTTAAAGCTCATAATAAAGTTACAATATAAAATTTTCGCTTTTTTTTATTTCATAAGTTTCATTTCGGTCTCAAATAGCACGTTGCTCTCATTTCGATTTTGTTCCCACAGATAAAAATGTTTTACTTTTGGGAAACTTCCTCGTTTGGTCACTCCCTGTTGCGACCCCGGAATGAGGCTCTTTGGCGCGTGTAAGCTGATTTCTTCCACGTTTCCTTCATGTACATTATTCAGCTCAAATGAAATGCATTCTGCTTGCCAAACTGGCTACACCGTTGTTTTTTCTGCAAAGCTTATGCTCATATTTTAAAAACTTGAGAAAAATCCTAGCAGACGCCTTAAAGTGCGTTATTTCTTAAAGGTGAGTCAGACTTCCCTTGTGGGAAAGTCAGCCGTTGTCTCGAGCCGCCGAAGAAATCAGCTTACACGTGCCAAAGAGCCTCATTCCGGGGTCGCAACAGGGAGTGACCAAACGAGGAAGTTTCCCAAAAGTAAAACATTTTTATCTGTGGGAACAAAATCGAAATGAGAGCAACGTGCTATTTGAGACCGAAATGAAACTTATGAAATAAAAAAAAGCGAAAATTTTATATTGTAACTTTATTATGAGCTTTAAAATTGTTAGCAGTTATTGGTCTTTATCCGGGTTGAAAATTAACACCTTTAAAAGAGAAACTTTTCCCGGCCTCTAAAACTGCTCAGCCATTGTGTTCTTGACTAGCTCTATACTTTGAAAAGTTCCCCCAATCCATTTAACGAATTGATTTCGGTGTGCTACACTGAGCGTCCATGAGATCAACGTTATAGCATCTTAACAAATCTTTGTCTATGAATTTCTTTTAATAGGCCCGCAATTAAAGGATCACGTGAGAACGTGTGGGGCAACTATTTCTTCACACATTTGCTTCATTACGCTACACTGTGGCGAGCGTTTGTGAAGGGAATTCATGCCTCACGGGAGATAAAATAGAAGAAAGAAGACTGAGAGAGGGGAAAAAGGCTTGATAAGCCTGCAGGTCTCCATTTTCCTGCCATAAGTCATGCCTCACGGAAGATAAAACAGAAGAAAGAAGACTGAGAGAGCAAAAAAAGCCTTGATAAGTCTTCAGGTCTCCATTTTCCTGGCATAAATCATGCCTCACGGGAGATAAAATATTAGGTTGTCCAGTTATAAATGCGCGTTTTTAAGCTAACAACTCTTTATTTTAAAACCAACAGTTTAACAGCTCAATCAACAATATATTCACCATTTGTTAACAATATTTGTTTCCATCTTCCATGCAAAGAATGAATTCCCCCCGCGTAAAAATTGGCTTGTTTTGAGGCAAAGAAGTCGGCTATCCATTTTTCGACCTCTTGAACATCTTTGAACTTGTTTCCGGCCAAATGGTTTCGCATTGAGCGAAATAAATGGTAATCCGAAGGCGAAATATCCGGAGAATATGGCGGATGCGGGAGAGTTTCCCAGCCCAACTCTTCGAGTTTTTCCTGAACAATCTTTGCAACGTGTGGACGGGCGTTATCTTGAATGAAATTATCAAAATTACACTAGAAGTTTATGCTTCTTAGTTGTTCAGTGACACGTTTCGTGACAGTTGATAAAGTTTGAGCAACTTGATTGTGATTAAACCAAAGGAAAGGGTTCTTATTCAGTGCAAGGGTAGAACTACTGGATTGATTATCGTCAACTTATCAACTTGCATACAAAATTTCTCATTTTACCTTCAAAAAACAATAGCTAAATGCAAATTATTTCGTTTTTGTATCCAAATTACGCTTACTGTTTTCTATTTATTTTTGATGATTTGACTTCAGTACTTTTCAAGATCCTATCGATTATTGTTCTTATTTTATCGACGACAATATTTTAGTAGGTGAATCTAATAAACATGGAAAAAGGATAACAAACTGGCAGGATTTCGATGCAAAATCTTTCAAGCTCTTCCTGGCTTCAAATGGGAATCGTCAAATTACCGAGGATTCGTGACTACTGGAGTAGCAGGCCTGGATTAGGAGGATTTTCCCACATGTCCCACATTATGTCAAGAGCAAAATTTGAATCTATTCTTCGCAACCTGCGTTTTTGTGATAATGAACTGGATCCTGCAGGAGATCGGCTTTATAAGATTAGAGCTATTATGGAACATTTCCATGCGAAACCAGAGACTGCATTGATTCTGGGTAAATATGAAGCATCTTTTTTGCCCACGTAATTTGTAGATCTGCTACAATTGGAATATACATGTAATGCTGAAAAACAGCAAAAAAAGCAATTAATTGAATGAAAATAGCTCAATTAGTGCTGCAGCGAATAATCGCTGCAGCGGTCCGTTCCTGAGTTTTTGCTGCAGCGATTATTCGCTGCAGAAGTTTCCAATGGGTTAACCAGCTCAGTAGCTAAAGGGAGTGCTGAGAAACAGGCTCTCGAAGTAGGCACTTAAACTTGCCAAATAACAGAGAAGAACCCAATAGGGATTTCAAATTGTTCTGAATCCATTTTCGAATCACTCACTTATATTCCAATGTTAGGAAAAATAAAGCATTTAGGTGACCAAATCAACATGCTTTCCGAAAACAACAAGGCAATTCTTTTGCAGATCTGTGACTTTGATAAATCTTCTCTTTCCTCTTCTTCCCACTCCACCCAATGACTAAGACATTCCCTTGGGCAACTGTCAGATTGCCTTTCGACATTAACCACAGTCGCCTATTTTTTTACGTATTTTCTTAAGAAATTTAAAATTACAAACATCTTTTTGACCTGAAAACTTGAAACTCCTATAAACAAAACTGTTTCACTCATTGCAATTAAAGTTCTATCCATTTTTAGAACTCAATTCCTAAAGCCTGTTCTACCATTCATTAAAATGAATATTTTCTTTGAACTCAAATCTTTGTACAACTGACTCCTTTGATAATTGTCACAATATGAGAAAAAATTTCTCAGATTGTATGTATGGTGATTGCCAGGAATTCGACTTGTGAGTCAAATGCGCCCATTCATGGAGATGTTATTAACGGGGATCTTGTAGAAAAAATGTCAGTCCTTACAGTTAGAATTGCAAAATCCAGGAAAAGATTGGAACGGGTATCAACGAAGAGAATTCAGGTTGAACGGCACTGACCAGAATCCCGTCAATATAACACAAAACAATGGCCACTGCTCGGTTTGCTTTTGCTTATTTAGGTCGAAAGTTAGTTAGATCGAGTTTGAGTGGTTAAGTTGATTATGGTAACTTAGATTTTAGCCGGTTTGGTGTGATGGTGCAAAGAAATACGGGAGCAATTCTAATGAAATGATTCCTCTGCAAATTCCAGGACAATGAGAAGGGATCAACCTCTTCTTCTCTCATTCTTTTCCTCTTCTTTTCTCTTGTCATTGCCTATTTTGTCTACAAGAACAGAGGGAAAGTTCTTCAATTGCAAAGGTTTGGAGAAGTAAAGAAAACAACGTCTGACAGTGAAGAATAGCAGAGTAAATGCTAGAATAGATATCTAAGGAATTCCCTAAAAATATCTGTATCGTAGCTGATTATGAATGAAATTTTTTGGCAAACCTTTCTAGTAGAGCAACCCAAGCAATGTATGTATACCAAACACTTGATGATTGGACGTCCCACTCATTCATAATGGATGGAATCTATTAATTTTCAGGAGACCACGATCCCGTGTGGAGTATAGGAGACTCGAAGACGAAGACTCCTGCAGCCTTCTCCCGAATGAACGACAAGTGATCTATTGAAGTTTCGATCTTAATCGTAAATTTATGAATTTTTCATTTTTACGATTTTCGTAAAACGTAAATTTACGAATTTCGATTTTTTCGTAACATTTATGAAAATTTTCCCGTAAATTCGTAAGTTTTACAATTTTTTACAAGGACAAACTATTCAAGAAAGCTTCCAATATTGAACGTGTACATTATGTAAAATTGGCGGAATTTTTATTTATTTGATAAAGTTTTGTGTCATTTTTGTTTTTCGATGGCATTTGGCCTTGAACTTTGAAAACAGTTAAAAACAAACTTTAAAATTTCACTACTTTCAGATCAGTGAAATGATTGGAATTCCGGACAGCCCTGATCTCCCTTGGCTGCTTTCCTGTGATTTCAACGATAACTTCTTGAAGAGGTGCTCCTCCATGGATATCGCATGACTGAAGCACCCCGATAAGGATGTTTCAGTCAGTATAAAACAAAGCCTGGTTTTATTCCCCCTCCCCTCTTAGTGCGTAGGATACTTTCTTGGAAACAGACGAGCTGTGTAGACGTTAAATGTACGTTACCTTAACAAATTAAGCAAGCAAAAGCTATTTTCAAACAATAAAATGTCTGTCTGCATTGGATATCCACGGTTACTGCGTTTCAAAAAGTAGTAATTTTATTAGGAAAACCCGTTAAAAGTGAGCCGTTTTCTTGCAAATCGCTCCGTTGAAAGTTCGACCGCAGCTAATATCATTCCATTTGTCCATCCCCTTCAGCTTCATCGGAAACCAGGACGGTAGATTTTGAACGGTTTGTATCGTATCGTCGAACTGCCAACAGCTTAGCAAGTTCTCCGTTTGCAGGCAGCCCTCTTCGGCATTGAAATTATTTGGCTCTCCAGCGTCCCATCTCGTGTAATCCCAGACAGATCCATCAATCCACATCCAATCATTCACACCACCACCTGTCTAACAGAGACTCTTGTGGTAACTCTGGTAATTCGGTTGTAACACCAAAAAGGGCGCAACTTTTGCAGACCTAATCACAAGCTGTCGTTTATTGTTTTTGAATCGGAACTTGCATTAAAGCTTTTATCGTTTTTAATTAAAGATTTAAAGATTTTTAGGTCTAATTGATTCATTTGGTCCCTTTTTGACTAATTGTACTCCCGTTGAAACTCTACAAATTTATGAATTTATGAAAAAAACAAAACAAAACTTGTCGTCTATCCTTCTATTTAACAAAAATCTCCCACATATGTATGTCAATTGCATATTGTCTCCAGTAATTTAAATAGTCTGTAACAAAATGAGAAAATGAGAAGGATTGGACCTGGGCACGTCAGGTTAAGGCTATTTAAAGTTTGACTCCAAAATGAGAAATTTTGACACCTCTTGTAAAGATTCGGTGTTGCACTTTGGATGCACAAAATCGAGATGATGATTTCATTTTGAGAGCAGATTACTTTAATGAAAACTCAGAGATGTCAAAGACAAAAAGGCGCTTTTGGTTCAGCTGTAAAAGTTCTATTAAAAATACGATATCAAAACAACAATCACTTTCGATTTAATTGATTTAGGCGCATAGCAAAAAAAATGCGACCTTTAGGTGTTGCAACCAAATTGAAAAGGCTTAAATCCACGTATATTTATATTCATTTTAACTCACCCTCTTTGCACCAATTAATCCGCCAAGGATTGGACCTGGGCACGTCAGGTTAAGTTTGAGTAGATCTGAAAGGAGAGGAGCATTTCGTTTTCTTTTCGATTTCTTACTGTTAACAACACGATTTTCCTCGTCGGAGTGAATTGATGTGACATTTGCGTTGAAAGCTCTGCACTGATTGATTGCTTGCTCCAGAGTGACATTGAAAATCACCTAAAAATAATGAAAGAAAACCTTTTTCAGTGGTTGGACTTACCTTGTAGCAATTCTTCAAATTTCGAGCATGAAACCATCCATCATCCCAACCACATGGTGGAGTTGGTGATCGACCGTTTTCTACTTCCACGAGTTTCATTTTGATCTCAACGACGCTATCATATAGATCCCTGAAAACTCTAGATTTCTATGATACATCTATGTGTATTACACCGCAGCACACATAAATTGCATGTGGGATTTGCATTTCAAGTCTGTAACAGGACCTTTGATATGAGTTTCGATCATAACTTGCCTCAAGCTTCATCCTCTTTCAAATAGTTTTTATTAATTGATAGAGGATGCCAATGCTCAGCTTTGTTTCTTTGCAATTTATAAGTTTTTAACTGATCTGACCTTGTGAGTAGTTCCAAAAGTAGCCCCACCACCCGACTAAATATAAATTATATAGATGTCTATATTATCTATATCAAAAAATGCACCACGATCTCAAAAAGTCAAATATGAAAACCGTTCGAAAGAAATATTAACCCTGAAGAAAGTTATGATCGCAATATACCAAAATTTTGCCTCATTTTAAATTCTATATAACTTTAGCTTTCTAATATAGTATTTATTAGATTTGTCCCCAGCTTCAGATGAAGAATAGAAAGAAAAGCGTGCTACGGGTCTGAAAAAGTGCAAATGCACTTACATGGAGTAGCCAATCAGGAACACAATGTAGATTGTGGCTCCGAACGAGAAGGCGCTCAAAAGGATGACGGCAATTGAGAGTTTGCTGGCTCGTTGCCTCGAAATTTGCTCGAGTTCTGCCGAGAAATCTCTTCAAAGCCACTAGACGATGTGTATAGTTAACGAAGAAATGAATACCTTGAGGGTAAAGGTGGCTGTTTGTAGACCGGGGCTTCCCATATTTCCTCCAATGATGTTGGCCTTGCCGGACTCTCCTTTAATCTTGCTGAACCCAAGTATTCAGTCATAGAGATTCAGAGAAAATATCTAGCGTTTAGAATAAATTAACGGAATAGAACTATTTCAAAAGAGTATTTTGACTTGGAAAATCGCAATTTCCAGTAACACCGAAAAAGAGCTCTTGAGAAATGGGAAAGAAGCAGAGAATCTCTTTTCAAAGAGTCCTTTTTCGAGTCATGGATGATTGATTGATCTTTTCTCTCAACACGGAGAAAGATCACGTGGACAAGAAAACCACCGTTCGTTTCCCAAGAAAGGCTAATCAAAGATCTAAAATCTAAAAGATCTAAAAGATCTAATTTACAAGGGAAGGTGACGAGGATGATGTGGAGATGGAAAATGAGACCTAGACCATCGGATGTAGAATTTTTCGCTGATTCCGATGCTGTATTTAGTTTTGCAAAATGACGCGGAAATCTGGCATTATTGGGAAGAACTAGGTTTACCTTTTTGTGATCTTAGTAGCCTGCAAAAGCGAAAAGATCTCAACTAGACGTTTTCTAGAAACGAAGATCGCTCAACGAGTCTCTTTAATCTGTTTGGATTCTAGAGTCATCCTTACAGCTTCGTATTCCTTTATTAGTGGGAAACAAATGCTCCAATAAGAAAAAATGGAATCACAACGACTATTTTATGACCAAACTGGAATTATGAAACAGCTTTAATCATAAAATGTTTAGAATTTAAAACTTGAATGTTTCTTACTAGATAAATGTAATTTTGAATTACATTTATGTAGTAGAAATTGATTGAAAGTAAGTTATTGATGAGTGTTTTTGTGTTTGATTTCTTCCTAGTCATTGAAGAATAAAATTTATAAGAAAATAATCGAAATGAAATATGGCATTTCCTCAATAGATCACTTGTGGTTCATTCGGGAGAAGGCTGCAGGAGTCTCCGTCTTCAAGTCTCCTATACTCCACACGGGATCGTAGTTCCCTGAAAATTAATCGATTCCATCGATTCCATTATGAATGAGTGGGTCTGGGGGCGTCCAATCATCAAGTGTTTGGTATCATTAAACGCACAATCATTGATAATTATGTTAAAGTTTTAAAATTAGAAAGATTGGATAAAAAGAAAAGAAAGTTATAGGGTTTCAAAGTTTTCTCTTGAGAACAAACAGTTTTTTAGCTTTTAATTTTTTCCTTTTCATCAAATATTGCTAATTTAAAAAATTTAACATAATTATCAATGATTCTGTGTTTAATGATACCAAAGACTTGACGATTGGACGCCCCTAGACCCACTCATTCATAATCGACTACCAGGGTCCCACCAATTTTGAATGGAACGTTTTAAAGCCTGCAATTTTTAACCTAAACTCAAAAATTTGATACGAATCGACGCAGAATTGAATTCCCTACAAAATGATATAATATTCATAATCAGCTACGATACAGATATTTTTAGGGAATTCCTTATATATCTATTCTAGCATTTACTCTGCTATTCTTCGCTGTCAGAAGTTGTTTTCTTTACTTCTCCAAACCTTTGCAATTGAAGAACTTTCCCTCTGTTCTTGTAGACAAAATAGGCAATGACAAGAGAAAAGAAGAGGAAAAGAATGAGAAAAGAAGAGGTTGATCCCTTCTCATTGTCCTGGAATTTGCAGAGGAATCATTTCATTAGAATTGCTCCCGTATTTCTTTGCACCATCAACACCAAACCGGCTAAAATCTAAGTTACCATAATCAACTTAACCACTAAAACTCGATCTGACTAACTTTCGACCTAAATAAGCAAATGCAAACCAAGCAGTGGCCATTGTTTTGTGTTATATTGACGGGATTCTGGTCAGTGGCGTTCAATCTGAATTCTCTTCGTTGATGCCCGTTCAAATCTTTTCCTGGATTTTGCAATTCTAACTGTAAGGACTGACATGGCTTTTACAGGATCCCCGATAATAACATCTCCATGAATGGGCGCATTTGACTCACAAGTCGAATTCCTGGCAATCACCATACATACAATCTGAGAAATTTTTTTTTATATTTTGACAATTATCAAAGGAGTCAGTTGTACAAAGATTTGAGATCAAAGAAAATATTCATTTTAATGAATGGTAGAACAGGCTTTAGGAATTGAGTTCTAAAAATGGATAGAACTTTAATTGCAATGAGTGAAACAGTTTTGTTTATAGGAGTTTCAAGTTTGAAGGTCAAAAAGATGTTTGCAATTTTAAATTTCTTAAGAAAATACGGAAAAAATAGGCGACTGTGGTTAATCTCGAAAGGCAATCTGACAGTTGTCCGAGGAAAGTCTTAGATCATTGGAGTCGAGTGCGAAGGAGAGGAAAGAGAAAAGGGATTGATTAAAGTCACAAATCTGCAAAACAATGCCTTGTTGTTTTTGGAAGGTGTTTAACATTTCTCAACCAATCACAAAGGTTTCTCTCCTCTTCCTCTCTCTACCTGATGTTTAGAAAAAGAAGGTGTTCTTCGATAAAGCTTCCCTTTTTCAATTAATCTCAATTCATGAGCCAACTGTTCTACCGAGTCATTTTTTCCCCCAAAATCCATGCAACAGCTATTCACGGGTTTAGAGAGGTGAATGGCCAGATCCAAGAAAGAAGTCGATCTCGATTCGATGATTTTGAAGTACTCTAGAAAGGCATTTTCTTGTGTTTTTGAAAAGATTTTTGATCGATGAGACTTGCAAAATGCAGAAAGTTGGTCCGGAGACTCATTCCTTTGAAGAAAACCAGGCGAAATTCGCGCGAATGATTTATGAAATTCCAAAAAGATTCAAGAGCTGTCGGAGCAGTGTTTGAATAGGTGAATGAGTATTTTGCCAAAGAAACTAACAGCTCAACAACGTAGATTTATTCGAAATTATAATCAGTAAAATATTTGCGAGCATTCCACATAAGTTTTCGATTGAATTCGAAGAACATGAGGCCATGCGAAAAGAAGTCCTCCAAATGGGGCCACACCTCGGGCTTGAACGGACGATAGGGCAGATCTTTTGAAAGGGACAGCATGATGATGGGAGTCACTTGCTGAAATAGAATGCTTTATTTAAAATTAGGAATTTCCTTACACCTTCCATCTATTCCAGATGTGATGATAAAAAGAATCATAAAAACCCGATAAGCTCAATGTGATCCTCCTATAGGTGCACAAACCATTGTGCCAAGATCTAATAAAAGCTTCAAGCTTCACATTCATCATATTTTAAGAGCCATATTACCCAATTAAATCTAGTTTTTCTCTAAGATTTCTCTATGAGATGATCTCTATGAATGGATCTATGATGGCTCATGGTAATGGTCAAATAGATCTCTTAGATCTCTTAGATCAAATAATGCTCTTTTAAAACCTAGTTCTCTAGTGCAAACATTGTGCAATCACCAAATGTATTAATTAAGTGAATCTTTCTAGCAGAGTTGCTCATGTAGGACCTGATAAGGCTTGGCTTTTCTTAAAAACTGAATAAAGTTTTGAGAATTCACAGGCTGCTTTAGGAGGCTTTAGATCGCTTTGCTTTGTTTCTTTCTATTTCATTTCATTTTCTCCTTGCTCCGGTCCTCCTTTTGGGATCGGACGGCGTAAATGGGTTCTTTCTTGCAAAGAGGTTCTTTTCTGTTTCTTTTAAAAAACTCTGAAAAAGCCATTTTCCCTTTCGGTGTCTTATCAATGACACACAACCGAATTCGTGCATTTTCCGAGCTCACGAATTTCACAGTTATTGATTTTTTGAAGCTCTTTTTTGAACTAAACAAAGCTCGTCATGATTTGCTTCAATCAATTGGCCAATGAAATGAAAAAAATGATTCTCGATCACGTGAATCCGAATACTGCTCGAGAATTGTTAAAAACTACAAAACTTTTGAGAAGACATTACTTATTCTATGGACTTTTTCCAAAAGAAATTCATCGATTTGAGCTCTGGCAACCAATAAACGACGAATCTTTTGATGTTTCTTCGTATTGTGTGCAGGTAATTTCTTTGTTGGGATGTTCTAGACATGGCTGACGATACTCAACTATTAGATTGGCAACCTCAAAAGTTATTATTATTTCACCTCACTTATTAGAAATAATTAGCGCACCGATCTACAGTTTGCATCAATAAAAAGGTCGATTTATTTTCTCAAATAGGCTTTTGACAAATCTAGAAAATTTTCGGTTTTGTAGAGTTCTAAGGGGCCAAATCGGCAAAGACTTTTCTTGCATTTGAAGAATTTTCAGAAAAACTTGAATTTCTGCTCAAATTTGCTTGAAAAGTTACCCAAATTTGCTTAAGGATTTCTTAAATTAGGAAACATAACCTTGTAACTAACTATAAGTATTGGGTTGGGGAGAATGAGTCGGCGCCAAAAATGAAAAAAAATGTCTAAAACTTCTATTCGACTTCGTCAAATAATATGCATTTGATATCAGTAAAATGGTTAACTAATTCTCTACAAAATGACATTTAAAAGAAAATTCAAACAGCGCCTCCGCTCAAGAAAAAGCCATTTTTTCACAAAGACTACAAACTGTGATCTAGAAAAAACCATTGGTGGGATCTTCCTGCAAATTTGGCAACTTAAGTAATTGAATGTGCTCTATCTTTTTTATATAAACACCAAAGAAGGTTTATGTGAAAGAAACTGTTCAAATGATGAGTCGGACTCTTTGCCATTTTAACCAGCTGCCTTTGGAAGTTCATAAACTCCACGAAAGAAAAGCTTTGTGGAATCTCTCAAAAGTCATTTTGTAGAGAAATAGTGGATCCTTTTGATGAAACCAAACGTATGTTTAAAGAAGGCTTTATGTGTGCAAAAAGTCCCTTTAAAGTTTGGCGCCGACTCATTCTCCCCAACCCAATATATAACTTTTATTGACGGAAGTTTAATACAATTGCTTTATAAAATAAGCTTTTCACTTCTAGATATCGACAAATGGGGAAACGACAAGATTTGAAGTGAGAAAAGGGCAAATGGAAGAAATTACGTGTATCTGGGAAATGAAAAGTCCAGCAACGAGTTTCAAATGTAAACGAGATGTTCTATGGAAAGTCGTATTGGAAAAGATTCGCTTCCTTGCCGACATAAGCATTGAGTTAATCCCGAAAAATGGAAAAGTTCCCGATTTTTGGATTGAATTTTTGAGTAGATTTCGACAAGTTCGCAATTTCCATTTACACATGCATGGCACGCTGAAAGATGGAAACGCGGCGCTGCTTGAGCACTGGTTTCCAGTTGTTTTAAACGGATTCGTGCTACGGACAGTCGATGATTATTCGACAAAAGAAGCACTCTTTCAACGAGTTCAACTTCAGAACACAAAACATTTTGTGTTGAAACAAGAGAAATGGAAAGAATTGTCGGCGACCCGGGCCGATTCCTACACCTTCAATCGCTATGTCCGGGATTCGTTGCATGATTTCTGGACAATTGGACAACCGGGCACGAATCCCCGGGCAAAAGTCATGCTTTACGACGATCCATGCTTTTATTTTGCCACAAAACAAGATTGTCTAGCGTCAATTGAAAGATTACTGAGGGATAATGTCGTTAAAGTGTTGATCAACTTGGATGATGCAATCGTTTGGATGCCAAATAGTACTGGGGAGCCGGTGTCAATTCGAGAATTCACCCTCCAGCCCCAAAATCTTGCCATCAACCCTTTGGTTTCCGAGAAATTCGCTCGATTCGCACAAGTTGAAGAAGAAATCTCGAGATTTCACTTCAGAAATTCGAATGAAATGCTCGAGAGGAGCTCGGTAACCGTCTATTTTCGACATTATGATCATAAGGGGAGAGTGTTGCTGATCATCGCACGGATTTGCTTTAAACAAGATATTGATTTTGATGCTTTCCAGGCCCGTCACTACCCTTTCCAGTTACAAGTCGTTCTCGATTTTCTCTAAACAAGAAACGTTTTTAATTCAGTTATTTTCTTCTTTTCTTCTTTTCATTAATAACACAACTGAAATTTATAAAACTTTACAAGAATATTTATTTTTTGGTCTCCAGTTCTCCGATTCTTTGGCTTTTCAAGAATTTGATTGTCTTAACAAATATTGTTCTTGTTTTCAAAGAAAAACCGTTGACGAAACCATCAAGGTCAAGTAAAAGAAGCCAAAAAAAACATTTCATCACATCATTGTATAGGTATAGGTACAACAATTTCAACCGTCATAGGTGATTTTTGGCTGCTTGCATATTTGTTTTTTAAACGCATTAATGACTTGACAGAATGAAATACGGCTGAGTCAAGTGAGAATCGATGCTCTAAGAGGAAGCCCCCACAAGCACAGCACAACTGTTGTGGGAGGAAACTCTTGCGAAAGGTTAATTGGGGCGAAATTGATGGCTGATAGATGGGAGATGGGAACTGCGATAAGAAATTCTAGAAAAGAACCCTTTTATGGACAAAAAAAGAAATTTCGATAAAGTCCGGATTCATCCTTTCCATCAGATCCGGATTTTTTTTGAATTCTTGGCCATTGAGTTCAATTCAAATCTAACCGATGTCCATCAACCCCTAGATCCATATGCTTTGGTGAATCCAGGTTTTGAGGTTAAATGTTTTGGAGATTCTTTTTCTTTTAACGACGCCGCAGATCGGGATCCATCACCGTCTGAAGTGTTTAAATTGAATGGATATTTTCCACAAAATATTTGAGCTCGAGAACACAAACCCATTTGCATTCGAATTGAGCTTTAACAAAGATATAAACGTCTTTCCCATGCGTGACTCCAATCGTCTCCAATCCAACCAAAATCTGCACCGGCCTGGAAGACGATGAACAACCTTTGGCGTGTGGAAAGCGAGGCGGAATCGTGAAGTAGAGCCATTCAGCAGCATAATTCCTGAATTCCCCGCAAATCCGTCAGGAATTTTATCGAGAAATGAAGGAGAACTCGGAGAAAGACGGGCATTTACAGTACTTTTATCAAAATCAAAAGTTCTAAGATAGAAATGCAAAATTTTAGCAAAAACTACGATCGTCATGAGTTGAAAAACGAGATTGGTGTGTTAAAATTTCGAAGACATTTCCCTCGATTCTTTTCAATTCTTTTCATTTCTTTATATTCTTTTCATTTCATTTATCAAATTTTAGTAGAACACTCAAAACTTTTCTAGAGTTTATTTTGTGCATTTAACAGTAGATATGACAGTGACGGGTCCTCGTTTTGATTCATCGCTTTTCGGCCGGAAACAGATCACGTTCATGATGCTGAAATTTAGAGATTCGCCTTTGAATTTATATCAAAAAAAATACCTGGCAATAAGGTTGAAAGCAATGATTCCAATGAAATTAATAAAAGTGAAGAATAATTGATAAATGCTTGCGGAAAAGAAAAGGTTGAGAAGAGTGCCAAATGAGAACAAAAAGAATGACCACGAAAGGGAAATGATCGAATTGGAGAGCATCTGAAAATCGGATGGAAATGGATTTCGATTCCAGTTTTGATTTCAATTTTGATTTCAGTTTTGATAAACTAATAAATAATGATCTGCTTGAAGATTTATTCTGATTCAAATCAAATTTTAAGTCACTTAAATGTCTTGAGACGAAAAGCTTTTTTTTTGAGAGAATTCTACGGCAATTCATTGTTGACTTTACAATCTAATCCCCTTTGAATTTGTTTATTTTGATAAACCAAAGTTTTCTACATTCAAGTTAACTATTTTATTATCTAGGATGATTTTATTTTGGCAAATAGGGTCACTTAAACCCACTTGCATCATCAACAATCGTTCGACTCGTGACGCTCGCTGGCTGTTTTTCAACTAAATACTCTAAATGCTGATATCACTTGTAGGATACAAAGAAAACAGCCAATGCTCTTTCTATTAGGTTGGCAATAAAGTTTATGCACAGATTTGAACTGAAATTTGTCAAAAACGAATCCACCAATTCAAGAACACTTTTTTATTATTTGCGTGTCGACTCGAAGAAATTATTCGTAAAAAATGAGTGCAGCTTTTTCTTAAAATTTTAGAGACTTTTGAAAAAGTATTTCAGCTTAAATTCGTTTCACTTTTTGCACCACAAAAACGATTCTTTATGGGCGATACATCAATGAGCAATTCGCTCTACAATCTCTATTTTTGACCAGAAATTTCCCACAGAGAAGCTGTATTTCAAAATCTTATCTAATGTCTAATATCAAAATAATTTTTCAGTGTCATCCTCTTGGCACTGAGTGTTTGTACACAATCAGAAAACTGGACAGCATCCACATTGGGACGAGTACGAGTATCAATGTGAATCCTGCCAATCGTTGATGATGGATACGATCTACCGGCAAACGTCAGCTCCCGTTCACTCCTTTTCAGGGCACTGTACTTTCCCCGATTAATATTGGAGTCTTGGTATAGAAATGGCTATAACTAGACTTTAATGATACAAAAAACAGCACAAATTTAAAGTCTTTAATTTAGCAACTCCGCGTGACCGTTAAAGCCTGTCCAATTCAGTGTAATGCTCTAACATTCGCGTTAATTTAGGAATGTCCTAACACCCTGCTGAATGCTGAGTGATTTCCAGGAAACTCATTCTTTTATTCTACAATGTTTATTCATTTAAGCATCCACCAATGTGCACACAAATCTTTGCCGAATCTTCGTTTGAATCCACTCACTTTCGTGTTGTAATCTGAAGACGTCTTTTTTGATTTTATTTTAAACCCTTCCTGTCTCACCTATATCAATCTCGTCTCCACCGAACACAAAGCCGATTTGATACCATTTCCCATCGTGGAGTTCTCAAGCTGCCATGTCATTGCTAAGCTTTTTTGTTAAGCAATCTACAATAGAAAGTCTTTGAAAAAGAAAAGTTGGTCGAGTTTTAGATAGCCTTTCTTGATCGAGCTTCAAATGACCTTTCTAGGTCCGGTCCCAATGACCAATGACCTTTGACCCTTTCTAGGTCCCAATGACCTTTCTAGGTCCGTCATGGCTCAGGCTAAGAGCCCTGTGTCTTAGTCGGGAGGTCATGGGTTCATTCCCGCCGTCTAGAGATTACTGGTTTCCATATATATGTTGTAGCCGTTTACGAATGAAATATTTGAATGCAAAATTCATCTTTATTCCAATTGATCTATGCTATGCTTATGCAAATCTGACCCGATTCAACTGAGTTTGCCGTGTTTTTGATTTCAAACTATTTATGCAAAGGAAAAAATAAAAAAAAGAAAAGAGAAGAGAAAGAAAAAAATATTGTTTTTGAAGTGAATTATTAAAAGTTGCCTTTATTAAAGTTGTTAAGATTAAAATTTCATTAAAATTAAATTGAAAACTTAGAAAACTTATTAAAATCAAGAAAACTGACCAATTTTCCTGATTTTGACGAAGAAATTTCCGGGTATTTATGGGTTTTTTCGACTTTGATGTCAATGAAACCAATTGAAACATTCAATTCAAAGATTTCCATTCATTGAAACATATTGAATGAATCTTTTTAATATGTGCTTTTTCATTTTCATTTATTTTCATTCATTTTTATGCAAGGTTCGTTGAAAGAACGAGCTTCTAAAAAGCGTTTCCCTAGTTTGCAGTCATCATTTTGTGTTTAAACAAGTTTCGTTATCTTTTATTTACTTAAAACTTTGCGTTTTTTCAAACAAAACTAGAGTCTAGAAAAGAAGAAAAGATAAGAAAAGATAAAAAAGAAAAAAAAAGAGTGAAAAGCCATTTCCCCATTTCCCCATTCTCCCATTTCCCATTTCAATGCAAATATTTAGAAAAAAAATGCAAAAGCGATTCTCTTTCAACAATTTGCCCACTCAATTGAGTGCATCCAGTCTGCTCAAATCGACTCTTTCAACCAATTTACAATTATTCTTTGTCAACAAACGAACTCATCATTTCATTTTATCCAATGGCCTCTTTCCTCGACGAATCGATGAGATTTCTCTTGGAAGAACCTCCAAAAAGCTCTCCAAGAAAGACAAGAAGAGCAAATTTTGCACAACTTTGACTATTGATACAACGAGATTTCGAATTTTTGAGAAATCCCTGCAAATTGATGGGAAAATCTTTGAGCTAAAGCCTCTCGGAAATCTGATGGCCATGCTCACAAGTTGTAGAAAACTCAAAATTGAGCTGAATCTTGATGATTTCACGAATCTTTCCATGTTTAGAAATCATCTGAGAACTCATAAAATAATCAAAAATTTGAAGCACTTGAAAATCTTGACGATCAACTCAAAGGCACCGTATTGGGGGCTAATCTTTGAACATTTCACACCAAAAGCACAACTTTTTCACTTTCAATTTGCCGGTTTTGGGTGGATCGATGATCATTTCAAGTTTTTCACGAAAATTTTCCAAAACATCGACGGAGAGATGATCCTCTCGGAGTTCCCAGAGATAACCGTTCTCAAAATTCTGCCCAATTTTCACTTCTCCTTTTGCTTTTTCGATTGTTTATATGAAAATAACTTCTTCAATCATTTGAAGTGGCTTTCTGAGACAGAGAATCTCAAGAGATATTCAACGAAATCACTGGTTGGACTAAGGTCGAGAAGCTACACGACAGGTTTCGTACATTTTTCGTACACTTTTCTAGCGTCTTGTCGATATTACAGGGTGGCACATTTTAGTCCTTCTCCTTTTTGTTACTTATATATTAGGTTGATGCATAAGTCTTTTCGTTTTTTTCGTACTTCTGTTAAAAACAAATTCACCAATTAATCTATAGTTTGCTCTATAAAAAAAGTGTTTTTTTTGTTCAATTTCCATCTTTTTAAATCAATTTCGGTTGACTTTCAAGCAAATTCGAGAGTGAAAAACGCCTTTTTCGTAAAAATCTATAAAAAACTGGCTGAATGAATTTCTCTGAAATTTTGGCGAAATATCAAACTTTTTTTCTCTATCTTTTATCTATTGACACGAAGATAGGTTTTCTTTAGCTAAGGTGTCTAAACCGCATCATCGAGTGAGCCCTTTTTGACTACCCGACTTCATACTCTCAAGAAAATCCAGGCATAAAATATTTTTAAACCCGTTTTAATGTTATTTTGCAGAAAAATAATTGATTTTTCTAATGAAATCAACTGTAGTTTAATTGGTGCATTTGTTGGCTTGAAACGGCAGACGAAAAGGAACGAAAAGACTTATGCATCAACCTAATACTTTCAACTCAAGTCTCTTATAAGCTATAGTTTGCTTCTTATTCAAATCTTACACACTTCTGTTCAGAAAAGTGAGTCAGATGAGTTAACATGTTGTCAAGTGACTGACATGTTGATTAGAAGATCTTACTACTAATTAACTACTAAGAAATCTTACTGCTAATGAGCTTATTTACAGGGTGACCACAAAGTATAGCGACAACTTTTTGAGAAAGTATCTGGGAATTGTCTAATTTATTTCAAAAGTGGCAAGTGTTATATAGAGAATTGTAGCCCTAATTCTCAACAACATTTATCTACCAAAAACGATTCGACTTATACAACTCATTTAACAAGCGCTTGAATGAGCGCTAGTCGACATCTCTCCAGCGAATCTGTCATTTATGTCATTTATGTATTCAAGCGCTTGTTAAATGAGTTGTATAAGTCGAATCGAGAAGTTTTTTGTAGATAAATGTTGCCGAGGATAAGGGCTACAATTCCCTATATAACTCTTGCCACTTTTAAAATAAGTTAGGCATTTGCCAGATACTTTCTCAAAAAGTTGTCGCTATACTTTGTGGTCACCCTGTAAATAAGCTCATTAGCAGTAAGATTTCTTAGTAGTTAATTAGTAGTAAGATCTTCTAATCAACATGTCAGTCACTTGACAACATGTCAGTCACTTGACAACATGTTAACTCATCTGACTCACTTTTCTGAACAGAAGTGTGTAAGATTTGAATAAGAAGCAAAATTTGGGGGCGTTGTGGAAGGATTTTAGAATCTTTCTCTTCTTCTTTTCAAACTTTTCAAAACTCTAAACAGTTCACCGCTTCTGAACACAGTAGTCGATTGGTCTTTTTGTGACTCATGTCTGTATGCAATTAAAATATCGCTTCTATTTTTAGGAAATCCTTTGCACGTTGAATTCGAGAAGTATTTGACAACTTTTGAGGCAATTCATTCAGTCAAGAAATCGTCTGAAGATGAGATGACGGTGAAAGCGACTTTGAGTTAGGAAGGGAAATTCAGAGGACACAAGTTTGATTATGATGATAAAGATTTATTTACTACTCATCTCTTACTAACAAGAAAAAAGTCTTATTGATAAAGTATCTTATTTAATAACCCTTGTAGCACTCCAGGCTTCCTCGACAGTTTGCCGCTGTTTTCGAGAGAAAAGACAGCTTTTGAGAAACTGTCGATACGGTTTCATGATTAAGATTGACACAAAGCAACTCATCATCTAAAATTTCTTGAATTTAAAAGTAGGCGGGAAATTGACTTGCCGGATAAAACAGCAGTCCAACAGCGGCCACATACTTGTACAAATTTGAGGCAAGCATGTCGCTGTCGTTGGCGATGAAACCGATTCCAGTGTATATGATTGGTATCACCAAAATGATCAATGGATAGATATTCTGAATAAAATACGATCTGGTTTAAATCGAGTTGAGTTCAGTTCAAGGGATTTCTTTTCAAAGCTCTTATAGAAGTGCTCAACTTTTGCTTTCCTCATTTCAAGAAACTTATTTCTATATCTCGTCAACAAAACTTGACTTTTAACCTTTTATAACTTTGTTTGAATTTGTTTAACTTTGTTTAACTGTTTATAACTTTGTTCACTAACTTGTGATGTCAACATATAAAGCACCGAGAGATGAGCCTTAAATGACGAGGCTGACATGTGTGATTGCAATGATCTCAATTGTCGAAAGAGGATCAATGCCGAGAGCAAATTCGCCAAATAGATGGCGATGATGCCGAAAACGATCATCTGTTTAAAGAGTTGGCTCTGGTTTAGAAAAATCGTGTTACTGCAAGGAAGATAATGGTGGGCAATTTTGCTGTATCCATACACAACCAAACTGTGTCATTTCGTGAGGCGTAGTACTCGATGAAGTCATCTTTTTTGAGTACTTTCATCCGAACGATAAAATCCTGTTAAAGTTAACAAAAATAAACCAGAGCTTAATAGGTTATCAGTGACAATCACACCTTACTAAACCTAGTTATATGAATACCTCGGGATTTTCAAATGCAAGAAGCATTGGAACGAGAGCAGGCAGTCCAATGAGAGCCTTTATTGCCAAAGTGAGTGGTATTCCTAAATATTGAGTTGTTTCTAAAAAAGAGTTTTGTTTTTTTGATGATTCTTCATACAAATACAAGCCAAAACCCCTACCAATGTGAGGTTTGACGAGTGTAGCGACGAGTTGATGTTTGCCATGCAACAACAGACTCCGTGCATGTACACAATCGTTGATTGAGATGAAAATGCTCATCATGAAGAAACCGGTTCCAATCATCTACACAGATCAGTTATGACTCTTTCAAAAACAGTCTCCTTACCGCCATTCGTGCCCCAGTCTCTCCCAGATACGAGGCGACTCCGAGAACAGCCGCTCCTTCAGCCGGAAACAAAGGATCTGGCATTAAGATGGCGCCCCAGAAGATTGTGAAACACTCCTCCATTAGCTGAACTTTTGAATTGTGATTGTGACGAAGTAGATTCAAGTTTTTGCCATAATCAAGCAAAATTTGATCCGGGAAACGATTCTTTATCGAGTCAATAATGTAAATTTTAAGTTTAGTGAAAAGAAATTGTTTCATAAAAGCACCAGGGCTAAATTTTGACATGCTTATGACAAGAATTCTACTTTTATTGGTTCTCAAGTCCTTTTCGAGTACTGAAACTTCATTATCGGGATTTAAGCAGACTAATACCTAGAAGACTGTGTAGTTTTCAATGTAAATTTAGAGGATTGCAGTTCAAAACTGAACACTCACTAACCGCTAGCTTCAATAGAAACCATTTGAAGTGTTTCATCTCTGACGGGGAATGCTTTATGATGAGCCACATCCAGAAGATCACCATCAATGAAGCGAACAGAGAAAGGCAATGATAAGCAACTCTGACAACCACGTTTTCGAACATTTCGAGAAATCAAAAATTTGGAAACTTTTCAAACTTTTTAAGCTAGAAACATTCTAGAAAGTTGTTTTTCAGAGAAAAAGTACTCACAAAAAAGATTGAGAAGCACCTGCTAGGCAATCAAAAAAGTGTCGAGCTTTGATCATTTACGAAAGTTGTTACTTGGCTAAAAATTAAGAAAGCTGATTGGCATACGATTAGCATACGACTAAAGATTAGCATAGATTTTGCAAATTTACATACGGAACCCACTTGCTTTTCCGTGAGCAGTCAATTTTAGCAACTTTTTTTCCAAAATGAGAAATTCGGCAACTTTTTGCGGAAACATATTGGGGAAATCTTAAGGTATTGTTTGGTCAATTCAACTTTTCGATGCTCTTCGTTATATGTTTGACGAGCAAAACGTTGTTCATAGAAAAATCAAGCCAAAGAAGTTTGTTTTTCGTATACTAGAGCTCTTGTTTCCAAAAAGTGTCAGTGTGCTTGTTAAAGTTGCTTAAAGTCGAACCGTTTGATTCTTTTCTTCTTAATTTTTCGATTTTCATGTAAGCTGGCGCGCATAATTGAAATGTTCATTGAATATTTGAATGAAAAAAAAAAAACAAAAACATTGAATTGTTAGGCAATGATAATATAAGTGATTATAACAGTATACAGGGTGTCCCAAAAAAAGACCGCTTTTCAAACCGAATTTCAGAAAACCTTTAAGTGGCTATTGGTGGCACTCCTGGTGCCAAAAAATTGTTTTTTCTTTAAGGCAATTTTTTCATTTTCTTTTTGCGAATTTTTTCTTGTCTTTCACCACCAACAGAAATTTCATGTAAAGGGGTAAAGACAAGAAAAAAAAGAAAATGAAAAAATTGCCATGAAGAAAAAACAGTTTTGGCACTAGGAGTGCCACCAATAGCCACTTAAAGTTTTTCCAAAATTCGGTTTGAAAAGGGAGCTTTTTTGGGGCACGCTGTAGATACGCTACCGTAAATGCTGTATTAGACACCCTCTAATGCTGACATGCTGACACCCTCTAATAGAATGACACCCGCCTGCAATGATAATATAAGTGATTATCATTGTCTAGATACGCTATAATGGGTTTTCAAGTTAATAAGCTTAATGGTTTAGCTTAATTTAGCGAACTTCATGAACCCAATTTTCCTGATGTTGATTGCTGTATTCAAAAAAATACACTATTGCAAGTTATACAAACCGATTGTTTTAGGGTAAGTAGTGATGGAGACCTACTGGTTGAATAGCCGGCTGTCTGAAATGAGAATCAAGAGTGAATTACCTCGTTTGACCTCAAGAAACTCTGATCTTTGACGTGGTTTTGGGTGCTGTTGAAATGTTGAAGTTTATAAATGATTAGCTTGGTTTGGTTTTCACCGTTTGTACTTGAATAAAGATACAGTAAATGCTGTATTAGAATGACACCCTCTAATAGAATGACATCCCCCCGGAATGATAATATAAGTGATTATCGTTGTCTAGATACGCTATAATGGGTTTTCATGTTAATAAATTTTAATGAATTTCTGATTTGCTTTGATGAAAAGGTTGAAAATCTGAAAGAAAGAAAGCAAGATTAATGCTTAAATATTTATTACAATAATGTAATCTAAAAGTAGAAAGGGCAAAGCAATGAAGGATCATTTGAAAACACTCAGTCAGATCACATTGTCCTCATCTTTTGTCGTTTCTTCTTCGTGATAATAGTTTTTACTGAAATCATCAATGTACAAAATCTTTTTTGTCAAAAATTGACCTGAAATGCAAATATCCATATCGTGTCGAATTGGCTTCCATTTGCCGATAAAATTCACGTTTTATTCCGGAGAATTCCGGTCGTTTCATCAGCTCTTCTGACCAGCATTCTTCAATAATCTTTTTACTAAAATTTTAATAAAATTAAATTCACATTTAATAAGAACAAACATCCAATCCGGACTCGACTCGGGTATTTCCAAACGACTTCCATTTTTCAAAAATGAAAGAATTTCTTGATGAGAAAATGATTCGAATGGAGATTTCCCAAAAGAGTACATTTCCCACAAAACAACGCCGAATGACCAACTGAAAAAGAAAAAAACATGGTTTAAGAAAAAAGAATTAAAATTCAACTTCTGAATTGAACTCGATTTCAAATTGAGATCAAATTGAGATGATGGGTGTGGGTTGGAAAGCACCCATCTCCTTGTCTACTGGCCATTTTGAGTTCAACCACTGAACTACTGGTAAGAACATCCATCTTGGGGGGAAAAAGAATAATTCTCAAAGAAAAAAAGAGTGACTTGACTCAAGAAATGTATATGTAAGGATTTGAATTGTGTAGAGGTCGGCGAATCGAGGCACCCATCTTCTTGCTTCCAGGGCTTTTTGATTAAACTGTCCTGCTGGAGGGCTTTATATTTGTATACTTTGATGACTACTTCTAACCGATATTTGCAGAGAAAACATAAAACTGATCCCTATTCTGTGCTCCTTGGTCATTACCAAGTCTTTAGGTGCGTAGTGCGGAATAAAAGCAGAAAAAACAAAGTTCCATTTGTTAACAAGGAGTGAACTCGAAAAGTGAAACCTATTTTAGTAGTTACCGTATTTACTCTATTAGTACTGTGCAGTACTATTTTTTCGTGACGGCTCGGACCGCAGTATTCTTAGAGGGGCAGCACTATTAAAGGTGCAGTACTAATAGAGTAAGTACGGTATTTCAATTCCACTTACACATCACTTTTCTCAGAGAATCTCCCGAATTCTATCGATTCGGGAGCCATCCATTTTAGGGGTAATTTCCCCTCTTTTGATTCATATTCTTCTTCTGCTTTAGCATAACAACAAAGGCCAAAATCGGATAACTAAAAGTGTAAAATACTCTATTAAATAATGAATTTGAAATTACCTTAACCATTTTTCTTTTTGTTACCAAAACATTTCTCGCAGCGACATCTCGATGAATGATTTTCTTTCCGGACAAAAAGGCCTAGAAAATAAAAATTAAGAACAAATTCATTCTGAAAGCATCAGAAAGTGATTTCATAAACAGTATTATATGCTGAAAGAATATCTCTCTCAAAACTCACCAAAGCGTCACTCAATTGCCATCCAATAGGCACAAAATCGTCGAGTTCCAGAGAACCTTCCTGAAAACTTTCCAATTACATAAAGAATAGACGTGAGCGCCGCTGGCTAAATTCTCAGTCCAGTCAATGAGCTAAATTTTCACTGATTCAATCCACTGGATGTAGCAAATCTACTGGAATGACTGGACTGACTATAAATAGCTTGTCTGGCATTTTCATATTTGTTCTACACTGCAACGCAGCTCACTAAACCTCAGTCCAGTCAGTCAGGCCTTGAGCTGAATTTTCGCTGAACTGAATCACAATTCAGTCCATTCAATGAACTGAACTGAACCATCCTGAGCCAGCAGATGTACTGAATCTATTGGAATGACTGGACCGGGCTGACTACGAGTCGCAAGTCTAGTATTTTCATGTTTATTCAACTAGTGTCTTACCTTTACTGATTCATCTGATATTTTCCCTTCTTCTTTTGGCTTTTCTTTCTTCATTTTCCAAATGAGACCCAATAAATCGCCGAATTCACAAAGTTCAGTGACAATCAGGGAAAATGATGGATTGGTTGAACAGGCCAGAAGTGATAGAATGTGTGGATGATATTCGAGTCGTTTCATAAAATCGATTTCCAGTAAAAATGATCGCCTGAATTTAATTTTTGATGTTAAACTAGTTAGCTTTTTCACAAACTTTTCAGCTTTTGTCGCATTTTCATGAGCCACTTTCACGGCCACATCATTTCCGTCATTTGAAAGGAAAAATGAGAGCTTAAAGACACGTGAATTGTTAGATAAATGAATAGTTATATCGTTTACAGTTTATTTTTACTTGTAATGATGGATTTATTGTTGCCACTGGTGGGATTCCTTTCAAATATCCTTTATGGACAATTGCATAAGCTCCAGCGCCCAAAGTTTCATCGAAAATCTTTAAATTTGCCGACGAAACTTCCCATTTGTCAACAAATCTAAAGTTTTTTGTTTTGTTGATTTCAGCCAAGACGACAGCCAGAATGCATCAAACAAATTGTGCCTTGTTAACTTAAGATCACGAAAAACGATTCTAAATCATGCTTATAGGCTCAAAACTGGACACGAAACTAAAAGCTTGAGGACTGCAAAATCGATCTGAGCTAGAGCGTGCTCCTCGCGGTTAAACAATTAATAAAACAAATTGGCATAACTGTTTTTTTAGTCGATTAATGGTCGGTTGAAGCGACGGTTAAACAAATTGATTTTTGCGAATTTTTTCGAATACACATTGCTACAAGAATTTTTATGATTCATGCTTTTTTTTATTTTTTTATTTTCTGCCTTTTTTCTTTTAACTTTGTTCTTTATCAAACAACATTTATTTTTATTGGGTTGGTGAATTGAAAACAGCCGGCTATTGTCATATGTGACAGTTTGAGCACTTTCTTCAAAAGAAACCCATTTTGGTGTCAATGGAAAAGTTGTAGAGAATCAAAAATGAAGCTTATATCCAAATTTTTAGAACGGTTCAAAAACTGGTTTTCAAGAAATACGAAATTTACGAATTTTCACAAAACTTGCATTTTAAGCGAAACTACTAAGTGTATCTTTTTGGAAATTTGGTTAAAAGCCTAATTTTTGACTCTCTACAACTTTTCTATTGACACCAACATGGGTTTCTTTTGAAGAAAGTGCTCAAACTGGGACATCTCCAGTCCTCCATTTTTGAGTCTCACACTTGTCTCACACACAAACCAAAATCCTACTACGAAAGAGGAATCCGCAAATTGCCTGTAAAATGGGCAGAAGTCGTCAATAATAATGGAAATTATTTCCAATGAATTGATGGTTTCATGTTGAATAAATTTTAGTTCAAAGTCGGGCAGTTTTCAATTCACCAACCCAATAGATTAACTCTGCATTATGAACGACAGAAATCAGTCACAACATGTGGGACAACATCAAATGAACAATTTTCCTCATCGCTAAGTTCTTTGCTTTCTTCATCTAGTGAACAGCCAATAGAGTGATTTCCGCGCATCTATCTGACTGATCATGTAAAATAGATGAAATGTTTTTGTAGAGATGGAACGTTAATAATATACAGGGTGCGTCATAATTATTGCAATAAGAGTTCAAAGACCGTTTTCCAAACAGCTTTCTTATTTTTTTTGCCCCCTTTTTTATTGTGTTGCGTTCTATCTTCTTTATTCTTGCCTAATTGCCTCCCGCTCACACGAAGAAGACGGTTCAGGACTGGTGTGTGGCCAACTTTCCCTCAGTGATCACCAAGGATGAATGGCCTCCAAACTCACCGGATCTCAATGTGATGGACTTTTCCATTTGGGCAATCTTAGAGGCTAATGTCTGCTTTTTGACCTTGAAGAAGTCTTTGACCAAAGGATGGAAGGTGACTCCTCAAGATGACATTCGGGCCGCAGTGGAGGCATATCCGAACCGATTAAGGGCTGTCATCAAGGCAAAAGGCGGTCATATCGAATGATCTCTTGTTTCCTTATTTGTTACTGTTAAATAAAGCTATTTCTGTTTAAAAATCTTCTTCCAGTGAAACTTCTTGGTGTGCAATGCCTTGAGTATCTTGTTGCAATAATTATGACGCACCCTGTAGATGTTATAGAATAATATAGTTAATAATAAAAAAAAAATAGATGGAACACCAATAATAAATTCGAACAAAGCTTTTCGAATAAAAATTTTCCTTGGAAATTTTGAATGTAAAATTTACGTCGCGTCTACGCGTCTTTTTTTGAGCACGCGTTTTAGGAAACGCATTAACCGAGAGGAACACACTCTAATCTGGCTTGAAACTGAACCGAACCGGAGCCCCGGCTCTATTCTACAAGATGCGCGAGAATTACGGCTACCTCTTTTGCATGCCAAACGCCGCAATCAATTTAAAAACACCAATTGTTATTTGGAGAATTAAAGCCTGGATTCTTGCCTACATTTCTGTACGAAAAGATCTTTGATTGGGGTTTTGCAGCCCATTTTTCAGACCCCCAAATGAGCCCAATTCGGCCAGTCTCCGGCACGCTTCCATTTTTAACTGTTTTCTAACTAAAACTGCGAAATTCCAATCAAAGATCTTCAATTCTCTAAATAAGACTTAGGACTTTTGAATTGATTGCGGCGTTTGGCATGCATTCTGCTGAAAAGATGTAGCCGTAATTCCGGCGTAGCCTGTAGAGAGTCCTAGCACAGACCTACACTACTGGACAATGAAATATCATATTTGAAAAACGATCGTCACTTTCGCGCGCCTGTAACACCCTTGTCTTTACCGTATTTCTAAATATTAATATTACCATTGTGTAGCCCTTGAGAAGAGCTTTCAGAAAATATATAACACTAATAGTTTAAACGCGAAGACAAGGGAGTTACAGACGCGCGAAGGTGACGATCGTTTTTCAAATATGATATTTCATTGTCCAGTACTGTATCAACGGTCATGCTTGCGGCAAGTTTCTCTGCGAAAAACACCTTTCAAGACTGCACTTACGTTTTCTTCAAATTTCTCTCCATCACACTTCTCAGGAAATGATTCTAGGTTTTCGTTCCTTATTTATCAATGAATAAATTTCATTTACCTGCGCAAATAAGTACTTAAAACGATGAGCAAACGGGTTTTTCGGCGACAAAAGCACTCGAAGTAAAAGACTGAAAAATTATGTATGCCATAAGCTAAGCTAACAATACGCAAACTCCATTTCCGAAAAGTTCATAAAGACAGGAAATTCTGACCAATTCTCAATAAGAGATAACCATCACTCACCCAGATCGAATTCCAAATGCACAACCTCCAATGAGGAGAGCTAAACAAGCGAAGAGCACCGATGCGGCCACAATCCAAATCCACAATTTCATCGTTGATTTCTTGGGCCCATCACCACCATTTGGATATATTTCAACATTATCGATGTGTATCCACAGAAGAGTTCCAGCATTTTCGTGTACCTTATCTGGATTCCAGTTCACACTCATTTTGGTCACTTTTTCATAAGTGAAATTTATAGAAAGTGAATAATTGTCAGAAGGTTTCCAACTAAAGATTATTGGTGAATCATTTTTGAAATAAAAAAGTGATTTCACGTTGTGTTCGGTAGGGTTTCATTTTGGACACTCTGAAAATCGATTGAAATAATTCCACCATTTAGAGAAACAATTTCGATACGAATATCCAATGTGCCTTGATCTGAAATGCCAAAATAATCAAATTTATCTTTTCAACCAACCACAGCCTAAATTGTGAGTCAAAACGCGATTGAAATCAAAAGATTGCGAGGAATCAAGATATCCCGGAGAATCGATCATTACAATGCCCTCTTGACAGACGTTTTGATCGATAACTCGTTCTAAAATCGAGAAAGATCTCTGTGCTGTAGATGTCTCAATGTAAGATTAGTGAAAGCGATAGTTTTCTAATGTGAGGAAAGGGGGAGATAGTTCATTGCCCGGTCTCGTCTACAGTGTCATTCTCTCGACTAATGCACTCTCTAAAAGTTATCTATTTTCCAAAACTAGCCAAACTAATAATACTCATTCAAATCAATTGTATTGTATTGTTCCATGAAATGAGTCAAAAATTCGGTTATTGTCTGTATTTTCGTGATTTGTTTGCGGTAGCTTCTGGAAGATTTTGCCTCAAACTCTCGATATTTTCCGGTTATCTCTCCCAAATTCAGCGTCTTTTTGTAGTTGTTATGCCAGTTTACGCAATAGATGTAAATTTTGACTCTTAGCAAAGTTGTCGTTTGAAGAGAGCGTTAGTCGAGAGAAACGCATTCTCGTGACCAGAAGCAATTTAGATTCCTCCCCATATTCATTGTCTTCTTCATTCTAAATGCCGAAATCTCTCCCCAATCCGATCCCCACATTCTACTCTCGAAATAGGATCCAGATTTGCTTTTATACTTCATTTTTTCTTTGAAAAGTTTCGTTACGATTTTTCACACTGAATTCTGTGGATGAAATGACAATTGTTGGCGAACATCCGGCAGGAATAAATAAACTGTAAATTCGATTTTCGAGATATTGTTCAATGAATGGATGATTTTCGCTAAAAAAAGTAATATTAAAAATATAAAACTTTTGAAGAAACGAACTAAAAAGTGAATAGAAAACGACGGCTTTCATTTGTTTCGGTTGTCGATTGTGGGGACGAAATGAAAAGATCGTATTTACATTCGATTCCATTGCTTTCGTTTGACTGAAACTTGGCAAAATTATATGATTATTTGAATAAAAAATGGAAAATATAATAAAAACACAAACAGATTGTAATTTCTCGAAAATGTGTACAACATCTTCTTCTTCTCGAAACGCCAAAACGACCCAAATCTCTTTTTCGGAAACCTCAATTGTCACTTCGGGCAATCCATTTGGAAGAACTTTATAGATTGTTGTGTTTTCTGAAAATGATTCGTGTTTTCAAAGTAATAATCAATTATATTCTGTTTCTACCTTCAAGAAATCTATCAGCTTTGATCAGAAAAGCCGCATTTTTGGCGAGTTCTTGATCTTCCCCTCTTTCCATAACATTCCAATACAACCAAAACTTTGAATTTGTCCAATTCTTTGTCAATTCCACTTGGCAACTAATAACAGAGGAAGAAGAATTGATCGAGAAAGATGAAAAGCTAAAATATTTTTTATTTATTACCTTCTTTAGTTGATTTTAAAGATAACCTGATCTCACATTCATCCCATTCAATTGCTTTGTTTAATCCATTTGAAAATGGGACTCCAACTAATGTCAAGCAATTCTAAACTTTAAATAAAATAGCTTTTTACAAAATTCTTCAAACCATTTCACTATCCGAACAATAAAAAGCAAATTCGAGCGATACCCGACAATCGGCACATTTCTCGAAACAAATCGAACCCGGCGTGGGCATAGCTAAACGTCATTTGTTACAGCCCTCAATAAAATTGACTCTTTAGAATATTCTGCCTTAAATTATAATCGTATACTAAAAATATTTGATCTAAAAACCCTGTCGCACCGCCGCTTGGTCATAGATTTTGTGGAATGTTGCAAAATTTTGCATAATGAGCAAAACAACCCATTATTAAAAGATTTTTTAAAATAAGGTCGGATTCTAGGAGGGATTCTCTCCTTGTTCGAGGTTCTTTTCCTAATTCTGTGCCAACTTTTAATTTTTTTCCGAAATCGTGTCCCTAGTCCATGGAACTCATTACCTAATTCTGTTCGTACTTTACCTTTCCTTGAAAATTTCAAAGAGTCTGTTGATTCGATGGAATTTTGAGTGATTTGAGAGTGAACGTTGTGAATTGTGAGAGTGAACGTAATAACAAGTAACAAACAGCGCAACAAAAAGTAATTGATAAGGGCTGGAAAGAATGCGGCAAACAGCGACTGCAACTTTAAAAAGGCAACATATTTGTTGGCTGAATATTCTTGCGCATGTGATCAAAATTTTCCCCAGCGATAATGCAATTACCCCAGCTATACTCCATAAGAACCTTGTAGATGCACCATTTGCTCAGTATTTGTGAATTGTCAAACCTGCAAGTGAGTAGAGCTTATAAGCATGAAATGATAGAGTCGGTGAATCGGCATTCAACGGATAGGTGAATTGACAGGATGGAATCTCCCGGACCACTGCCAGAAAACCCGCATCGCTGAAATCGTTTCTCCACCAATACATCTAAACTTTTTTTTTGTTTAAACAAAAAAATTTGTAGAGTATTTACTTGAAATCTACCTTGTGTCAGCTCCGAGCCAAACTGATATTTTAGTTACTATTGTTATTATTGAATGATTTGTCTATTCTTATGCAAATGTGTTCTCCCTGTGCTTATCCCTTTTATTGCCGAGAAGGGGCGGTCCTTAGGATTGCCTAGGAGGACAAGTGAGACTCTCATTTTGGAGTCCCCCCTTCCCCTTACACTCATTTCTAATCTATTCATCTTATTGTATTACTGTAAATAAAGATACGTATCTTCCGGGTCTATGCAACTGCAGTACAGGTCGGTCATTTCACAGGGACTCCCCTCTAATACGTTGGAGGAATTGAGTTGGGTTGTCGGTGTGTTAGAGATGGCGGGATATCAAAAAGGGATCCACTCTTTTTAACTTTACCCAAATTCTAGTCCACATCCGTTTACACCTAGGAACGTATACTTGCCATATTTCCTATTTGACGTTATGTTTTCAAAATTAAGCAAAAACACTTACAATTACACATGCTGCATCAAAATAAAGAGGCTGATCGGGTAGATTCGTCGTTGAATAACTAAACATGTAGGTTTTCAAGTTTTTTTTTTATTTCAAACCTCTCATTGAAAATTGGTTTTGACACATTCGAGCATTCGGCTTCACCATGCAGAAAAGTTTGGAGAAAAACGATTACTCCGTAAAATTTCGTGAATTCAACAGTAAATGCGCCCTTTGCGGCGCTCTGTAATAAATTAATAAAAATTTGAATCTGAAAAATAGACATTTCTGATTTTTTTTTAGTTTTCCTAAGGAAATTCGAATGCTTTGATTTTTCAGAATCCGTTCAGTTCCAGTTTTTTTAGTTTTTTCAATTCACCGAGTTGTAGATCTCAGTCGAGGGATCGGTGGAATTTTTCCATAAATCCGAATGATCGAAGTTCCATGGGTAGAAAGAAGTTGACAAAAGGGCCATCCCATCTAATGGAATTTCTAAAGTTGAGAGAGTTGGGAGGATGGTTTCGAAGAGCTTAGGCATGTAATGTCGGTCTTTCCGCTCAGTCCAGCTCAGTCCAGCTCAGTCCAGCTCAGCCCAGCTCAGTCCAGCTCAGTCCAGCTTATCATTGACCAGTTCTATTGGTTGAATTGATGAGGAACCTTTTCAAGTTAGAATTAAGCAGCGATTGATTTGTTTTTTCGTCTCTCAGACGTTTTTTTGGTCCCAGGTAAGGTAACCAAAAGATGGTCTAGTTCTCAGAATCAAAATCTAAAAGGTTCCTCGGCGAGATGGGCTAGTGAAATTCAAGTTCATGCAAATGCTAGACTGGACTGAGAATTTTAGTGCGTTCATCAAGCCAACTTTGAAACCAAAAAGATAGACTTGGTTTGGTTGTATGTTTTAACATAAACCGATGTTCAACCGATTTGATTTATTTTCTGAAGGCAAGATTTTCAAATTTATTGTAAAAACGATCTACTTGAATGATTTCCAATACACGCATTCATCATGTAACGTAAAGAAAAGGCACATCTCTCGTCGGTGAAAATCGTCGTTGCCGATGAGGTGGACACAACACGCAACTCGCTTAATCTAAATATAACCATCTTTGAGTTTTTATATAATACTCTTGCTAATCTGCGATTGAATAAAAACTAGATTATCTCAAACACTTACTTTTCATCGATGAGGTGATTCTTCTCGTCCCTTTTGTTGCCCGGATCACCGCCAGCATAACTTTTGAAAAGGGTCTCTTTTTCACAGTTCAATGATTCCTGAAAATTTGCGAAAACTAATATTTCTCTTCTTAATCACCTCCGAAGCTTGATAATTGGCAGATGGTATTGTTGGAATGAGCATGTACTGTGGATAGGTACATCTCAAATCATATACATTCATTTCAGATGTACAGGGTCAACGAAAAGTATGGGCGCGTGCATTTTGGTGGCTTGGATGAAAACGAGAAGGTGTAATAGTATAACCATTATATATTAGGTTGGCAACTTAATAATGACGCGTCACTACTTAACATGTTTTTTGTAATTTCAAGCGCCGTTTCTTCCCTCTTTTTTGCATATATACAAAGTAAAAGATGTCTACATAAATAACATTCAGTGCTCCAAATTTCATCATTTGCTTTTTGGCAAAAAAATGGAGGACAAAAAATTCCGTATTCGAGCTGCATTGTTCTACGATTTTAAACAAGGAAAATCACCAGCTGAATCTCATCGCACGATCATCACTGTTTTTGGGGAGGAAAGTATACACATTCGGCAATGTCAACGATGGTTTCAAAGATTCCAAGGCGGCGATGAAAGCCTCGTAGACGAGCCACACTAAGGACATCCTCCAGAAGTGGTCGAGGATGACTTGCTCGCCTTAATTGAAGATTGCCCAACACTCACCGTTCGTGAGTTGGCAGAAATATTTGAAGTATCCCATACGACAATCAAAAACTATTTACACAAGCTTGGGGAAAAGAATCGAGTTGGAAAATGGGTTCCTCAAGAACTGGCCCAAAGCAACAAAATGTCGCCTCAATTTTGCTACAAAAATGTAAATCAAACGACTTTTTTCACAAGGTTTTGACTTCTGACGAAACGTGGATCAATTACGAGAACGTTAAACGCAAAAATCAATGGCTATCTGCTGGGCAGACCCCTCAAACCACTCCCAAACCTGATATCCATGGGAAGAAGATAATGCTCTGTTGCTGGTGGAACTTCAAGGGATTGGTGCATTATGAAGTGCTGAAACCTGGCCAAATCGTCGATGCTGATCTTTATTCGAAGCAATTAATGAGAGTTAACGAGTCTTTGAAGAAATTGGGGCTCAAACCGGAGAGAGTCAGATTTTTACACGACAACGTAAAACCTCACACTGCAAAGATCACTTATAAGAAAATCGAGGAACTTGGCTGGAAAGTTTTGCCCCACGCGTCTTATTCACCTGATCTGGCTCCTTCAGATTACTTTTTGTTTCGGTCGCTGAAGCACTTTTCGGAGGGAGAAAAGTTCGATGATCATGCTCGGATCATAAAAGCAGTGAATGACTACTTCGCCTCAAAAACTCCCAAGTTCTTCGAGGATGGGATCCGGGATTTGCGCAGAAGATGGGAAGAAGTCATAGATACTAATGGAGAATACCTTTCGAATTGAAAGCTCTTCTTTTGTGTTTTTTTGAAATAAATGATTTGTTACATAAACGCGTCATTATTAAGTTGCCAACCTAATACATAAAATTGTAAATTGTCTGTAGATTCTAAAAATGACTTTCTTTTTCCAAAAGATGGTATAGTCTTTTAGTTATGATCTTTTTCGTGACTTCCGCCAAAGGCCTCTGCGGTGCATTGTCGTTTTTAAAGTTTTGAATCCAAATTCTTCGTGCCAAAAACTAACTGTTTTTTTTGGCTAATTCAAATTTGATCTTTAAAAAATCCTCTTAACAATTTTCGTGTCATTTTTTTGCTATGTCACCTTGGGGAACTTTTAATAAAGAATTCGGGTCGTTTGTCGCAGGATGTCTTGTGTAGACAAATTTTTTAAATTATTTACTGTAAAACGGCAACGCACTGCAGAGGCCTTTGGCGGAAGTCACAGAAAAGATCATAACTAAAAGACTAGACCATCTTTTGGAAAAAGAAAGTTATTTTTTGAATCTACAGAGTATCTACAATTTTTTGTATATAATGGTTATACTATTACACCTTCTCATTTTCATCCAAGCCACCAAAATGCACGCGCCCATACTTTTAAAGACTGACTGATTTAAAAGTTCAAAAATTGACTCAGATTTAATCTGATCAACATTAATTTATATCTTTAGTTAATTTTCACTGTCACAAGAAGAAATCCCACAGATTATCTTGAAGTCCGGGAACAACAGTGACAATTGTCTCTTCGGGAATGGAAATTGAATGAAATGTGTTGAATGGAGGAGAAGTGGAAGTCGTGGTTATCCCCGGAATGATAAGTACTTTTTTCGTTGCTGAAATAAATATATCATTCACTTTTCACCATCATTAGCCAACCATCTATCCAATTGGCGACTCGAAATGAAACCGCCCACATCAATCCATCGTTTTTAGTGTTATTTGTTGGACCAAGAAGGAATGTTTCCTGTTGTTTTAGTCTGAAATGTTGAGTCCAGAAATATCCACCAATTGAAGGATCATCTTCTGATATCCAAGAGCTAAAAATAAAAAATAATTATAAATCTTTTTTTGAGTTATAGTGCTTTTGACTCACATTCTCTCCCCAAAACCACTTTCAAACTCCACAATTTGTTCTCCATCGACAGTGAAAGGTGTGGGATCGATACAAAAAGTGGAACTCTTGTCTTCACAATCATTTCGACTTATATCGATCAGGATATCCGTGCCTATGTTGGCTCCTACTGCTATCGTCTGCAATAAGAAATAATTTAATTAGTTGGCAAGAAAAAGTTGATTCTATGATTCTAGGGAGGCGATCGAGCCCAAGATCGAACTCAAGATTCCGATCAAGTCGCAGAAGCTCTAACCACTGAGCTATTCGGACTTCTCCTTGCCAAGAGAAAAAAAGGAAATACAAGAAAGAAGATAAAGAAAGTATCAATAAAACTTTCTTTTTATCAAATTTCGAATTATTTTTGAAACCTGTAGTTGCAGTGGCTTTCCATTAAACGATACTCGGTCACCGTGGATAGCGAATGACGGTGTCTCTTCCGTTAAAATGATCGTTCGCGATACTGAATCCATGTATTTAGAGAAAAACATTGTCCTTTTCCACATCCATAGAACAAAATAAACAAATCGATTACTTTCTCTTGTCCGTATCAGAAAACCGATTCCGTTTCCACTTTCATCACTTCCATTTATATTCCAATTTATCTGTAAATTGATTTTGACGTCATCCAACAAATTTCGAAGTATGAATTACCCCAAAACAAATAACTGTGGTTCCGATTTTTTGCGGTTTTGTGACGTCGGTGAAACTAAAATTGGCAAAAAAAAGGAATTGCTTGAAGCTCGGGGCAACCATTAGACAAACTGAATACATAGCGCCAGGGCCAAGGCATTCCTTAGCCCGAATTTTTAGGTCAAGCAAAGCCAGCCCAAAACCACAGGTTCTGAGGCATGGCTTTAGTTTGGCTCAGTAACCAGGCCACCGTAGTCAATGCGGTCCAAGGATGGACTAGAAAAAACATCAGAAAAGCCACGAAAATCGTCCCTGATGCCTTTCGGATAGCCACGCAAAAGACAATTTTCAACAGCTGCTGTCTCGTGCTTCTGCTAATTAAGAAAAACATACGTTCGATTTAAGTTTGGCGACGATTTCCAACAGGTCATTGATGTCAGATAACTCATGAGATTCAGATCTCCGATCGAAACCATTTGAACTTCAATAAATAATTCAGTTGTGTAAAAACTCTAAATCTCAACTAACAAACAATTTTAAACTTAATTCACCGTTGAAAGACGCAATGAATAGGAGGTGCTGTTATTGCCAGTGAAGTCTTTTGCGAGTCCTTCATCGAAAACCCATGGATAGTAGGGTGAACTCCACACAGAACTCCCAGTCAAACTGGGAGTGATTTCTGAAAGACAAAATTTACACAATAGATAATTAAAAATATAAAAATTGACCTCCGTTTGTGGCGAATTTCAGACAGAAAACACATGACGAATTAGTGTAGACAGTTGTCGAGGAACTAGTCGAATAAATATCGATTTCACCACTAAAAACAAATATTTTCCTTTTGAATGTATCTCGTCTCTGGAATTTTCGTTGCTAATTTATAAGAGTTCCTTTATAAAGTAGATTATATATATAATACTTTTCAGTGGTCAACAACTCTCTCGGATTTGTGTTTAAACCATGTGATGAACCGGCACGAAAAGTGAATTCTGTGTCACGGGGACAATCCGTTTTACCCATCTAAATTTGAGTTATATTTCTTGAATACGATAAGATGTAATAAATTTGGTTTATAGAAAAGAGAAACGAACAGGTGTATTAATGCAAGACGAGTGTTGTGCTTGTACAATCAATAAAGGTTTATTGTCACTGAAATCTTATAGAAATTCATTCCAAAATAGTTTAGTTTATTCAAATTCAGTTAGAATCTTTTTTGATAGCTTAAAATAACTTACGAAACACGTTGTTCTGCTCGATTTGGATGAACGACAAACGTGGCAATTTCATTTGACATCACAAGAGCATTGAAGGCTCCATTCGACGATCCGTCAAGTCCGGGGATCAGAAAAAGAGAATTTGTTTCTATAAAATATTTTATTATTAAATTTCATCAACATTTATCTACCATCAATCCATTTTTGGACTCTCACTGAGACAGCAAACTCGGTCGTTTCTTCGTTGTTTAGTGGCAAAAAGAGGAGAGAGGGTTGGCTTTTTACCGTGAATTGCCATTGATAGAGAATGCGAACTGAGTCCTCCGGCTTTCCGCCCACATTTTGGCAAGGTCTAAAAAGTGATCTTCAGGATGTTAAACGTTAAATAAATTTCAAAGGGTCAATTCTATTTTATCTGTAGGAAATGAGTGGCACCGATTTCCCTTGACCACATCATCGTTAAGGGTGACGTTGACAATAAACAACACATTGTCCATACACTGCAATTGCTTTAAATAAATTGATGATGAGTATATTTTACAACAAAATTGTCATCTGGTTTCTTGCAACCATTTTGTGTGTAATCGATGAGGAAATGCTCGATTTTCTCGGTTGTGGCAATTGTGATCGTCTAAAAATTGACGACAATATCATCATTTCTTCTTAAAGCATACCTGAGCTTTAAGAAGACGAGCCCCATGAAATGCAAATGATGGATTGATTGGAGAGAGGGTGAAAATCGGATTACTCTCCCCATTTGTCAATGGGATCAACAAAAAGAACCACGAGTTAAACATCGTCACTGGGCTTGAAAAAATGTAGTTTCGAGTTTTTTCGCACTTTTCACACCTTTGTTATCGTTTCACTCTTTTCAGGGACAAAGGCATCTTACAAGGGGTTTAAAACTTGTTCGGTGTGCGACAACACGGCACCACTCGTCGCGTTGCTGCTCAAAGACCTACGAATCGGATGAATACTAGAGTAAGGCGTATTCTAGTTACCAAAGCATTTAAATCGTTCAATAGAAAATGCAAGATGCAAAAATGCAACAGTATTTTATGCATATTTGTAATTTTAGCTTTTAGATTTTCCTCGAAATGCAATATATTAGGTTGGCGACATTGAAATTTCGTTTTTGAGCAACAACAAAATTTATTCGTAAAAAATAAACTGGAGACAATTAATCAACAATATATTCCCCACAGCTATCAATAACATTTTTCCATCTTTGACGCAAATTATGGATTCCCTCTTGAAAGAATTGTGCTGGTTTTGATTGAAAGAAAGCAGAGACCCATTTTTTGATGTCGTCAATGTTCTGGAACTTGTGGCCTTCGAGTGAATGCTGCAAACTTCGAAATAAATGGTAGTCAGATGGAGCAATATCTGGACTATAAGGCGGATGAACTAGAAGTCCCAGCCCAATTGCTCAATTTTTTCTTGCGTAATTTTGGCAACGTGAGGACGAGCATTGTCGTGTAACAATCGCACTGTTGTCGGATCAATTCCTTTTGAGCGAAGAACCGCGTTCACGCGATCTAGTTGTTGAACGTAAAGATTTGCATCAACAGTCTGACCAGGATTTATCACTTCAAAATGAACCAGGCCTCGGGTATTCCACCAAACCGACAGCATAACTTTCTTTCCGTGAAAATCCGGTTTAGGTATTGGCTTTGGAATTTCACCCGGGTCGAGCCATTGTCTTTTCCTTGTAATATTGTCATAATGAATCCATTTCTCATCAGCAGTTAAAATTGAATCCCAAAATCCACTATTTTTGGAGATTCGAAGCAAATTTCCTGAAGAACTCTGATTGCTTTGTTTGCATCGCTTAGTAAATGTGGAATCCATTTACCAGCTTTATTGATCTTGCCCAATTCATGCAAATGGTTTTCGATTGTTTTATGATCACAATTAAAATATTCCGCAAGTTCACGTGTAGTCTTTGTCGGATCACTTTCGATTATCTGCTTCAAATCGTCGTTTGCGACAGCCTGCGAGCGGTGTCCTCGTTCCAGATCTTCCAGACTTTCGTCACCCGCTCGAAATCTTTTGAACCAGTTTTGACATTGACGAACAGTGATAACATCTTTCCCAAATACGTTAAAAAGTGATTCATGCGATTCCGTTGATGTTTTTCCTTGTTTGAAATTGTACAGCAAACAGATGCGAAGTCGATATTTGAGGTCGTCTAGCATCTAAAAGATTTTTCTATTAAAATTCTTCAACTCGGAATAAAGAAAAGACGCGTAATAAAGCACAATAATTATATCTTTAAAACAGAAGAGATTGCGGTGGTAATAGTATCCACAGTGTTAAAATCCATAAAGAGAAACGCAAACGAAATTTCAATGTCGCCAACCTAATACATTCACTTACAAATTTTTTTTTTCACTTACAACTCAATTACAATTGAATGTAGGGAGTGCTAAACTTGCAGTTTCGCACCCGGTTCCTTCTTAAAGTTATCTCGTTCTCCATTTTCACCACTTTTCACAATCATTCTTAATGTCTAGACTTTTCTCAAGACTTTCGAATTCCTAATGAATGTTTTATTGTGAAACTCTTCCCCTCTTCACAATCCAGTTGCCGCCCCCATATCAAGTACGAAGAAACATGAAATTTTTCGTAGCACGTAAAAATCTACAAACAAAATGCAAACGCGATGCTTTTTTTGATATTCATGATGCATGGCATTTTGTTCTGCACGTGTTACAACTTGTTCGAGGCGTTAACTTCACAGCTTTCATCAAAAACACAACAACTCATTTCTTCTTTTTTCTTCGCAACGGATTGTGCCGTGTTTTCTGAAGCCACAGAACAAGTTTTAAACCCCTTGTAAGATTCCTTTGTCCCTGAAAAGAGTGAAACGATAACAAAGGTGTGAAAAGTGCGAAAAAACTCGAAACTACATTTTTTCAAGCCCAGTGACGATGTTTAACTCGTGGTTCTTTTTGTTGATCCCATTGACAAATGGGGAGAGTAATCCGATTTTCACCCTCTCTCCAATCAATCCATCATTTGCATTTCATGGGGCTCGTCTTCTTAAAGCTCAGGTATGCTTTAAGAAGAAATGATGATATTGTCGTCAATTTTTAGACGATCACAATTGCCACAACCGAGAAAATCGAGCATTTCCTCATCGATTACACACAAAATGGTTGCAAGAAACCAGATGACAATTTTGTTGTAAAATATACTCATCATCAATTTATTTAAAGCAATTGCAGTGTATGGACAATGTGTTGTTTATTGTCAACGTCACCCTTAACGATGATGTGGTCAAGGGAAATCGGTGCCACTCATTTCCTACAGATAAAATAGAATTGACCCTTTGAAATTTATTTAACGTTTAACATCCTGAAGATCACTTTTTAGACCTTGCCAAAATGTGGGCGGAAAGCCGGAGGACTCAGTTCGCATTCTCTATCAATGGCACTTCACGGTAAAAAGCCAACCCTCTCTCCTCTTTTTGCCACTAAACAACGAAGAAACGACCGAGTTTGCTGTCTCAGTGAGAGTCCAAAAATGGATTGATGGTAGATAAATGTTGATGAAATTTAATAATAAAATATTTTATAGAAACAAATTCTCTTTTCCTGATCCCCGGACTTGACGGATCGTCGAATGGAGCCTTCAATGCTCTTGTGATGTCAAATGAAATTGCCACGTTTGTCGTTCATCCAAATCGAGCAGAACAACGTGTTTCGTAAGTTATTTTAAGCTATCAAAAAAGATTCTAAATGAATTTGAATAAACTAAACTATTTTGGAATGAATTTTTATAAGATTTCAGTGACAATAAACCTTTATTGATTGTACAAGCACAACACTCGTCTTGCATTAATACACCTGTTCGTTTCTCTTTTCTATAAACCAAATTTATTACATCTTATCGTATTCAAGAAATATAACTCAAATTTAGATGGGTAAAACGGATTGTCCCCGTGACACAGAATTCACTTTTCGTGCCGGTTCATCACATGGTTTAAACACAAATCCGAGAGAGTTGTTGACCACTGAAAAGTATTATATATAATCTACTTTATAAAGGAACTCTTATAAATTAGCAACGAAAATTCCAGAGACGAGATACATTCAAAAGGAAAATATTTGTTTTTAGTGGTGAAATCGATATTTATTCGACTAGTTCCTCGACAACTGTCTTCACTAATTCGTCATGTGTTTTCTGTCTGAAATTCGCCACAAACGGAGGTCAATTTTTATATTTTTAATTATCTATTGTGTAAATTTTGTCTTTCAGAAATCACTCCCAGTTTGACTGGGAGTTCTGTGTGGAGTTCACCCTACTATCCATGGGTTTTCGATGAAGGACTCGCAAAAGACTTCAATAATAAGAACAAAAACTACACACTTACTATGACCTTCGCAACTTATGTTTGATATGAAAAATTGAGAAACTTGATTTCTTTTTTTTAGAACGACATTTGGAGGCCAATATTGATTAAGATTCGAGAAGGTTTTGGTGGTCGCTTAGACATCTTGGGCTATGATTATATGTGCTGGGGATCGTCACCAGTTTGGAATCAAACGTATCTTTTTGAAATTTTCTCCCATTATTGTCAGGATTAGAGCAGCGGCACTTTGATTGATTGGAAGTAGAACTGCCAAAAATTTACTGGGATTCGAACCCACGAGCTCTGGATTGTCTGGATTGTCCTGGATTGTCTGGATTGTCCTGGATTGTCTGGATTGTCCTGGGTTGTCTGGATTGTCCTGGATTGTCTGGATTGTCCTGGATTGTCTGGATTGTCCTGGATTGTCTGGATTGTCCTGGATTGTCTGGATTGTCCTGGATTGTCTGGATTGTCCTGGATTGTCTGGATTGTCCTGGATTGTCTGGATTGTCCTGGATTGTCTGGATTGTCCTGGATTGTCTCGATTGTCCTGGATTGTCTGGATTGTCTGGATTGTCCTGGATTGTCCTGGATTGTCTGGATTGTCTGGATTGTCCTGGATTGTCTGGATTGTCCAAGCATCACTTGCTAGATTGGTGCTACGAGGAGTCTTACCACCAGGGCTGGACAGGATCTGGATCCGGAAATTAGAGGAGCCGGGCATTTGATCTGGATTTCTGAGGAGATGGATTAGAAAGCTCTGGAATTTTAGGATCCGTCCAGCCCTATTTACCAGAATTTTAATTGCATCGTACAAAAATAATTGCTCAGAAAATTTCAGCTTGGACAACTTCACGGAATCAACACAACTTACACCCGCAATTAGGTGTTTGGTCGTAACTTTTTACTCTTTTATTTATTAATGTTTACGCACAGATAAACTGGAAAGCGAGTGATGCAAATGAAAATGGGAGCGGCTTTCTGCTGAAGCTGAAAGAAGGTAAACAGCGGTCAACCTTTGTCATTTATTTCTTCTGCAGTTTATTATCTTTCTTAACTGAGCCATCTTATTTGAAATAGCTAACAGCTAAAAATATAGTACCACGGACGATCATTATGACGGAAGATTCTCCTTCATTCGCCATTCACGGTGACCGAGCAAATTCATTTCAATATGGGGTGATTTATTTCGAAAGCGATTTAACTAAATATTAGGTTGGCAACTTAATAATGACGCGTTTATGTAACAAATCATTTATTTCAAAAAAACACAAAAGAAGAGCTTTCAATTCGAAAGGTATTCTCCATTAGTATCTATGACTTCTTCCCATCTTCTGCGCAAATCCCGGATCCCATCCTCGAAGAACTTGGAGGTTTTTGAGGCGAAGTAGTCATTCACTGCTTTTATGACCTGACCATGATCATCGAACTTTTCTCCCTCCAAAAAGTGCTTCAGCGACCGAAACAAAAAGTAATCTGAAGGAGCCAGATCAGGTGAATAAGACGCGTGGGGCAAAACTTTCCAGCCAAGTTCCTCGATTTTCTTATAAGTGATCTTTGCAGTGTGAGGTTTTGCGTTGTCGTGTAAAAATCTGACTCTCTCCGGTTTGAGCCCCAATTTCTTCAAAGACTCGTTAACTCTCATTAATTGCTTCGAATAAAGATCAGCATCGACGGTTTGGCCAGGTTTCAGCACTTCATAATGCACCAATCCCTTGAAGTTCCACCAGCAACAGAGCATTATCTTCTTCCCATGGATATCAGGTTTGGGAGTGGTTTGAGGGGTCTGCCCAGCAGATAGCCATTGATTTTTGCGTTTAACGTTCTCGTAGTTGATCCACGTTTCGTCAGAAGTCAAAACCTTGTGAAAAAAGTCGTTTGATTTACATTTTTGTAGCAAAATTGAGGCGAAATTTTGTTGCTTTGGGCCAGTTCGTGAGGAACCCATTTTCCAACTCGATTCTTTTCCCAAGTTTGTGTAAATAGTTTTTGATTGTCGTATGGGATACTTCAAATATTTCTGCCAACTCACGAACGGTGAGTGTTGGGCAATCTTCAATTAAGGCGAGCAAGTCATCGTCGACCACTTCTGGAGGATGTCCTTAGTGTGGCTCGTCTACGAGGCTTTCATCGCCGCCTTGGAATCTTTGAAACCATCGTTGACATTGCCGAATGTGTATACTTTCCTCCCCAAAAACAGTGATGATCGTGCGATGAGATTCAGCTGGTGATTTTCCTTGTTTAAAATCGTAGAACAATGCAGCTCGAATACGGAATTTTTTGTCCTCCATTTTTTGCCAAAAAGCAAATGATGAAATTTGGAGCACTGAATGTTATTTATGTAGACATCTTTTACTTTGTATATATGCAAAAAAGAGGGAAGAAACGGCGCTTGAAATTACAAAAAACATGTTAAGTAGTGACGCGTCATTATTAAGTTGCCAACCTAATAGCTTTTTGCTTCTAATCCTCTAAAAAGGAGGTCTATCTAAAAGCCTATATCAAACTGTCAAATCAGAAGTCATACAGCTGCTTGCCAACTTCATAAACTTGATGAAAAATAAGTGCATGACCCGAATTGTACAATGGTGCAAAGTTACATTTCCTTTAACCATAAAAACTTTTTCGTTTTCGAATGAATACCTTCAAAGTAGGTAAGCAAATGGACCTGATTTTTGGTCTGATCCTGACATTAGCCGATAAGCTAGAAGCGATTCCACACCTTTCACCTGGCCTGCTCTGGCTCTGCTTTTTGGCACAGCCATTATCAAGTTTTTTAGCAATTAATCGTTGGAGCCAATACAGTCGTGGATATCCTGATCGATATAAGTCGAAATGATTGTGAAGACAAGAGTTCTACTTTTTGTATCGATCCCACACCTTTCACTGTTGATGGAGAACAAATTGTGGAGTTTGAAAGTGGTTTTGGGGAGAGAATGTGAGTCAAAAGCACTATAACTCAAAAAAAGATTTATAATTATTTTTAATCTTTTAGCTCTTGGATATCAGAAGATGATCCTTCAATTGGTGGATATTTCTGGACTCAACATTTCAGACTAAAACAACAGGAAACATTCCTTCTTGGTCCAACAAATAACACTAAAACCGATGGATTGATGTGGGCGGTTTCATTTCGAGTCGCCAATTGGATAAATGGTTGGCTAGTGATGGTGAAAAGTGAATGATAGATTTATTTCAGTAACGAAAAAAGTACTTATCATTCCGGGAATAACCACCACTTCCACTTCTCCTCCATTCAACACATTTCATTCAATTTCCATTCCCGAAGAGACAATTGTCACTGTTGTTCCCGGGCTTGAAGATAATCTGTGGGATTTCTTCTTGTGACAGTGAAAATTAACTAAAGATATAAATTAATGTTGATCAGATTAAATCTGAGTCAATTTTTGAACTTTTAAATCAGTCAGTCTTTAAAAGTATGGGCGCGAGGATTTTGGTGGCTTGGATGAAAATGAGAATGTGTAATAGCATAACCACTATATACAAAAAATTGTAGATACTCTATAGATTCTAAAAATGACTTTCTTTTTCCAAAAGATGGTATAGTCTTTTAGTTATGATCTTTTTTGTGACTTCTGACAAAGGCCTCTGCGGTGCATTGTCGTTTTTAAAGTTTTGAATCCAAATTCTTCTTGCTAAAAACTAACTGTTTAACGTATTTTCTAACCTAAAACTTAATGAACTCATACCAAATCGTTGAAGCACAAACCATCTTTGTGAAATGCTTTTTGAGAATGTTATGAAACTTTAACTTTTAGTTTCATAAAAGGCCTCTACGGTGCATTGCCGTTTTAGAGTAAATAATTTAAAAAATTTGTCCACCCAAGACATCGATGCGACAAACGACCCGAATTTTTTATTAAAAGTTCCCCAAGGTGACATAGCAAAAAAATGACACGAAAATTGTTAAGAGGATTTTTTAAAGATCAACTTTGAATTAGCCAAAAAAATGATAAAAGTTAAAGTTTCATAACATTCTCAAAAAGCATTTCACAAACATGTTTTGTGCTTCAACGATTTGGTATGAGTTCATTAAGTTTTAGGTTAGAAAATACGTTAAACAGTTAGTTTTTAGCGAGAAGAATTTGGATTCAAAACTTTAAAAACGACAATGCACCGCAGAGGCCTTTGGCGGAAGTCACCAAAAAGATCATAACTAAAAGACTATACCATCTTTTGGAAAAAGAAAGTCATTTTTAGAATCTACAGACAATTTACAATTTTATGTATATAATGGTAATACTATTACACCTTCTCGTTTTCATCCAAGCCACCAAAATGCACGCGCCCATACTTTTCGTTGACCCTGTACATCTGAAATGAATGTATATGATTTGAGATGTACCTATCCACAGTACATGCTCATTCCAACAATACCATCTGCCAATTGTCAAGCTTCGGAGGTGATTAAGAAGAGAAATATTAGTTTTCGCAAATTTTCAGGAATCATTGAACTGTGAAAAAGAGACCCTTTTCAAAAGTTATGCTGGCGGTGATCCGGGCAACAAAAGGGACGAGAAGAATCACCTCATCGATGAAAAGTAAATAATAGATGGGTTTGAAAGAACAAAAAGTGATAAGTGTATTCAATTAATAGAAAAAGTTTGTTCATAAACTATTTGAGACTTTTCTTCTTTTCAGATTAAGCGAGTTGCGTGTTGTCTCCACCTCGTCAGTCACCTCGATTTTCACCGATGATCGATGTGCCTTTTCTTTGCGATACATGATGAATGCGTGCATTGGAAATCTTTCAAGAGAAGAAAAACAAAAGCAATGGGGTGAGAATGTGTGGAAACTTTAAAGGGAAATTAAAGAGTTCACTAGCTAGCCTCAATTTTTCTTCCAGAAATGGATAGGATCATTAAAACTTCAGTTCACTTTTTGAACCGGATAGGTCTTTTTGTTATTGTGTTGTTGAAAAGTAAAAGTTTTAAATCTACATAGATATATTTGAAATCAATCTGTCAGGTGATAAACGTACGTTCATTTGGTCGGATCGAATTGGGTGAACTGAAAGACTGTGTAAAAAAAAACTCAACCCAACTCGGCCAGAATCGGTCCACCCCCAAGCCGATGGAGATGAACCACGCAATTCTGCTTTGTTCTTTGGTTTTATTTGAAACCTAAAATATTTTTCGTCTTTTCTGATGGTTCAGGCTTCAAAACAGTCAAAGAAGTGAAAATTGGTTAAATATTCACTGAGCTACATTTCTTCTAAGTTGAGAAAAATAAAAACCGATCCTTTATAGTCATTATTATACATTCGGTACTTGTAGGGTAGGGCGGAGGGCACTATATTGATTCCAAAACCACTTTTTCTGGGCCTGTTTTTTGCGTAGATCACGAATTGCATAGTGGCAGCTTGGGAAAATGCGTTTTAGATCGACTTTTAGAGGCTTGAAGACGTCGTCTCCATAGTGTATTTCACTGTAATGCTCCAATAAGAAGGATTCAAAAGAAGCTTAATGAGCCTTTTCCTGTCCAAAAAGATAATTTTCGGAGATAATTTAGAGAATTTAGAGCAATTCTAATCAAATTCAAGTAGAAAATTTAAAAATAAAAATTTTCACATGGGTGAAAACAATGACAAATTCGGAATTTTCATTTTCTGGGCACTCAATTAACCCAAGGAAAGTGTTTTTGTCAGAGGAAAAAATCCTCTGAGGCTTTAGATGGACCCTCCTTATACAAGTCCGCAGCACACTGTAGAGGCTTCGGGTACCCGAAAGTCGGGTAACTTCGGGTACCCGAAAGTCGGTCTAAAATGCATTTTCCCAAGCTCCCACTATGAAATTCGTGATCTACGCAAAAAACAGGCCCAGAAAAGGTGGTTTTGGAAAAAATATAGTGTCCCCAACCCCACAAGTACCAGACATTCCATTGAACGGGATGGCAACTCTGTCGCCACATTTCTACCCGTGGAACTTCGATCAATGGGACTCATCGGGACCGTTTGGAGATCTACAATATTCGCAAAGTGGTCTACAGGTCCACATTATTAGTCGAAATTATTGGGAAAGTGTTTCTCTCGTACTCAATACGGTAGGTTTGCCATGCAAGATACAGTACTGGACAATGAAATATCATATTTGAAAAACGATCGTCACTTTCGCGCGTCTGTAACTCCCTTGTCTTTGAGTTTAAACTATTAGTGTTATACATTTTCTGAAAGCTCTTTTCAAGGGCTACACAATGGTAATATTAATATTTAGAAATACGGTAAAGACAAGGGAGTTACAGACGCGCGAAAGTGACGATCGTTTTTCAAATATGATATTTCATTGTCCAGTAGTGTATATCATAAAATCTTCAAGATATTGAATTTGTTGCAGACAGTTAATTGCAGGCAACTTCAAGTGTCGCATTTGGAGTTGAATTCATCAAAATGTCCAATGGAATGGCTCGACTTTTCACTTATGCCAATAGCATCGAATCGTGTGTAAATTCAACAAAAGCGATTGCTAAGTTTGTTTTCTTTTGTCTGCTTTACACTGGTGAAGAAAAAAAACACTATAAGCTCACCCCTAAAAGTTGCCAGTCTTAAGTCTGTTGCCAGACCGTGAACGGTTTTAATTCCACACTAAAAAACACAGCACTAAAGCTGTTGTTAAAATACTTTTTGCTTTTGAAGCTGTGACAAAAATCTAATCTCACTTCAAAAGAGCTTCCAAATGCATTTAAGAAAGTTAGAAAGTATTTTTTGTGTGATTTCAATGGTGTTGATTTGAACTCTGAAAACGGTTTGCCTCGAGCTCCTGCCATTTTGAGATATGCGTGGAAAAGCGACTTTTACAATCAATTTTTTTTCTAGAGACGTTCAATTCTGAAGCAAATGTACTTTTCAGAAAAACTAAATAATCAAAAATAAGCTAGGTAGCTGTTGGGGAATTTTTGATACGAGGGTTTCGCTTTTTTAGTTACACGGATGTTTCCGATCACCCAGTCTACTATGAAAATATATTTTGTTTGAGGGTAAGCTTTTTTAACAAGTATAAAATGAAACAAGTATAGAGGCTACCTATTTTTGTGATTTTTTTTTGCGGAACAATTATTGATTGCTTCTAGGTTATCTGGTATCCCATTGATGATATGAGTTGGACCATAGCTCAAACGGGTTTTCTGGCAGTGGTCCAGGAGATTCCATCCTGTCAATTCACCTATTCATTGGATGCCGATTCACCGACTCTATCATTTCATGCTTATAAGCTCTACTCGCTTGCAGGTTTCACATTTCATTCATACGATTGGTTCATGTGCCTTGATATGAAAATTTGTATAAAGCTTATCTATTGGGTTGGTGAATTGAAAACTGCCCGACTTTGAACTAAAATTTATTCAACATAAAACCATCAGTTCATTCCAAATAATTTCCATTATTATTGACGACTTCTGCCCATTTTACGGGCAGTTTGCGGATCCCCCTTTCGTAGTAGGATTTTGGTTTGTGTGTGAGACAAGTGTGAGACTCAAAAATGGAGGACTGGAGATGTGCCAGTTTGAGCACTTTCTTCAAAAGAAACTCATTTTGGTGTCAATAGAAAAGTTGTAGAGAATCAAAAATGAGGCTTATATCCAAATTTCCAAAAAGATACACTTAGTAGTTTAGCTTAAAATGCAAGTTTTGTCAAAAATTTGTAAATTTCGCATTTCTTGAAAACCAGTTTTTGAATCATTCTGAAAATTTGGATATAAGCTTTATTTTTGATTCTCTACAAGTTTTCCATTGACACCAAAATGGGTTTCTTTTGAAGAAAGTATTCAAACTGTGACATATGACAATAGCCCGCAGTTTTCAATCCACCAACCCAGTAGATTGTACTTTGCAAAAGATTCTATACACTCACAATCCACTCATTCACATCCACATTGAGACACGTTTTTGTCTACATAGTTTAGAAGCTATAAACCAACTAAAAGTGCATACATTCAGATGTCAAGAACTCGATTTTACTTGTAAAAATAACAAATGACGCTTAGCTATGCCTATTTTTAGTATACGATTATGATTTAAGGCAGAATATTCTAAAGATTCAATTTTATTGAGGGCTGTAACAAATGACGTTTAGCTATGCCCACGCCGGGTTCGATTTGTTTCGAGAAATGTGCCGATTGTCGGATATCGCTCGAATTTGCTTTTTATTGTTCGGATAGTGAAATGGTTTGTAGAATTTTGTAAAAAGGTATTTTATTTAAAGTTTAGAATTGCTTGACATCAGTTGGAGTCCCATTTTCAAATGGATTAAACAAAGCAATTGAATGGGATGAATGTGAGATCAGGTTATCTTTAAAATCAACTAAAGAAGGTAATAAATAAACAATATTTTAGTTTTTCCTCTTTCTCGATCAATTCTTCTTCCTCTGTTATTAGTTGCCAAGTGGAATTGACAAAAAATTGGACAAATTCAAAGTTTTGGTTGTATTGGAATGTTCTGGAAAGAGGGGAAGATCAAGAACTCGCCAAAAATGCGGCTTTTCTGATCAAAGCTGATAGATTTCTTGAAGGTAGAAACAGAATATAATTGATTATTACTTTGAAAACACTAATCATTTTCAGAAAACACAACAATCTATAAAGCTCTTCCAAATGGATTGCCCGAAGTGACAATTGACGTTTCCGAAAAAGAGATTTGGGTCGTTTTGGCGTTTCGAGAAGAAGAAGATGTTGTACACATTTTCGAGAAATTACAATCTGTTTGTGTTTTTATTATATTTTCCATTTTTTATCCAAATAATCATATAATTTTGCCAAGTTTCAGTCAAACGAAAGCAATGGAATCGAATGTAAATATGATCTTTTCATTTCGTCCCCACAATCGACAACCGAAACAAATGAAAGCAGTCGTTTTCTGTTCACTTTTTAGTTCGTTTCTTCAAAAGTTTTATATTTTTAATATTACTTTTTTCAGCGAAAATCATCCATTCATTGAACAATATCTCGAAAATCGAATTTACAGTTTATTTATTCCTGCCGGATGTTCGCCAACAATTGTCATTTCATCCACAGAATTCAGTGTGAAAAATCGTAATGAAACTTTTCAAAGAAAAAATGAAGTATAAAAGCAAATCTGGATCCTATTTCGAGAGTAGAATGTGGGGATCGGATTGGGGAGAGATTTCGGCATTTAGAATGAAGAAGACAATGAATATGGGGAGGAATCTTAATTGCTTCTGGTCACGAGAATGCGTTTCTCTCGACTAACGCTCTCTTCAAAAGACAACTTTGCTAAGAGTCAAAATTTGCATTTATTGCGGAAAATGGCATAACAACTACAAAAAGACGCTGAATTTGGGAGAGATAACCGGAAAATATCGAGAGTTTGAGGCAAAATCTTCCAGATTCGACCGGTAATCCAGCAGACTCGGGTTCGAATCCCTGCACCGCTAAATTTTTGCTAGTTCCAGTATGAACCCATCAAAGGGCAGTTGGCCAAAGGACAGCAAAGGCTCCCAAAGATCTTCAATAATTTTAGAACGAGTTATCGAACGAAACGTCTGTCAAGAGGGCATTGTAATGATCAAGTCACGAAAATACATACAATAACCGAATTTTTGATTCATTTCATGGAACAATGCAATACAATTGATTTGAATGAGTATTATTAATTTGGCTAGTTTTGGAAAATAGATGACTTTTAGAAAGTGCATTAGTCGAGACGATGACACTGTAGAGGAGACCGGGCAATGAACTATCTCCCCTTTTCCTCACATTAGAAAACTATCGCTTTCACTAATCTTACATTGAGACATCTACAGCCCAAAGATCTTTCTCGATTTTAGAACGAGTTATCGAACAAAACGTCTGTCAAGAGGGCATTGTAATGATCGATTCTCCGGGATATCTTGATTCCTCGCAATCTTTTGATTTCAATCGCATTTTGACTCACAATTTAGGCTGTGGTTGGTTGAAAAGATAAATTTGATTATTTTGGCATTTCAGATCTGGGCATATTCGTATCGAAATTGTTTCTCTAAATGGTGGAATTATTTCAATCGATTTTCAGAGTTTCCAAAATGAAACCCTACCGAACACAACGTGAAATCACTTTTTTATTTCAAAGATTCACCAATAATCTTTAGTTGGAAACCTTCTGACAATTATTCACTTTCTATAAATTTCACTTATGAAAAAGTGACCAAAATGAGTGTGAACTGGAATCCAGATAAGGTACACGAAAATGCTGGAGCTCTTCTGTGGATACACATCGATAATGTTGAGAAATCGATAAATGATGATGGGACAACAAAATCCAGAAGGAAATCTTGGGTTTTGATTGTGGCCGTATCGGTGCCATTCGTTTGTCTCGTTGTTTTAGTTATTTTCTGTGTTTTTGGAATGAATTCACGGTGAGCACTTAGTAAGATACATACATCAAATAAGTACATAAAATTAAAAGGTTTTTTCGTTTTGAAGCCTTATCCAAAAGGAAATCTGAAAATGTTGGATTTTCAGATTATTCATTCGTTTCCTTTTATCGCAGAAAAATCCGTTTGCTGAGAAAATCGAGCAAGTGTTCAATTCGGTAGCAAATGATTTGTAAAATTTTAAATTATATACCAAAAATTGAGAATCGTTTCCTTAAAAATGCTATGTTGAGAGGACTTTCGACGAAGAAAACGTAAGTGTTTAATGGTTAAAGGAAATTCCCACTTTCTCACATAAATTTTCGACTTTTCCGTTGAATTCGGCTCTGTTTTGTATCAATAATTATGTGCTTTTAGATTTATTGACAAATGGGAAGTTTCGTGGGCAAATTTAAATATTTTTATTTGATAAAGAACAAAGTTAAAATAAAAAAAGCATGAATCATAAAAATTCTTGTAGCAATGTGTATTCGAAAACATTTGCAAAAATCAATTTGTTTAACCGTCGCTTCAACCGACCATTAATCGACTAGAAAAACAGTCATGCCAATTTATTTTGTTAATTGTTTAACCGCGAGGAGCACACTCTAGCTCAGATCGATTTTGCAGTCCTCAAGCTTTTAGTTTCGTGTCCAGTTTTGAGCCTATAAGCATGATTTAGAATCGTTTTTCGTGATCTTAAGTTAACAAGGCACAATTTGTTTGATGCATTCTGGCTGTCGTCTTGGCTGAAATCAACAAAACAAAAAAAACTTTAGATTTGTTGACAAATGGGAAGTTTCGTCCGCAAATTTAAAGATTTTCGATGAAACTTTGGGCGCTGGAGCTTATGCAATTGTCCATAAAGGATATTTGAAAGGAATCCCACCAGTGGCAACAATAAATCCATCATTACAAGTAAAAATAAACTGTAAACGATATAAGTATTCATTTATCTAACAATTTACGTGTCTTTAAGCTCTCATTTTTCCTTTCAAATGACGGAAATGATGTGGCCGTGAAAGTGGCTCATGAAAATGCGACAAAAGCTGAAAAGTTTGTGAAAAAGCTAACTAGTTTAACATCAAAAACTAAATTCAGGCGATCATTTTTACTGGAAATCGATTTTATGAAACGACTCGAATATCACCCACACATTCTATCACTTCTGGCCTGTTCAACCAATCCATCATTTTCCCTGATTGTCACTGAACTTTGTGAATTCGGCGATTTATTGGGTCTCATTTGGAAAATGAAGAAAGAAAAGCCAAAAGAAGAAGGGAAAATATCAGATGAATCAGTAAAGGTAAGACACTAGTTGAATAAACATGAAAATACTAGACTTGCGACTCGTAGTCAGCCCGGTCCAGTCATTCCAATAGATTCAGTACATCTGCTGGCTCAGGATGGTTCAGTTCAGTTCATTGAATGGACTGAATTGTGATTCAGTTCAGCGAAAATTCAGCTCAAGGCCTGACTGACTGGACTGAGGTTTAGTGAGCTGCGTTGCAGTGTAGAACAAATATGAAAATGCCAGACAAGCTATTTATAGTCACTCAAGGCATTCCAGTAGATTTGCTACATCCAGTGGATTGAATCAGTGAAAATATAGCTCATTGACTGGACTGAGAATTTAGCTAGCGGCGCTCACATCTATTCTTTATGTAATTGGAAATTTTTCAGGAAGGTTCTCTGGAACTCGACGATTTTGTGCCTATTGGATGGCAATTGAGTGACGCTTTGGTGAGTTTTGAAAGAGATATTTTTGCAACCTATAATGCTTTTCATGAAATCACTTTCTGATGCTTTCAGAATGAATTTGTTCTTAATTTTTATTTTCTAGGCCTTTTTGTCCGGAAAGAAAATCATTCATCGAGATGTCGCTGCGAGAAATGTTTTGGTAACAAAAAGAAAAATGGTTAAGGTAATTTCAAATTCATTATTTAATAGAGTATTTTACACTTTTAGTTATCCGATTTTGGCCTTTGTTGTTATGCTAAAGCAGAAGAAGAATATGAATCAAAAGAGGGGAAATTACCCCTAAAATGGATGGCTCCCGAATCGATAGAATGGGGGAGATTCTCTGAGAAAAGTGATGTGTAAGTGGAATTGAAATACCGTACTTACTCTATTAGTACTGCACCTTTAATAGTGCTGCCCCTCTAAGAATATTGCGGTCCGAGCCGTCACGAAAAAATAGTACTGCACAGTACTAATAGAGTAAATATGGTAACTACTAAAATAGCTTGCACTTTTCGAGTTCACTCCTTGTTAACAAATGGAACTTTGTTTTTTCTGCTTTTATTCCGCACTACGCACCTAAAGACTTGGTAATGATGAAGGAGCACAGAATAGGGATCAGTTTTATGTTTTCTCTGCAAATATCAGTTAGAAGTAGTCATCAAAGTATACAAATATAAAGCCCTCCAGCAGGACAGTTTAATCAAAAAGCCCTGAAAGCAAGAAGATGGGTGCCTCGATTCGCCGACCTCTACACAACTCAAATCCTTCCATATACATTTCTTTAGTCAAGTCACTCTTTTTTTCTTTGAGAATTATTCTTTTTTCCCCCAAGATGGATGTTCTTGCCAGTAGTTCAGTGGTTGAACTCAAAATGGCCAGTAGACAAGGAGATGGGTGCTTTCCAACCCAGACCCATCATCTCAATCTGACCTCAATTTGAAATCGAGTTCAATTCAGAAGTTGAATTTGAATTCTTTTTTCCTTAAACCATTTTCTTTCTTTTTTCAGTTGGTCATTCGGCGTTGTTTTGTGGGAAATGTATTCTTTTGGGAAATCTCCATTCGAATCATTTTCTCATCAAGAAATTCTTCCATTTTTGAGAAATGGAAATCGTTTGGAAATACCCGAGTCGACTCCAGATTGGATGTTTGTTTTTGTTAAATGTGAATTTAGTTTTATTTAAGTTTCAGTAAAAAGATTATTGAAGAATGCTGGTCAGAAGAGCCGATGAAACGACCGGAATTCTCGGGAATAAAACGTGAATTTTATCGGCAAATGGAAGCCAATTCCACACGATATGGATATTTGCATTTCAGGTCAATTTTTGACAAAAAAAGATTTTGCACATTGATGATTTCAGTAAAAACTATTATCACGAAGAAGAAACGACAAAAGATGAGGACAATGTGATCTGACTGAGTGTTTTCAAATGATCCTTCATTGCTTTGCCCTTTCTACTTTTAGATTACATTATTGTAATAAATATTTAAGCATTAATCTTGCTTTCTTTCTTTCAGATTTTCAACCTTTTCATCAAATCAAATCAGAAAGCCTTTACATATATAAAACAATTCTTTTTAATATTTTTAATTCAAAATGTATTAACATGAAAACCCATTATAGCGTATCTAGACAATGATGATCACTTATATTATCAGTCCAGGGGGATGTCATTCTATTAGAGGGTGTCATTCTAACACAGCATTTACGGTATCTTTATTCAAGTACAAACGGTGAAAACCAAACCAAGCTAATCATTTATAAACTTCAACATTTCAACAGCACCCAAAACCACGTCAAAGATCAGAGTTTCTTGAGGTCAAACGAGGCGATTCACTCTTGATTCTCATTTCAGACGGCCGGCTATTCAACCAATACGTTTCCATCACTCCTTTACCCTAAAACAATCGAGTTGTATAACTTTACAATAGTGTATTCTTTGAATACAGCAATTAAGATCAGGAAAATTGGGCTCATGAAGTTCGCTAAATTAAGCTAAGCCAACAGAGAAACGAAGACTCTTCTTTACCCTCCTCTCACTCACTTTGATGTCACTTCTCCTCTAGACTCGATATCGTAGCTGCTAATTCGACACAAAAACGACACAACGGACAGTGTGAAGTTTGCCGGCTAAAAATCTTTGCATAAATAAGCCAGATCACTTGTACTCATGGTTCCCGTTGCTCTCCATCCTGGAAGCTGTATTGACTGTAAAACACAGTATCTAAAAAGGACCGTTTGAGTATAAAACGTTAAAGGATGACAATTTGCATTCTGCTTGCCAAACTGGCTACACCGTTGTTTTTTCTGCAAAGCTTATGCTCATATTTTCAAAACTTGAGAAAAATCCTAGCAGACGCCTTCCCGTAACAAAGTGCGTTATTTCTTAAAGGTGAGTCAGACTTCCCTTGTGGGAAAGTCAGTCGTTGTCTTAAGCCGCGGAAGAAATCAGCTTACACGAGCTTTAAAATTGTTAGCAGTTATTGGTCTTTATCTGGGTTGAAAATTAAAACCTTTAAAAGAGAAACTTTTCCCGGCCTCTAAAACTGCTCAGCCATTGTGTTCTTGACTAGCTCTATACTTTGAAAAGTTCCCCCAATCCATTTAACGAATTGATTTCGGTGTGCTACACTGAGAAATGGGATCAGCGTTATAGCATCTTGACAAATCTTTGTCTATGAATTTCTTTTAATAGGCCCGCAATTAAGGGATCACGTGAGAACTGTTTTCAATGTGTCGGGCAACTATTTCTTCACACATTGGCTTCATTACGCTACACTGTGGCCAGCGTTTGTGAAGGGAATTCATGCCTCACGGGAGATAAACTAGAAGAAAGAAGACTGGGAGAGTGAAAAAAGGCTAGATAAGCTTGCAGGCCTCCATTTTCCTGGCATAAGTCATGCCTCACGGGAGCTAAAATAGAAGAAAGAAGACTGAGAGAGGGAAAAAGGCTTATGCGAGGTTAATTAAAGTTATAAATGGGCTCATTTACGTAATGGGTTCATCGCAGCTATCAGCCTTATCACTTATCAATTTCGAAACATTTAAAAACTCTAGTAACGAATTTCTGCTTATTCTTTATTGTAGTTTTCCTTTTCGTAATTTGATTTTCGAAATTCCTTAATTTTTCAGAAGTCAAGATGTTTATCAAAGGAAACAAGAAGTTCGATCTCGGAAGATATCATCCAAAGGCGAAAAGAGAGGTACTTGAAGGATTAACCTTCATAGAAAGTAATATACGTTTTGATAGCTCTTACTGTAAGCAATGTGCTTTCGTTTTCAAGAAAATTTTTAGGTTGATAGAGACAAAAGTAGTGGCGATGAATGCGATGCCCTCGGCGAGGAGTTCGAGAAGAAACTTCAAGTCAGCACTGCATCTTCGAGGAGTATCCTTGCCGAACCCAAAATTAAAAACAAGAATGCACCACAACACACCAACACACCTACTCGCCTTAGGATGAAGCTCGATGACCGGTTTGACCAATGCAAAGATGAAAAAGACTTTGAATTCAAAAGTTTGTTAAAACCATCAAAAACTAACTGGGAGCCTTTATTTCAGATCTGCAATTTGTGGGAAAAAAATTCTTCTTTGAAACTTTGGATCTACAAGGAGCAAAAGTGCGGATCAAACCTGTAAAGTGGGAAGCTCCAGGAATCAACATCAACGGCCGTAGGGTAGTTTTGTATTGTATGTCGCATCCTTATCTGAAGAATTTTTAGTCTTCCCACACGTTCTCCATCACCGGGCTCGTGACTATCGGATTTGGGCACAAGAAGGCCATGGGGTTCTTTGGAGCATGCTCTAAAGTAAGTTGATTTCATTTTTGAATGAATATTCATAGTTTCCAAGATTCTTAAGACGTCGAATAGTCATTCAGTTACGACTTATTTAGTAGGGTCTACGTATTAATCGTAAGGAAGACGCTGTACTTTCAGCGCTACGACAAAGGGTGCTACCCCCTGATTGAGTTCGAGATCAAGTCGCAGACGATTTGGCTCGTGTTCGAATGGAATAAAACGAGGTAATAGAAGTTTGAAAAGTCTAATTTGCAACCGTGGTTTTAGAGCCCATTGGCTTCCGCGTTTCGTCGATCGACGTCCATTCTTCGGTGGTTTTCACTTCAAAAATGGAAACTGCAAACTATTCAAGGATCAGTTCATCAATGAATCCCTGCGGGCTGTTAGTAAGTCTCTTTCATTTTCGAATAACATCTCGGCTGCAAGCGGTTTTTAGATATCCGTTCTGATCAAAGTTTGTTGATGTTCGACCTGGTTCCCGTGGCCGGCGAGAGCCTCGTGGCGCGTTTCGTCAAACGAGCCCCACTCAAAAAGGGAGTCCGGATGGCCGTTTTGAGAGACTATGAGCTCAATCCGGAAAAGGTAAGTCGCACCTTAAAACAGATATTAGGAACTTTTTTATGAGGGAATGGGGTGCACAGGTATAGTATAGAATTCCTTATAAGGCTTAATCAGGCACCGAATCATTCCAGGAAGCGTTCCCCATCAACGAAGAGGGAGAGCCGATAGCAATCACTTTTCGCCCTCCTCGTGCTGCCATGTGGTTGAAGAAGATGGTATGGAAAATGCTAGAAGCACCAGAATATGAAAAACAAAACAATTAATGCTTTCAAAATCATTAAAAATTCAAAGAAAAAAACTTGTTTTAGAGAAAACAAAAATATGCTGCTGAATGGCCCTACTTCAAGATTCGAGTCACGAATGGGAAGGACGATGTGGATATTTTGTTAAAGCTCAATTGGAATGCAAATGGGTTTGTGTTTTCGAGTCCAAATATTTTGTGGAGAGTATCCATTCAATTTAAACACTTCAGACGGCGATGGATCCCGATCTTCAGCGCGGCGTCGTTAAAAGAAAAGGAAAAAGAAGAATTCGAGAACATTCAAACTCCAATACCTGCCTAAAGTTTTCAGACATTTTATTTCTTTGATCATTTGACATGAGTTTTGCTGACTAGTTTGACTTTTTATTTAGTTCATTTGCTTGCTGTGTTAGATATTTTGTCTTGTGAATATGTGATCAGAGTGTATCAGAGTGTAGATACGGTAGAGTAGAGTGTAGAGTGTCACTGTAGAGTGTTTTCGATGTGCTCAACTTAAGCCGATGAAAAAAGTTCAAAAAAAAGAACGTTGCATAAATATGGTTTCGTGTAATATAAGCACATGACAGCACATATTCAATTATTTGTGGTCGTTAAGTTTCTCAGAAGCTGGGATCACAAACTGGGCAAAAAAGAAGATTCTGTTGCTGATCGACGATTGCTCATGTCATCCTCAGATTCAACTCGAGACTATAAAGCTCTCTTGAATGCTAGTTTCGATGATTTTTAATGGTTTTCCAAGGAAAGATAGGTGCGGAAAATGAAAATTTTTCATATTTGAAAAGATTTACATCTACAAAACGTTAACTTAGACGATAACGAACCGATTCCGAGAGGCCGTGTGGGATCCTCAGCGGAACAACACCGAAAATCATCAAAACTTGGTCGAGAAACAAAAATAGCAAAAGAAAGAGCATTGTTTTGCGATTAGATATGCGATGAGATATGCAAATGACAAATCTTTCTATCAAAGACGCCCTCTGCTGATAAATGAGCACGATTCAGGTTTACGGAAAGATTGATTTATGGAAAGGAAATGGGTTTACGAAAAGATCTTGTTCTTGTCTTGCAAAGAATTGTGTAAATTTTTGCTTAACAACGAAATATAACATTAGTTTCTTCTTTAACTATTCATTAAATGAGTTATTTCGGATTCTACAAGTCTTTTTAGCGCTCATACTTTTGCTGAACTCGAAAAGTGGTACAAAACTTCTTTCTCATTCATAACACAAATTAAATTTATGAAAATCTACAAGAATATGTATTTTTCGGTCTCCAGTTCTCTGGCTTTTCAAAAATTTGATTGCCTTAACAAATATTGTTGACAAATAAAACCGTTGACGAAACCATCAAGGTCAATCAAAAGGAGCCAAAAAAAAACATTTCATCGCATCATTCGCTGAGTATATCACGTTTTTAGGAAAATTTTCTTTTTTTAGGAAACTTTTCTCTCAATAAAACCTTGTGTAAACAGAAAAGAAAAGTTTTTTTTTCGAGAAAAATGAAAAGTTTTGTATTAGGTTGTCCGGAAATAAATGAGCGTTTTCAACTTGAATATTTAAAATACCATAACTTGATCCAAACAAAACTTTATTAAGCGAAATACGAACCATTACAATTAACACATTCTTGCCAACGAGATACAAGTTTATTTATGCCGGTAGCATAGAAGTCTGGTGGCGATAAAGTCGGCGAAGGCGTTTTTGGCATCGTCTTGAGTTTTGAAGCATTTCTCCCAGAGAAAGTTGTCGAGGTGCTTGAAAAAGTGGTAGTCGGTAGGCGAGAGGTCCGGCGAATATGGCGGGCGAATATGGCGGGCAAAGTTTCGTAGCTCAGTTCGTTCAGCTTTTGCAGGGTCGGTTATGCGGCGTGCGGACGAGCGTTGTCGTGGAGAAGAATTGGACCTTTTCTGTTGACCAATACCGGGCACATTCACCGCAATTTCTGGTGCATTTCGTCGATTTGTTGGCAGTACTTCTTTGCCGTAATCGTTTCGCCCGGATTCAGAAAGCTGTGATGGATGAGACCAGCTGCGGACCACCAAACAGTCACCATAACCTTCTTTTGGTGCAAATTTGGCTTTGGAAAGTGTTGTGGAGCCTCTCCGGCGTCCAACCACTGAGCGGAACGTCCCCGATTGTCGTAGAGGATCCACTTTTCATCACACGTTACGATCCGGTCGAGAAATGGGTCGTTTTTGTTGCGCTGAAGAAGAGCAGACGACACCTCAAAACGACGATTTTCTTTGATTTTCGTTCAATTCGTACGGCACCCATTTATCGAGCTTTTTTTGACTTTCCAATTTCAAGTGGTCAGAAATGGTCGTCTTGTCCACGCCAAGCTCCTCCGCAAGCTCTCGAATAGTGGTACGTGAATTTGCTTCCACCAGGGACTTCAGTTCGTCGTCATCGAGTTCAACAGGACGGCCACGGCCTTCTTGATCTTCGAGATCAAAATCACCACCTCGGAATTTTCGAAACCAAGTTCGCACTGTTGACTCGCCGACACTGCCTTGGCCCCAAACTTCGTTAATGTTACGAGCCGTTTCAGCTGCATTGCGACCGAGTTTGAACTCATAAAAGAAAATCTGGCGAAAGTTGGTTTCGGACATCTAAAACGACGAAGCTTAAAATTCGCAAAAAATTTTATATTTAACAAAATTTAAAAGCATGGTTAAAGAGAGCGCGAACTCAGCTTTCTAATGGTATATAACATTACAAGGTACAGAGCATACTTTATTGAGAAAAATGTACTCAAATAATAAACAATACAAAACACTCATTTATTTCCGGACAACCTAATAGTTTGCTTGTTTTTAGCTTCTTTTATTTGTGCGGCTAGATTACGGAAAGATCCTGTTCTTATCATGTCAATTGTGTCAATCTGCTCAACAAAAAAATGATCTCGGTTCTATCAATAAAGTAAATTGCTAGCTTCTTCTTTAGCTATTCATTAAATTAAGTATTTCAGATTCTACATCGCTCATGGTTCTGCTGAACTCGAAAAGTGGTACACAACTTGTTTCTCGTTAATAACACAACTGAACTTTATGAAAATTTGCAAAAATATCGATTTTTGGGTCCCCGGTTCGATGCCGGCGTTTGATTTTTTCAAAAATTTGATTGCTTGCCGCTTCGATGCCTTTGAAATATTGTTCTAGCTCTTAAAAGAAAACCGTTGATCTAGGTCAAGTCAAAGAGAAAAAAAAGATTTCATCACAGGCATGATTCGTTGAGTATATCACGTTTTCACGAGAAATGTTTTCTCAAAAAACCTCATATAAACAGAAAACAAAAGTTTTTTCGTTAAAAATGAAAGATTTTATGGTTTTGTTGCTTTTAGCTGTTGTTATTTGTGCAGCTCCAATCGATTTTGAGTGGGTTATTTTTCGAATGAATTTTTCAAGCTTTTCTTATTTTATTATTCAGAAAAGCAAGCAATGAGCAGACGCTAATTGTCGTGAAACCGGATGGAGTGAGGAGGGGATTGACCGGTCGAATCATTCAACGTTTCGAGGACCGTGGCTACAAAATTGTCGCAATAAAAATGGTAACCGAATGCTATCATTGATTCTAGACTCTCATTCCAGCTATCAGCAACACTAGGGCAATTGGAGCTAAATTACTGGGATCACAAGGGTTTACCCTACTACGAGGAGATGCTCGCCTACATGCAATCGGGGCCCGTTGTGGCGATGGTTTGGCAGGGATTCGATGTGGCCAATCAGGCACGAATCATGCTTGTCGGGCATCCCTCCGAAAAGAACCCGTCTCCAGGTTGGCTATTGCACTTTTTTCAAAAAGATATTGAACTAAAGTTTCTCTAGTGAGCCCAAACTGGTCGAATCACACCGTCACATCACCGCCCGGCTCGATTCGCGGCGATTTTGCTATTCATGTGAGTCTTATTTTTCTATAAAAGCGGTCTTGACTTGTGTAATTGGGTGAGTCCTTTGGAACTTCAATGGCTCGAGACTCGGCGAATCTCAGCTACCCTGTTGAACAATCCCTCCGTAGATCACATCCAAAAGTTTGCTTCAAAGCCAACCAATAAAATTAAAAAGAAACAATGTTTTGGAGCTTCTCCAGAGTTCTTTTACAAAAAATAAGTTGAGAATAGCTTTTGTTAATAGAAAATGATAAATTTTATAAGATTTATCTTTAATGTTGTGGAAGGCGCTCACAAGAAATTGAAAAGCACGGCGAAAGCATGCGAGGAAGTAGAAAAGAATTCAATTTTGGCTAAGCTGGAGAAAAATGCGACAGAATCGAGTGCAAAATAGAAATTGGTGAGGGCATAAAATCGAATTTAACCTTTGGCGGCCAAGTGTAAAGAGCCATGTTTTTGGGGGTTCATTGAACTGTGTTATTAATGATTCATTTATTATTAATGTTGTTGCTTTTTTGCACCAAAGTTATAGCTAAAATTGCGTTTAACATAAGACACAAGAGAAAAACCAAAAAAAATGTTGATTTTTGAGATTTCAGAACCGTCAAAACGTGTGCCACGGCTCGGACTCGGCTGAGGCCGCCAAGAAAGAGATTGCTTTGTGGTTTCGTGCTGATGAGATTCAACCGTTGCACATTGATCCAAATGCTTATTAATACATATTCCTTCGTCTTTTACCAAACTTTCAAATAGAGTTCGGCAAACAAAACTAAAACCAAAACAGACCAAAACTCAATTTGCATATAAATTAACATGTAAATTTAAAATTGTAAAATGCAAATTTTAATGTTTTAATTTAATGTTTTAATTTTAAATTGTAAAATGCAAATTTGCCTTTCACTTTTTCTCACTCCCAAAATCTCGCGGCCGAAAAAAGGACCAAAACACGACCTCGAAATTTCGAAACAAAAAATAGCCTATGGGATAGATTTTTGGACGCTGATTTCAAATCTGCAAACAGATTTTCGCTAGCTCCTCCCAATCGCGAGATATTGGCGAGTTTTGGTTAGTTTTGGTTTTGGTTTTGGTTTTGGTTTTGGTTTTGGTTTTGGTTTTGGTTTTGGTTTTGGTTTGTTTTGGTTTTGGTTTTGGTGGTTTTGGTTTTGGTTAAGTTTTATTTTCCGAAGTCTACTTTCAAACCACTCTTTATCGAAAATATAAGTTTTAAAGTTTGTCAATGGCTTTAAAAAGGATTGTAGGACATTTGACAACGCCCCGGCCATTTTGCCATTGACAATCTAATTTTGAGCTCAAATATCTTGGAGCTGGGTTGTGCAATTTAAATATTTTTGGTATCATTGGATGCGCCAAGTCTTTTTCAACTAAATTATTTAAACTATTTAAACTGGACAGCCCAACACCAAGAAATTTAGGCTCAAAGTTAGAATGGCAAAAAGAGCGCAGCGAGTAGCAAATGTCCGATAACGCTGGCTTCATTTTCGGGGGAAACTCAGTTCCGATCCAAGTTAGATGAGAAGCAAAAATCAAAGTGCAGTCTTGCTGTTGGTGGCAGTCCGAATTGCCTCTATAGCTACACCTATCAAGCTATCAAGTCCCATCCCAAAAAGGGGACCTGAGCAAGGAGCAAATGAAATGAAATAGAAAGAAACAAATGCAAAACGATCTATCCGCCTTTGCTAAAGCAGCCTATGAATTTTCAAAACTTTTCATTGTGTAGTTTTTAAGAAAAGCCAAGCCTTATCAAGCCCTACATGAGCAACCCTGCTAGAAAGATTCACTTAATTAATACATTTGAATGATTGCACTATGTCGAGCACATAAAAAGATAGATTGTTCGATGTTAAAAACTCAATGAATGCTTCAATATTTATTTGAAAAAGGATTCGCTTTGGTTGTGGCAAAATATATGATTCAACTTATTGAATAATTGGTTTGTTTGGAATACCGATAGGGCTCTGTCCTGGGGCACATTCGGTTTCACAGGTGCCGAAGCGCTGAAATTTTTTTCCTCTGTCCAGGTAATTGATATATCTACGATGCACTTTATTCTATTTAGTGCAAAAACATTTAAGCAACAATCTTGCTTTCTTTCTTTCAAATTCTCAACTTTATACCTTTTCCTCAAATCAAATCAGAAAGCTCTTACAAATATTGGGTTGGTGAATTGAAAACTGTGGGCTATTATCATATGTGACAGTTTGAGCACTTTCTTCAAAAGAAACCCATTTTGGTGTCGATGGAAAAGTTGTAGAGAATCAAAAATCAAGCTTATATCCAAATTTTCAGAACGATTCAAAAACTGGTTTTCAAGAAATGCAAAATTTACGAATTTTCACAAAACTTGCATTTTAAGCGAAACTACTAAGTGTATCTTTTTGGAAATTTGGCTATAAGCCTCATTTTTGATTCTCTACAACTTTTCTATTGACACCAAAATGGGTTTCTTTTGAAGAAAGTGCTCAAATGCTCAAACTGGGACATCTCCGAGCTCCATTTTTGACACTTGTCACACACACAAACCAAAATCCTACTACGAAAGAGGAATCCGCAAATTGCCTGTAAAATGGGCAGAAGTCGTCAATAATAATGGAAATTATTTCGAATGAATTCATGGTTTTATGTTGAATAAATTTTAGTTCAAAGTCCCCCTCAGTTTTCAATTCACCAACCCAATATTTAGTGTAAAGATCGCATTGAAATGGATCACTACGAGATAATAGTGGAATTGTTGGGGGATAAATGTATAGAGTTGCTTTTTTTTTATTAAAACAAACCCTGAACAATGGCGACAAGCACTTGGAACCAGCAATTCGTGGACAAGGACGGGAACAGCAATGCTAAAATGGAAACAAAAATGAAATTGGGAGAAGGTCAGCTATGTTTTGCATTCTTTACATCTTCCTTTTCTTCTCAAAATTATACTTGCTCTATTGCACATCTCTGGGTCTTGTTTAAATATAAATTTTATACATAATCACAAATTTTAAACTTTAAGCTTTCTAAGCTGCTTTCGAAAGCTTTTATTATATGTTTTAAGGCACTGATAGTAGTCGAGTACAAGTCAGAGATTCTTTTAGAACCCGGAATTTGAACCCCGTAAGGTTGAATTTGCTATCAAAAGCGAGAGGTCAAGATATTGTTTCTATGGCTTTTAACTTGAAAGAGAGAATATTAGATGTGCATTTTCACCTGTCCATCGGGACAATCCGATTGAGCAGCGCAGATTGGGACTTCGGTGGTCAAATCAGAGGCTCCTTCCACATCGCGTCTCTTTCGGTTCAAAACATTGCCAGAACACTCGATGCATGATGGGCACATCAGACAGATTGGGTTTGATGGGTCAAGGGTCGCCTCAACTTTATCGGCGTCTCGTCTCTTTCGATTCAATGGAGCTGCGGTGGTTGAAGTTGTGGTTGTTGTTGTTGAAGTTGTCGTTGTTGCAGCTTCAATGGTCGATTCAGAGGCCCCATATCCGGCCATGCCTCGTTTCTTTCGGTTCAATGGAGCTGTGGTGGTTGAAGTTGTGGTTGTTGTTATTGAAGTTGTTGTTGAAGTTGTTGTTGAAGTTGTGGCTGTTGAAGTTGTTGTTGTTACTGAAGTTGTGGTTGAAGTTGTTGTTGTTGAAGCTTCAGTGTTTGGAGCTTCAGAGATCGATTCAGAGACCCCACATCCGGCCACGCCTCGTTTCTTTCGCTTCAATGGAACTGCGGTGGTTGAAGTTGTGGCTGTTGAAGTTGTTGTTGTTATTGAAGTTGTGGTTGAAGTTGTTGGTGTTGAAGTTGTAGTTGGAATTCTTGTTGTTGAATTTGTTGTTGAAGTTGTGGCTGTTGAAGTTGTTGTTGTTGAAGCTTCTGTTGTTAAAGCTTCGGTGGTTGAAGCTTCAATGGTCGATTCAGAGGCCCCACATCCGGCCACGTCTCGTTTCTTTCGGCTCAATGGAACTGCGGTGGTTGAAGTTGTTGTTGTGGCTGTCGAAGTTGTTGTTGTTACCGAAGTTGTGGTTGACGTTGTTGTTGTTGAAGCTTCAGTATTTGGAGCTTCAGTGGTGGATTCAAAGGCCCCATCTCCGACCACGTCTCGTTTCTTTCGTTCCGGCAATGGACCACTACACTCAGTGCACTCGGGGCACACCAAGCAGATTGGGTGCGATGGATCAAGAGTCTGAGCGTACTAAAGCAGCTTTATTGGTTATAAACAGTGCACATTGCTTATTTTTTTTCATTTTTGATTTGAACCAATAAAGTTTTCTATGTAAAAATTAAGAATTCATCTATTCTCATAAAAGTTTTAAATTGGTTTTAGTTTTAGTTGATTTGGTTTAAAAGTATATTCTTTTTGAGTGATAGTGAAAGGAAAGATTTAATTGAAAATCATTGGAACGTCGTTGTCCTCGGCTAATAGCCAAAATCAACTAATAAACAACTCAAATAACTTACCGTAAACCCAATCAAAAATGCCGACGAAATGAGAGAGTAGACGAGAATTTGCATTTTTATGAAAGACTTATTACTTTTTCTGGTTGCTTGATTTCGCCTCTCCATTTCCCCTCTTTATAGGTGTTTCAAACTTTAATATTGCTATCTTTTTATTCGTATTACACAAAGAAAAACAATAATAGAAAAAAATAAAAACATATTTACCTAGAAAAAGAAATTGATAAATGCGGGTCATTTCATTGTAAGCGATGAGGTCATCAAATTCGCCTTTTCTAGGCCCAAATGACCTTTTAGGTCAAAAAAATACGTAGGAATATGTCAAGGCAAAAAAAATATGTAAAAGCTGGGAGAAGAAGGGGTTATGGGTTGTTTAAAAACTCAAAAAAAACATCCCTGTTCTTCATAGTTTTTTGGTGCCTGAATCTGGAGTGAATTTTGGAATCCTTTGTACAGCAAATCTCCAATTCCAGGATCTTTAAAAATTCCAGGATTCCAATCTCACTACACCTCTTCATTTGATAGCATTTTTTCAATAGCTTTACACAAATTGCCGCTTTTTCCATCTCACAATGAAAAGTTTTATAAAGTTATGTACGAAAAAATATGGAAACTATAAAGCGAATAATGAAGACGGTTCAAAACTGTGTTGATCTGTTTATTATATTTTTTAAGGCACTGATAGTAGTCGAGTTCAAGCTAACATTTTAAAGCCAGGAAATGCCAGGAAATGGGAGAAGTAGGCAATGTTGTTTTAAGGCACAAATCAGAGGTGCAGTGAGATTGTTTAAAGATCCTGGAATTGGAGATTTGCTGTACAAAGGATTCCAAAATTCACTCCAGATTCAGGCATCAAAACTATGAAGGACAGTGGTTTCTTCTCTTTAAAATGTTAGCTTGGACTCGACTACTATCAGTGTCTAATCCCTATAAGAATCAGTTTGATCTTACTTCTCCCATTTCCTGGCAATTTTGTTTTAAGGCACTGATAGTAGTCGAGTTCAAGCTAAGCATTTTAAAGAGAAGAAACAACATTGCCAGGAAATGGGAGAAGTGAGATCAAGCTGATCCTTATAGGGATTAGACTTTGTTATGCTTGTGCTCAATTTAGTGATCAAAAAAAGTGTGCTTCACTTTATCTTCAAAATAGAACAAATTTTTTGGTCCCCATTTCTAAATTTGTGGAAACAGCATTTCTTGTACTTTTGAAAGAAGAGTCATCCCCTTACACGCTCTTGATTTTTGCCAGAGCAACAGAGATAAAAGACCCTTTCTTAAACTCGTGTTGAGGGGATCAAGATTTATAGCTTTGAAATCGTAGTTTTGCAAAGATAGAAAGATGACCTTGAAAACCAAGCCTTGATAAAGAAGAGATAGATCAGTTTTTACCAACAAATTTTTCTCATAACTGTTTTTTACTGTTCCAAATGTTCATTCGTTTTTTATTCATTAGCATCGCATTGGTCTGGATAAATGGTGAACAAATCAGCACATGTGCCGAATGTGAAGTTAGTTAAAAAAAAATAAGGCTAAAAGTCTGTAATAACTTTTACATTTACCTAACAGTTGTTATTTAATGAGTTGGTGAATTGAAAACTGCCGGCTATTGTCATATGTGACAGTTTGAGCACTTTCTTCAAAAGAAACCCATTTTGGTATCAATGGAAAAGTTGTAGAGAATCAAAAATCAAGCTTATATCCAAATTTTCAGCACGATTCAAAAACTGGTTTTCAAGAAATGCCAAATTTACGAATTCTTGACAAAACTTGCATTTTTAAGCGAAACTACTAAGTGTATCTTTTTGGAAATTTGGCTATAAGCCTAATTTTTGATTCCCTACAACTTTTCTATTGACACCAAAATGGGTTTCTTTTGAAGAAAGTGCTCAAACTGGGACATCTCCAGTCCTCCATTTTTGAGTCTCACACTTGTCTCACACACAAACCAAAATCCTACTACGAAAGAGGAATCCGCAAATTGCCTGTAAAATGGGCAGAAGTCGTCAATAATAATGGAAATTATTTGGAATGAATTCATGGTTTTATGTCGAATAAATTTTTGGTTCAAAGTCCCGGAGTTTTCAATTCACCAACCCAATACTTTAAAAAAAATAACGTTAAAAGTCTATAATAACTTATACATTTACCTAACAGTTGTTATGTACGTAAGTGTTAAGTTCATATTTTTTTTTTCAGGTTGACATGAATGAGTTTATGAATATTAAAGAACTTAAAACCCTGAACACCGAGCAGATTCATGGGCTCATGTTGCTTGGGTGTGAAGCGACGGAAAACGTTCGTTTCTTTGTTGATTTCTAGAGAATATGGATTTAAAATTTAATGATTAAGGAAAAATAATCAATTTGTATCTATAAATGTCTATAAATGTCTATAAATGATAGGCTAAAAACATCAGGACTCACAAAAACTGTCCAATAGTATTGTCAAAACTGTCAAATAGTGAATTTATGAATGAATGTTTTATATGAAAATGTTTATGAAAATGTTTATGAAAGTAAACAAATGATCAACTGTAAATTCGTTCAGAAAACACGAATTGAATGTGAAAATGAGTACTCAATGGAACAGTTGACGGGAATTCTCAAAGCAATTGGAGAAAAGAAAAATGCGGTCGAGATTTGTCAAGAGGTACGCCACTGTAAATAAATTCGTTTTTTTTTCACAAAAATTTAATATAAAAACAGAAAGCAAAGAAAGAACAAGATAAAAGATGCTATTGGGTTGGTGAAGTGAAAACTGCCGGTGAACTGCCGGGCTTTGAACTAAAATTTATTCAAAATGAAACCATGAATTCATTCGAAATAATTTCCATTATTATTGACGACTTCTGCCCATTTTACAGGCAATTTGCGGATTCCTCTTTCGTAGTAGGATTTTGGTTTGTGTGTGTGACAAGTGTGAGACTCAAAAATGGAGGACTGGAGATGTCCCAGTTTGAGCACTTTCTTCAAAAGAAACCCATTTTGGTCTCAATAGGAAAGTTGTAGAGAATCAAAAATTAGGCTTATAGCCAAATATCCAAAAAGATACACTTAGTAGTTTCGCTTAAAATGCAAGTTTTGTGAAAATTCGCAAATTTCGCATTTCTTGAAAACCAGTTTCTGAATCGTTCTGAAAATTTGGATATAAGCTTCATTTTTTATTCTCTACAACTTTTCGATTGAGACCAAAATGGGTTCCTTTTGAAGAAAGTGCTCAAACTGTCACATATGACAATAGCCCGCAGTTTTCAATTCACCAACCCAATAAAAACAGAAAGCAAAGAAAGAACAAGATAAAAGATGCTAAAATCAAGATGGAAGTAACCAAAAAATAGGCAAACGGTGAAAACCAAATCAAGGTAATCCATTTATAAACTTAAACATTTCAAAAACACCCAAAACCACGTTAAAGATCACCTAGTCCTAGAGAGGAAAGTGTTAATACGGTGTTTTCGATATTCTGTCGTCTGTTTTACTTGCTCTCCTCCTCATCTCGATGTCCACCGGTGGAGTGGCAGAGTTTCTTGAGATCAAACGAGGCAATTCACTCTTGATTCTCTTTTCAGACAGCCGGCTATTCAACCAATACGTTTCCATCACTCCTTTACCCTAAAACAATTGAGTGGTATATTCTTTAGATACAGCAATCAACATCAGAAAAATTGGGTTCACGAAGTTCGCTAAATGAAGCTAAAACGTAGTAAAAGAGACAAACACACACACACACACTCACCTTGATGATCACTTCTCCTCTAGACTCGATATCGTAGCCGCCAATTCGACTCAAAATCGAATACGCGTCAACGGAGATGTGAATTTTGCCGGCTAAAAACCTTTGCATAAATAAGCCAGATCACTTGTACTCACGTTTCCCGTTGCTCTCCATCCTGGAAGCTGTATTGACTGTGTCCCCGAAAAGACAGTATCTAAAAAGAACCGTTTGAGCATGAAAAGGGGGACGATGACGAATTTTTTTTTTGCCGATAACTATCATTTTTGTATACCAAAAATGTTAGAAACAAATCGGTTGATAGATTTCTAGTTGGCGAACTTTTTTTTGATGAACGTCTCCTGCCGCAGCAGACAGGTTTCAACGTGTCAACGACTCCCCTTGAATCATTTCTTTTTTGGACTTTTTCATTCGAGATGAGCTCGAGCGAAGATGGCGTTATTGAAGGTGATAAACGTACGTCATTTTTGAGTTATCAAAATTGGAAATTTTTGCTGCAACATTGTCATATTTGGGGGAAAATTCCAGGAGGCGGAAGTAAGGGAAAGTCGAGAACAATTAATTGGGCAAGAAATCGAATTTGCCGCACAGCCTTAGCAAAGAATGGTACCTGGGCATCACTAAGCCAACAACTCCGGCAACACATGAACCAGAATGCATCCCAATTCGGAGATTCATGCTCTCGGATGGGAGATGGGGAATGCGAAAGAGCTGCAAATTTATTGCTTTCATTTTGAAGAATATAGTTTCAAGGGTAATTCAAGAATAATTCTTCAAAATTGCCTACAACTTCTTTGTGAAATGTAGTATTGTCATCTGTTTACCTGTACGGCTTTTAAGAAGTCTAGCGACATCTCGGCGATCTCTTTCGCGTGCATGATCCCATTACGATGAGGCAGACCGGAAACGCAAAGATAGCCATCACCAATGGTTTCTACCTAGAATTTTCGAGTCTTTTAAGTAGTCTAAACATTATTACAATATAGGTGCTTACTGCGTTATTAGCTTGTAGACAGAATGCTGCTCGATAATCTGATCAAAAGTCGTGTAGAGACTGTTGAGAAGATTGACAATCTGAATACAGGGTTTTGCTGCCTATCAAAAAAGATTGACAATCTGAATACAGGGAATAATTTGCTGCCTATCAAACAAAAAAATGAAGCAACCTGCAATGGTGTACACTTGGCCGCCAAGTTTGTGAATTGAACGACATCGGAGAAGAAGATCGTGACACTTTCGAACGACTCCGGCTCCACCGATTGACCCATTTTCAGTTTCTCGGCCACTTGTCTAAAATGTATTATTTCTTCATTGTGTTAACTGTTTTCTTTTCTCACTTTGGCAGCATTCTCTGTAGAAGTAGATCGCTCTTCTTTTTTTCCTCCACCAGTTCGGTCATTCGGTCTTGCACCTGAAACCCAAAGTCTCTTCAATTCTTATTGTACTCCAGCCAAAAAACCCGCCTAACGGTCTGGTCTTGGGGCTTTTGTCGCCTTGGCGCAGTGGGGAGCACGCTTGTCTACGGCCCACACGACCCGGGTTCGACTCCCGGCTGTGTCGTGGCACTTTCTTTTTAAAAAAATGAAATATGAAATTCACAACTACATAGAGTTCTAAGCCTAAAAAACTAAAAAGTAGGTAAATCGGCCCACGAGGAGCCGAGAACTCGCGCGGAGAGAAGGACCAACGGGCGGACATTTCCCTTTTATGTATAGTAGATTGTACCTCTTTCTCTAATGTCTCTGCATAGGACTCCATCAAGTTGAAGACGTGATCCATCAAGTTTTGCTGACTTCCATCGGCTTGAGTCATCGATTTGATGATTGTTTTGACGGTGGCTATAGTGGGACGAGATTCCGGCTGATCAGCCCAACAGTCACGAATCATGTGGATCTAGAAATAAGATTTCATTCATGTATTACAAATAATCATAATTAGAATGTTTATTCATTTGTTAGACAAACCACAGCCGGGTTGAGCTCCATTTCTTCGGGAATACTTAAAGTCGGTCGAATAGGCGTCGAGGAGCCGCGTTTGATCATGTAGAGTAGTTCTTAAAGGTTGAATAAATAGAACTAAAAAGTTATAAATAGAGCCATACCTTCAATCTTTTCATTTCTGTTGTCTAAATCGTACACTTCTTTCCTCGTGACAATCTCCGAGCAAATAATGGCAAACGAGTAGATGTCGGCTTCTTTTGTCCCGTCATTTAGCGGCGATCGAAGAAGCTCGGGGGCAAGCCATAGCCGGCCTTTAAAGATTAAAACGATGTATGAAATCAAAGCTACTATAAAGTTTCACTTACGCTTCTTCTCCATTTTCTCTCCTTTTCTCAGATTCGCACACCCAAAACCGCTAACTTTCAGTACCCATCGCTCATCAATCCAACAGTTTATCGAGCTAGACATAAAATGATAAATGGTACACTACTGGACAATGAAATATCATATTTGAAAAAAGATCGTCACTTTCGCGCGTCTGTAACTCCCTTGTCTGTAACTCCCTTGTCTGTAACTCCCTTGTCTTTACCATATTTCTAAATATTAATATTACCGTTGTGTAGTCCTTGAAAAGAGCTTTAAGAAAATGTATAACACTAATAGTTTAAACTCAAAGACAAGGGAGTTACAGACGCGCGAAAGTGACGATCTTTTTTCAAATATGCTATTTCATTGTCCAGTACTGTAGTTATTTAAACAACACTCACCACAAATTCCCATGAAAGCCGAGAAAAGAGTTCTGAATGAACAGCAATCCCTCGGTTAAATCCCTGATCAATGACATTGCAAAAAAAGCATCCAAAGTGAGAGAGCCTTTCGAGATCACTTCCTGAGCCAATAAATTGAATACATTTATTCATAATAATTTGGTATAAACAATACACAAGCACAACCGCTAAGCTCTAAATTTAGGGAAGAAAAAACCCATATACAGGGTGACTCAAATCAAAGAAACTCTTTCTAAAGAAATCCGTTAAGAAAGGCCGGCTAGAGTTCATTTTTGAGCTTGGTAGTTGAATCGAATTTTATAATTTTCAAGTTTTGCGATAGATAAATGTAGCCAAGACATTACCACAAGCCTATGATTTTTGTATATGGGAAAAAAGAGCCAATAATCTGATCGGATTGAACCCTTGACCTCCCTGGGCTAAGAGCTAAGAGCCTAAGATACTGGGCTCTTAGCTAGTCGGCCATGACGGCTAATAAATATCGATCATACAATAACACATCCAACCTCAAGTGTGCCTCTGCTCGCATACTTCCAAATGGACATCATTGGTGAGTGATCGTGACACACACCGAAAAAGCGATGAACGTTGTCGTGCTCGAGTTTATGCATCTGTCAAGGGCAAGGTCAAATCACCTCTGTCTGACCTACTTTTCTGAACTCAACGAAATCCTCAGCCGTCAATCGATGTCCCATTTTGTATTTGTAAGCAGAAACGGGTTCATCTAAATTTAAGAACAAGTTTAGTGGCTTCGAAAATCGTCAAACCGTTTAGGGTAAAAAACGCTATAGTGTCCGTGTCTCCTTTACCAGAGAATTTCGAGTACGAAGACTTGGAGAATCGAGCCGATTCGAGAGAGGGCAAGCTTTTCTCCTCATGCTTAAAATATCCCCTAATTATCGTTATTCCTTTTTTGAGTAATACCGTGGATAGATTAAGTGACGAGGAGCCCAATCCACCGTGTTTGCCTTTCCCGAAGCGGCCTAACAGAACATAGGGAATCTGCCAATCGGCGTCGCGACGAGCACGTTCTCGTTTTTCTCTGCAAAGGAAACGTTTTTCTATGTTTTTCCTTTGTTTTAAAAGACACAGTCTGCTAGTTCGTAAACCTTTTGTCTGACCTTTGAATGTAGAGCAAAATGATGATGAGAAACAGAAAGAAAACAATGATTATCCCTCCACCAATCGTTATGTACACTCCACT